GTCTGTGACATCAACATATAACTTCATTAAATCAATTAAAGCGCGGGGCGATATAAACTACTGCAGCAAAACCAAATTAGCTTGAATAACAAATGTGTGTAATAAACTACACGTCTATAAACCATTGTGTCTTCCAGGATGGAGAGGAAGAGAAAGAGGAAGAGAAGGAGTCCTTAGGGAAATTGGAGTACTCACTGGACTATAGCTTCACTGATAACCAAGTAAGCACATACAGAGTTTATGTGGTTTCATTGGTCTAAAATTAAACTTGGATTATGGACTCAAGAAGGCCTGCAGTTTAACTAATCTCCCCTTCCTTCTCCAGCTGATAGTTGGTATCATCCAGGCCCAGGACCTACCAGCCATGGACATCGGTGGGACCTCAGATCCTTATGTTAAAGTCTACATGCTGCCCGACAAGAAGAAGAAGTTTGAGACCAAAGTCCAGCGCAAGAACCTGTGTCCGGTCTTCAATGAGACTTTCACCTTTAAGGTCTGTACATAAACACTGGAGATCATGCTGACAAATAAACATGAAAATTAAAAGTTCTTCATTTTAAACTTCTGTCCCTCTCCAGATACCATACAGTGATTTGGGTGGTCAGACTCTGGTACTACAGGTGTTTGATTTTGACCGTTTTGGTAAACATGACGTCATTGGTGAGATCAAGATCCAAATGAACACAATAGACCTCGCGCAGCCAATACATGAATGGAAGGATCTGGTTGGAGGAGAGAAAGAGGAGGTACTTTTTTGTCCATAAAAATAGTTCTATAGGATCAAAATACATTTTTGCCAACACTTTAAGTCACAAAAGCATGGTCCAATTTGACAAACTCATATGTTTTTTTTTTCTTTACAGCAAGAAAAGCTCGGTGATATTTGCATTTCACTTCGTTATGTCCCCACTGCTGGTAAGCTAACAGTTAATATCATGGAAGCCAAGAACCTGAAGAAAATGGATGTCGGAGGACTGTCAGGTAAACACACTAACTTATTTGTTCCAAAGGCTGTCAGTCAATTAGTCATTTGGTTCACAATGGCTCTCCTGATCCAGTAACTAATATCACGCCTTTTTCTCAGATCCCTTTGTTAAGGTGGTGCTGCAACACAACGGAAAACGACTGAAGAAGAAGAAGACCTCAGTCAAACAAAACACTCTGAATCCTTACTTTAATGAGAGCTTTAGCTTCGAGATACCATTCTCCCAGATCCAGGTTTGTGCTTTTCAGTTTCAGTTAATGTCCCATTTGCTAGTTCTACCTGATCATAACAACTTAACTTGGGCTAGCAGCAGGTCTCTAAAAGGGAAGATGTTTGTCATAGGGACAGAAACATCTAAACTTAAAAGGATAGCACATTATTAAAGGGTCTATTTCTGTGCTGTAGAAAACTACATAGAAGCATTTACAAACTCACTATTCTCCCGTGTCTGAAGGATAAGCACAATATAAACTCTGAAAATGTAGGTGGCTGATATATCCAAACATTTAAACACTGGTTTGGGTCAAGTGCTAAAAATGTCTTCCTAGATTCCCTCTTTCTTTAAATCAGTGATTATGGCACACCTTGTTATAAAAGTAAAGCCTTCAGCCGAGCCCTAATTACCCATATGACATTATACAAGCTTTTTATGCCTGGCTGAAGGGTACATGGAATGTTTGTAGTCTAAGAAAAATATTCCCTAAACCACTTCTTCTCATAAGCCAAATGGAAATATGAACATGCAGAAAAAATTGTTCTCACTACGACTTCTTCTCGTCTGTTTTTTTCATCCACAGAAAATCCAAGTGTTGATCACCGTGTACGACTACGATAAGCTGGGCAGCAACGACGCTATCGGAAAGTGCTGGATTGGCTTCGGTGCCTCAGGCGTGGGGCTTCGCCACTGGTCAGACATGCTGGCCAATCCCAGGCGTCCGGTGGCCCAGTGGCACTCGCTGTGCCCAGAGGAGGAGGTAGATGCTGCTCTGAAGGCCCCAATCCGCTAAATATACTCTCACACACATATTGTTTACCATCATCTGCATAGAGGGGTATTATTTCATCATAACACAGAACGAATGACTGCTAACTTGAATAGTAAGTTTTGATGTTTTTCAGTATCGATTTTGTAACATTTGATATTGGGTTCTCTTTGTACGAATGTGTGCTTTATATTTTTTGCATACATACCTTAGAAATACATGAAGCGAAATTTGCATGTAAATAGCTTACAAACTTTGATGGTACAGGCTAACTCCAACAATTGACTATTGCACTTACATAGTTAGACTACTAAGAAGACAATTTAAAAAGAAAAACCTAATTTCAAGTAGAATATTAAGGTAGAATTTAAGTACCCTTAAAAAAAACCTGAAAACTAAATCATTGGATCTCTTCATCTTTCACATCTTTCTGCTCCTAGTTCATAACACAGGCTTCATGTTTAAAATCAAATATCTCTAGTCCAGCCATAAAAAGTGCAAAGATTTATACCGCATCTGTTTTATTTTTTCCTTTAGTTTTCTTCTTTGTAACCTTGGTACCTCTCTTATTTTCCAAACAATGTAAACTTGATTTGTCCTGGGAAATGTATTGTATTTGTTTTTTGGTCTGTCTTCTTGTGTCTTCTTCTGTACATGTATTTGAATGAGTGGAGACTCTTCCTGGAGTGTCTATTGAGTGTGTCTATTGATATGATATGTGTGTATTATAAAGCTGTTTGAAGTTTTACCTTTGGTTCTTATTGTGTGACTGTAAATAAATAGCTGAAGAAATGAAACCAAACAACAACAGATGGTTAAGCGGATGAATGGATGAACATGAATACACACGGAATTAATACCATCATGTGCAAACATGATAGCTTTTCTTTTTGCACACTAGCAGAAAGTATCACACACGCACACACACACACACACACACACACACACACACACACACACACACACACACACACACGGTTAAATATGACACAATCTTTAGAAAGATCCTTTTGAATGATTATATGTTTATGATATATCGTGAATACATGAGAAGATTGTCCTCTTTTGTGTATCACTGATAGTGTCAAAGTAGCATCCAGAAGACTTGATCTGTTTATTGTAATTTTATAAATGTAAGTGATCCCTCCACCTGTGATTATATTAGTCCCATTGATCAATTTACATAATGAACGCTTGAGCTTTTTAAACTGGAAAAAATTGTGGTGATCACATCTCACACCTCATTGAAAAAGGTGATTGGAGTTACTGAGGACCAGGTCAGTGTATGTTTTTGTGCTGATCTGTTGCAGTAAGTGAAAGACTGGATTAACAGTGTGCCCTCTTTAGTCTCACGCACTGATCCAAACATGTGAGGCAGGAATTAGGGAAGGGAGTGGAGGGGGGAGGGGCGTTTACAGGGAACATAATTACAGCAGAAAGGAGAGAAGAAGAAATAGAGGGAAAATAATCTCTGTTCTCAAGAAGACTAAAAAAATGAAAGATTGCTTTTAAAAACTGTCTTACTGTAAGATAGTAGGTACCACATTCATATTTCACAGTGAGGTGCAATTTCTATTCAGCTATCACTATAAACAGTTGATCTTTCTTTTTCTGTCTGTGGTAAACTTTTTTTTAATGACCATAAACAACATGTAGACATAACATTTGAATTTGATCTCATGAGAAATCTAAGGATAAACAATGTGAAAGATGTTTCTAAAAAGTCTGTTGGGACTCAGCCTATGTCTGTTTGAGTGGTTTCCAGTGCTCTGTGTGTTTAGTGTGTACAATATTTTACATCATGATGTTCTGCACTCTCATCAAAAAAAGCAATGAGCATGTTTTTCCACCTGAGGGAGCTCTTTACTCTAGTTTTATGTTGATGACAACACTGACAACAGGGCTATAGTTAGCTGTCAGTTGATGGTGCTGTTCCTTTTTACAGCAATAAGGTAACTGGTTCCAATCTCTGCGGGTCAGGGCTCTATCTGTGGGATATGTTTTAGGTTGGCATGTTTTCCCCACGCATGTTCTCTCCTGGTATTCCAGCTTTCTCTCAAATCCAAAGACATGCTTCCCAACTATACACACTGTGCCTGTGATTGATTGGTGACCTGTACAGGATGTACCCCACCTCTGACCCAATGACTGCTTGGATCTGCTTCAGCCCACTTTGACCCTGAGCAGGAAAACAGATATAGACAAGCTAATGAATGGACAACACTTCAACCATTTCTTGAAATACACAACAAAAAATACATTATGATACTGCTGACTAGAGGTGGGGTAAAAAATTGATGCAGTATAGTATTGCAATATTTTGTGTGGCGATATTATATGGTCTCATGACGGCCAAGCATCGAAATTTTTAATTTTTAATATGTTATTCTAGATATTCTTTTTTCATTTTTAACTGCTGAAGGGGTTGCATAATTCATTTTGAACAAATTACATTGTTAAGAATTCATGTTCAAGTTCAATTAGACTGAAATACAAATATAAAGACTGAAGTGAGAAGAACAGACTGAGAATTTTATCTTATTTGAATAAACAGTTCTTGATTTAGTTTAGTGTAGTAGACATAATATGCAGTTAAAAAGCTTAATCGCAATATATTGTATCGCAATTGTCAGCATATTGCAAAATGTAAAAAATCGCAATAGAATCGTATCGTTTCTCGAGTATCGCAATAATATTGTATTGTGGGGACTCTGGTGATTTCCACCCATACTATTGAGTGGGTTAATGTGTCAACTGAAAGTGCTAGAGCAGTGGCTCCATCTCTATATGGTTACATATACAAACCAAACATCCGTTCCCAGAACAGACCAATCAGAAATTGTCTCTGCTTCTGATTCATGTCTAGTCAAACATATCTTTACCTAATATAGGCAAATACCTAATATGTTTTTCAGAAGAAGAAAAAAATGGCTTATGGATAAACAGTTCCGATTTTAAAAAACAATGGAGGCAGGTGAAAATTTGTGTTTGGACATTTTTTAACTTGATGCAACAATAAATACAGGTTTCAGTAAAACACTTTTCCCCCTTATTTACTTCTATGACTTTTTGGTTATACTTACTATCACCCACCAAATAAACACAACAACCCAAAAAGAACATTCCCTCAAAGGAATGTATGAAAGGGTAAAATCCCATCATTTAAACCCTGATGATGTGCTGTCAAGGATGAACCCTGTTGATTTGTAAAATGTCATTTTACTAACCTGCTCCTCTGTTTTTAACAGAATGAGCTTTTCTCTTTTGCATGTATGATTGTTTCAAACCTTTCTCTTAGAGCACACTAGCTATTGTTGCCAACTCACCTGCAGTTTGATTGCCCAAATGACATCACATATTATTACAGCATCAGTGCTGTGATCAACCCATATGGAATTATTACCATTTTTCATTTATTTGGACTTGATATGTATGCCTGGTAAAGTAATATAGCACAGTAATGCATCTGGTTTTATTATCAATACATTTTATCAAGAAACATTCAACATCTTTTACAAACACAGAAAAGGCCTAAAGAGCAACTCTGACACTAGAGGACTATGAAGAGGATAATGTAAGCTTACTCCATCCCTACATTGTCACAGAACTATTTATTATCATTGTGCCTTTGTTATCTTGTTATCTTCTTCTGCCCTCTTTTACTTCCAGCGTCCGCCCACCTTCCCTTTTCCATGGACCTTTTTGCTGCAGGAAGGAAGAGAGAAGGAAGGATGTCACAGGGACTTTATTAAACAGATCAATCAATCTTAACTTCTATAGCGCCAAACAAAACAGATACAAATATGATCTCAAGATACTTTACAAAAGATCAGGTCAAAGACCTTACAAATTGTAAGAGTGAGGCCTTACTCAGATGTCAGATTTTCATAGTTTGTAAAAATAGCTACTCACAATTTCTGAGCATGTTGGATCCTGTTCAGCAGCACAATGATCTGCAATGTGCAAAAAAAGGTCAATCAAACAACAAAGATCATCCAATTATTAATGTATTTGCGAGGCCTCACATTTCAGAAGTAATGATCACATGCTTGACGCTCTTTCTTGCTTAATTACCAAAGTCGTTGTCAAAAAAGTAAATGAAGTAAAGGAACAGTAGATGAGTTTTCCATAGTAAGGAAGTTAGAACTAAGGTCCTTCCATTGGATTATTTACTGTTCATGTTGTTTGTGACCATAGCAGTACCTCATATTTCTGGTGTTTCATGTACTCCATGTAGTCAAACTTCTCAGACTCCAGCTGGTAGATACAGTTCCACATCTCCTGGGCCCGTTGCCTTGAAACACAAATTTAGACAAAGGTGTAAGATTGTTACTAACAGGCAACTGCTTCTAAGTCAGTCTTTCAATTCAAGAACATAGATAACATAGATAGAGAGTTAGCATTTAGCATTTACAACAGGATACAAATATCCCCATAATGATATTTTCCCATTAAACACAGGAAGCCACTGAAGATGTCAAACATATTGATTAGTGTAAAGTAACCAATAGGACTGATTTAAATAAATCAAGTGGTGAAAAACTAACTGCCTGTTTGAAGGTCTGGCACACCGGCTGGTGACTGACAGAATGAAAGGATGGATCTAAATCTTTAAAACCTCTAAAAGTTTTTAATTGGACAAAAAGCTAATAAACAGCCCAGAGTGTAAGAAGAGTCATCTTCATTTTTATATTTGCCAAAACTCTAGGATATCATCATGAATTCTTACAAAAAGGCCACATACTGTCATCGGTCATAGGTCAGGCACATGTGATACAAAAACTTCCACAGCTATTTCAATGTCATGGGAACTTTAAAGCAGCTGTAATACATCATTATTCAGCTGTCGGAATATCAAAGACCGACTCACTTGAGCGCGTCTTCTCTCATATTATCAATTGTCAGCGGCTCTCGTCTCTCAGCCAGAGTCTTCTTCTTGATCTCTCTGCCAGTCAGACGCTTCCCCTTCCTCATCTCAGCCTGGGACACAAGACACACATGGCCACCAGAAATCCTACATTATAATCAACTGCTGGATGACTGAGAATAACGGCTGTTGTAATAGAACATTCGCCGCTGTCTGACCTTGGTCAGGAAGCCTCCGAAGTTCGCTCCCATGCCAGAAAGCACTTTCTTCTTTTTGGCATCATCATCAGCCTTCTTCTTGGCCTCCTCTTCTTCTTTTCTGTGACGTTCCTCCTGACAGAGGAAGAAGGATGGAGTGATTAATAAACAACAAGACCATGCAAGCAACTTTTTGTACAACAATTATTAATGGTTTCACATACAGTACTTGATAAAACTAAAGTGTTACAGGATATTTTGCTATTCAATATTAACATGTTTTGATTTGTGTGAGTTACCGCAATCCTGTTCTGTCTGTCCTTCTCCTTCTCTGCTCTGACCCGTTGGATCTCTGCTCGCTCATACCGACGATGCTCCTGATGACAAGGTAGCGATAAAACATGGTCATACAATATGCAAAACATGAGTGTCTTGACAAATACCATGAACTGCTGGGTTTAATTATATAGTAACATCTTCCTTTTCATTTACACTGTACTTCAATGGTGATATTTTCTTCACATCTATCTTTTTCACTCAAGGCATGGCTCCAGTACAAAAATTTAATTATCTTTAATTAAAAATCTGCATTGTGCCAAGAGTCATATTAGACACTTTTTATTCAAGAAAAATAAATGCATTATATTTGAGAACCAATTATAGGGGTTAGTATATAGGGTTGGCATAATATCAATCCATCTGTAATGTATATAGCAGCTTATAATGTAACTTACGATTCGCTCCTTGAGCCCGATAAGTTCTTCCTCATCCTTCTTCCTCTGCTCAAAGTGGACGTCAATCAGAGTGTGCAACTCCAGTGTGTCCTTTTCCATACGCTTTCTGTGGATGTCCTGGTGAAAAAAGCCAAAGAAGTTTCAAAATGCTCGATTGAAACTTTACCACTAATGCTTTTGAATCTGTGAAGACTCAATATTGACATCCTGTGTGTAGGTTTGAAAAAAGTCCTGTCATTGATTGAAATATAAATTAAACCGTTTTTTAAGGTTTAAAAAATACATTGAAATGGGCAAGAGCATTTTGATTTATTCACAATATCACAAGTATTGTGATATACACATTTTTCGATCACACAATATTTCTGAGTACATATTGTGTAGAAAGAAACCATATATTTGTTTTGTGAAGCGGTTTACTTACTTACATACTTGCTTAGTAATTAGCAATGTTTATGTATGTTGTAAGAATTATTTCTTTATTGTCAGAGCATGCTTAGTTAATGAATACTGGTAAAACATTTTTACAGGCTTAGCTAATAAAACTTTCTGTTACAGAAAGATATATTTGCGTTTCCTCTGAATAAAAAAAATTATTACAATTTATGATATGTTTTTTTGCAAATCAACCCTGTAACATACATACAACTAAAGTGGCCCTAATAGATTTCCTTGCGGAACACCTCATTCATGATTAGAAGTATCTTACAACTTTTCCTGTACTGCCAAAGGAAAAACAAGTCAATTTGAGTTGACGATTTAACTTTCCTTTCTTAAGCTACAATTATGCATTATTATGAATTATGCACATGACTAACAAAAAGTCAAACAAAAGCATAAAAATGAAACCAATTTTAAAACTTACATCAAAGTCCACCCTATCACCCTCAGGAATCTTTGGGGGGGCAAGTTGTGGGGGCGCAATAGGTCTGAGGACAAAAAGTAGGCATGAAATTACATCATTTTGAGAAAGCATTTGAAAGATGACATGAAAATGAAATAACATTCTGGACTGAGAAAAGAAGCGTGAACATACTTGGGTTTTGGGCGCTCCTCCTCTGTTGATGAAATAAAAATGTAGAGAAGAAAAGGTCTTATGAGTAAATAAAAATGTTTGAAGGACTCTATTTGAGACTAAAAGTTAATGTGAAAAAATATTAAATTAACCAAAAGCACAACAAGCTTGAAATAAGAAAATTAAAGGGGAAACAAAAACCACTATCCTTACCAATCCAGGGTCATACTGAACTTCTTCCCTTTGATATTTTGACCACTTTCATGATATCATTCTCTTTTTATTTAAAGTAAGGGCAATCATTGTCTTGTAGAAATTGGGTAATTTGTAGGATTCTAGTTATTTAGGAGATTAAATTACACCAGGTCCAAAACTCATTGCAATTTAATTTATGAATGTATAATGTTAATGTTAGATGTTTAGGGGAAAACAGCAGAGTTAGCCAACAAAGGGCTGGGGCATCTGATAAAATCTTGGGTTTGTACTAATTCTCACCTTCCTCCTGGGCTTCTTGATCTGATGGACCAGCAACAAGACAGAATGGAAGATGGGAGTATGGCAACAAAAATAAAACATGTAGAAATTAAGGAGTTATTCATGAGAGTGAACAAGAGGAGAGTAATGGGAAAGAAAAGGTGAGAGGCAGGAGGGGGAGGAACAAAGAAAGAAATGGGCGATGAATGTGGAATTTGTAATTGAAATAAATTATTATAGGTGAAAGGGGAAAATGTTGGAAAGAAGGTGTGAACGATTAAGTGAAGGAAAGACATTTACAACACAGAATGATATACATATGACATAAGGAGTCAAGAACCAAGTAAAAAAGGAGGAAAGACCACCCAAATGATTGTGGGACAAAAGTTTAATGAATGGAAAAATAAAGTAACAAATCAAAGTTAGGGGACAAAATGAGATAAGAAGGGAAGAAGTGTGGGTGGATTGGAAGACCCAAATTAATATCTGACATTGCAGCATGTTCAAATATATTTTTCTAATTTTTGCTGACAGTTAAAAAAGAATATAGTGACCACTCTAATGTCTGTATTATAAATGTGAGGCTACCAGGAGCAGCTAGTTAGCTTAGCTTAGCACAAAGACTGGGAACAGGAGGAATCGCCTAGCCTGGCTCTATCCAAAGTTCACAAAATCCATTTGCTTCTAAGCAACTTTTTAGTTCACTGATTAACAGAAGATTACTTTTTCTGATAGTTGATAGCTAACAAGCCATCGCCAGCCTTGATGCTGAGCTAACCAGCCTTAGCAAGACAGTGAAAATATTTGTCTTTGCCAGCTTTTTTTAACTTTTGCTTCCAAACATTAATTTCCTATCATGCACTGGGAGCCACATCATTGACTGGTATAATATGTATACCACTGTGGCTGAAATGAAGTTTTGCAGCATATTATCTGAACATTCATTCAAATATTATGCACATATGCATTAAAAATTTGGTTCGTGTAGAAGGTTGTTTTAGAGATTTCCTGGCTCGTCATGTATATTAAGTGAAATTGACATAAAATGGCCAGACTCAACTTGATTGTGAATGTAATATATAGAATGTATTTTGCACAACATTTGATGCATTTTTTGATTTTTTTTTTGTGAACATATTTTCAAATTTTCAAATAAAGTCTTAAGTCCTGTTGTTCAAAAGTTTAGTAAACATTTATATTAATTCCCAGTTATATGCAGGCCTGAAAACTAGTTTATCTAATTTTAGAAATTTCCATGAATTTCTGCTATGCATATGTGTTAATGAATGTCAGAACAGATAAAAAGGCTGTAGCCTTTAAAGGTTCAACATGTTTTAAACAGATGGATCAGACTAGTGAGACATTTCTATCATCTTGGGTTTTTTACTATTCACTTGTTGAAAATCAGCACGACCCCAGAAGTCATTCAAGAAAGTAGTGACTTTGGAATATCTTTAAGACCTGAATCCTGAAGATAATTATCAACATTTTAAACAAAGTGAGCTAAGAGAACTGTTGCCTTTTACACAATAAATACAGTGTTTTTTTGCATGTGTTTGAAGTTGTTATCTGTGGTTTTCTTGTCATAAGCAATCATTTACCATTACATATGGTCATTTGATCCATTGTATGCTTCAAGAAAACAAATCAAGTGAAGCTTTATATTTTGAGAGAAGAATTGATCTTAGAACAATGCATAGAGTGGACAAGACGAAAGAAATATCACGGTGGATTTTTGTTATTGGTTGTTAATGCTTTACTAACGGCTACAATAGCAGGCAATAAAAATAGCAGCAACATTTTCACAACACCAACAAAGGCACGATCACAATGTCAATGGACAAGCTCAGGTATGACATATAATTGTATTCTTATATGTCAAAAAGTATATTTCATGGGTTATCATGACTGACGTCATCATTGACACTTTTTGTAGGGCTATTGATAAAATGCAGGTAAAATTGTGAGTGACGATGTGTTATCCTACCTTGGTACTCTGGCTGCTCTGATGGCCCAAGCCAGCATCGCATCAGCCAATAGGAGAGCAGGATAAAAAGGGAATTGATAGGTCAGAGTTGTAACTGCAGCTGCAACTGAATTTCTGTTGTTTTATAAACCCATGAGGGTTGGGCACTTTGTGTGCATGACATGTAAATAAATAAATAATTGATCAATCAATTAACTATGTCTCTATGTATAACTCACACAGCTATAAAGGAGTAAAGGGTAGAATATGATGGGTTAATTTAGAGCTTCTCCAGACTACAAGTACACAAATGTATCTCTTCAAATATACACCATATCTATATGTTTTTGTAGCATTATTCCTTTGTATTTGACTAAACCAGTTCAAATTCCAGTCTCTTTATGTGGCATACAGCAACCCTGTTTAGAGTCTTCAGTCCTTACCTCCTCCATCCTCCTCTCTCTGCTCAGGCTCCTGTTCCTGTTCCTCCTCCTCTTGCTCCTCTGCAGACCCAGAGAAACATGAATATCTAAACTAATTCAGTAATCCCTTTTGTTTTTTAAGGGACTCAAAGTATGATGCAAATATGGACACGTCTTGCTGAACTTACCCTCTCCCTGCTCCCTGTAGAGATGAGGGAAAAAGAACATGTTCAACTAATAATAATAAAGTTGAAGCAATTGCACTGACTTAAATAAGTTTTTGACAAATGATAAGGTTGAGGGATGGTGCTGTACTTACTCGTATTCCTCTTCTATATCTGACATGACTGGAACTGACATGAATGGAAACAATGACAGAGTAATCAATAAGATAACCAGAAACATATCAGGAGAGAGTAATTTATGTTTTGATATATTTATAAGATGTTATTCAGGGAAGCTTTACTGACATTTAAAGATTAATTGGACGTCTTGCTTTACAGACAAAAACAACAACTGAGGTGATCAGTAAAAGAAAAATCAAACTATTAATAACTAAAAACTTCATGGTCAACAGAGACTAAATCATTTTGACCTGGTTTCTGGACTTATTCTCTAACTCCAACCTCAGGATAATTTTTTAAAAACTGATATTGATTAAAATGTATTGTAAATGTATTGATGCCTTTAGGAATTAATGATGTGAAAATAGTTAGTTATTCTTTGTACCAAGAAGATCAGTCCATATGAATTTTTTTTAAGCCTTGAATTGTTTTTTGAAGCACAACAAGCTCATTCATGAACTAATTGGAGGAAGGTTGATCCACACAGATCTGTTGTTTCGTTTTTTCCCTCTCCTCAGTTCAGCGAAGCTTTGAACTATGGTGGAGGATCTATCTTTGGTCCAATTGTATTTATCGAAGGTATGCGTCCTTTAGGTAATTTCATCAGCAATTTGAAATAATCTTATATCACTTTTATACTGATGATATTCAGCTTTACAAGGCAATGTTTTTTATTCTATTTATTTTATTTCTATTTTATTTTATATACTTTATTAATCCCTGGGGGAAATTATGGTTTTACATTCTGTTATTGAGAGACTTGCTTCTCACACGGACCCGAATCACACACATGCACAAACAGGACCTGTGGACATGCATTAGTGGAGAGATGTCAGAGTGGGGCTGCTACACAGTGTTACGCAGGGAGCGCACCAGAGCAGTTGGGGGTACGGTGCCTTGCTCAAGGGCACCTTGGCAGTACTCGGGAAGTGCCCTAGCACCTCTCCAGCTAGCAGATCAACTTCCATATTATGGTCCGCATCAGGACTTGAGCTGAGGACCCTCCGATTCCCAATCCAAGTCCCTACGGACTGAGCTACTGCTGCTCACAATTATTACAAATTAAGTCATTAAGCTTTAAGTTTAGCACTGGCTTCCCATTATATTAAGAATGTATTTGTATGCACTTTTTTCATTTGAACTATATAAATTCACTTTATTTCTTATTCATTTATTTAACAGGGAAACGTGTAGTAAACATTGCTTCATATGTTAAATACAAAGTAAATGCCATGCATAAAACTTTCTAGCCTTGGCTAATTTGCAACCCCTGTCCCTGTCGAGGCTTTTAATGACTTTGTTCCTGAATATGGATTTGCTTTTTTGATAAACTAACCTTTTCACAACATTTTGTGGATCTATAGAGGAATCTTTTTGCTCATTTTATGTATCCATACAAAAACATTAGAAAAATGTTACAAGATTTGAATTGTATTCAGAGTTGAAGTTGATTTTGTGGTTTAAAGTAAAAGTTCTCAACAAGTATTGCAGATATTGCTATGGAAACTTGACTGAATAGAATCCTTAAACTTTTGCTATCTTTTCATTTAGCCATTAAAGGTATCTACCATTCACATAAAGCATTGCTACTTTCAATGGTTGCTAAGGAAGTTTAGCTCAAAGACTAGTTTTATTGTGTTCAACATAGTAGATCATTTGGGAGACTTTGCCATCTATCATAAAACACGTTCTGGACATCAGGATTCTTAACATCGCAAAACCATGTAGAGTATTTAAGAGCTATAACAATGTGTTATAAATGCAGGCTTGAAGGCTTGGCTGTGCATAAATAGATGAGTGAGTCATCAACAATGAACTACACATGGCCTTATTCTCATCTAATGAATAACTATAGAGATATAAAGACACACAAATGCAAACTAAGATTGTTCAGCTATAAATTGTCCCTCTGAGCTGCCATTGTCCTGGAATAAAACCACCAATGAACAGACACAGTAGGTGTTTGCTGACACCTTCCTGGCAGGGGACACAATGAGATTGATGGACATCAACAGATGAGAATGTTACAAGGGTTAAACAGAAAGACCAGGAGGTATAAGGTTACTCTCACTTTCTAGTGTCCTAACTCATCTCTCCCTTTCTCACTCTCTCTACATTTGTCCTTACTCACCCTTCTCCCTCAGTCCAGTTTTTTTGTCAGCTGCTCATTGAACAGTTTGATATGCTAAATGAGTCACTGTGGAACCAAGAGTGCATGTCAGTTTTACTGTAGTTGTTGTTTTCCAGCGGTCAAAGGTTACACAAAAATGTGCCCAAATATAGTTCTAAACTTTTCCCATAATTATTACAAATGAAAGTTCCCTTCCTTTTTAATCTGATTTTAAAGAAGTAGTAAATAACTCTAACATCCATGTAGTATCCCTTTCCAAATGCATACAATAATTCTCTATAGCTCTCTGTCATCAGGTGGATTTTGAGTGACCCTGTGACTCTGGGGTCATATTTGTGGAGTCAGTAGCTGTCATCAACAGCTCTGCCACCTCTCTCATCTGTCTATTTTTCTGCCTGTTGTCATGCCAGACCCAGCAGCTTAGCACAGCAGGCACCATCAGTCCTTTCAAAGGCATTTAGGCAAGGCTCAAATCTTCCATGCACTGAAATCAAGCCTCCTTCTGTTTGTGTTTACAGAGCATTTGAAGTGATAAGTTCAAGCCTTTACAGTTTGAAACTATTTTCCATTTTTGTTTTTTACATTCATTATCTCTTAAGCTTAAAGGCTGTTTGTCATCTTGGAAAATAAAGTGTGTCTGTACGGCTAATATAAAACTGCAGCTGACAGCAAGTTAAATAGCTAAGTACAAACTGGGATGAAGGGGAAACAGCTTACTTAGCTCTGTCATAAGGTGCTTACGTAAGATTCTGCACTTGGCAAAGAAACAGTCTGAAATACATACAGCTTATCACAATTAATAATGTTGTGATGAGTTCAAAGAATTATCACCCGAATCTGCAGCTCACCTCAGCTTTACAGAGCGTTATAGTCTTATATTTCCAGCTCATTGATTCTCTGATAAGCATTACGTCTTTACAGTTTACTTTCACCACATCACATCCATAGCTTTAATTTTAAAGAAGGCAGCTGCTTTCAACAACACAGATTAAAAACAAACTGAAACATCCACTTTATGCAACACAATTACTAAAAGAAGACAGAAAGAGTTAGCAACTAGCTGGTGACCAAAGGTAAGCTTTAGCAGGTGAAGAGCCAGATATCATGAGGTGCTGGTGGAGGAAAGATAGCTTAAAGAGTTGGACAGAGTTACAAGTTCAAACGTCCTGATAATTCAATGTTGTTTTCCCATTTTTGCTACCAATCAGTGCTAAGCTAGCTGGCTGCTAGTAGTAACCTTGTGTTTTTTGTGCAGAGATAGATTAATTGTATGTGGTATGTAGTCACTGTGGAGCATCACAGTCACACATAATATCAACATGGGACAGGCCCTTCAAGTTTCATGGGGCCAGTACTTTTTTCAAAACTCTGCCTCTCTGTGTGTATCCTTAAGCAGGAAGGGAAGGCCTTTACTCAGAAGGTATGTAAAGGTAAGACGTATTAACAAGTACATGACGAATGAGGAAGACATGTTGTAGATAAAAACTGCCTGTGTGGAACAAAAAAAGGGGGATATGGTAGAAGGGTCAAGTTCCAGGCTCGAGCCTTAATAGGGTTAATTTGAGTCAAGGACAATGTTTGTGAGTACAGTAAAGGAGGTGGGCAACAATAGCCATACACCATAAGTGTTAAAAAGAGGCTACAGTTGGCTGTGAAGAGAGAGGAGAGGTGGGGGGGAAGAAGCAAGAAGAAATGAAAGGTAATCTGGCAAAATAACTTCATTAAAGTAAATTAAGTTGTGTATTTTTAATTATTTCAAAGTTCGGCAATTCCTTATTATCTCGTGCAAAAAAGATGTGGGGGGGAAAAAGACAGTGTTGCCTGAGAGAAACTCCCACAAGAAATATTCAGCATGTTCTTTAAGCTGTGACATTATGAAAATGTTGCTCTAACGAGGCAACAAAAGGAGGGTTGCTAACCAGACGACAAACGGAACCTGACACTGAACTGGTCTGTTAATGTTCTACACACACACACACACACACACACACACACACACACACACACACACACACACACACACACACACACACACACACACACACACACACACACACACACACACACACACACAACCAACTGCATAGATAACATTTGTGTATGCAGACAGGTGTTTAATACATTCTAAAGTTAGCTCGCCTGACCTCAGACTGCCAGCATTTCTGTATGTGGCTGGCAGTGAACAAAGAAGCAAAGGAAGAATGTGAAGGACGATAAGCTAACGCACACAAACGCGCCCAAACACACACAAACACATACCCATACTGAAGTCACAAAAGCCTAATTAACTGTCAGACCTTTGCCAGCTTGAATTTTGGACATGCAAGCAAGCTATACAGCACTGTGGGATCCATGATTTCTACCATTTTCTGAATGTTTTTTTGGTTTTTGGCAGAAGTGTGGCTCTATTGTTAAGACCTCTTTTTTTCTTAGAGGTAGCGAGCAAATTGTAGCAGATGGAGCGTTTTGAAGGGGAACAGGTTTTGTTTTTCTCTTTGTTTCTTGGTATTTTTTCCCCTGAAAATGAAATTAAGTGTGAAAAGGAAACTCTTGAAAAAAATTGAAAAGAGTAAAACACATCTCTCCCTCGAGGAGAATGGAGGTGAATGTAATTTCTGCAAAAATAGCAGATTGTGATTATGAAGAATTAACATCTCATAAAAACACTGAATCACTCAGTTTGGTAAGAAAATCATTCCTGAAGATAAATGTTTTGAACACATCTGAATCTCCAAACACCTCCATTGCAATGGAGTAGTGATTGAAATTTCAAAAGATGATAACAAAAACAAAATAATGGAGAAACTCCCTATGGCTAGATATTTTTATGAGTATTTAAGGGGTTATTTTGTAATGTGGATGAAAAGGCCTTTAAGCGTAGGTCTACTTTGTAGCCGTTACAGTATTTAGATATTTGAATGGTTGTGCTGAAGGAAGCCATTGATTCTCATTCATGGTGCAAAAATATTTTTAGATGAAAATCTTGCTTGAGATAGATCATTAACTGACTTTTTAATGACACTCTTGTTTTTATCATTTATTTATTTAAGTCTTCACTGTGGTCAATTTCAGAGATGACACTCAAGATTTGCCTCTTTTGCTGAGAATCGATGTTCTGACAAACATGCTCAGCAAACACAATGTGTGTATTGTCAGAAATCATGAAGTTACTCCACACTGTTGATTTTTAAAGTTTTGTGGAAGAAAAATATTGTTGACAAGCGCAGTAATCTCAAGCTCAGGGATCCTCACAAAGAAACAAGAAACTAATAACATGCAACGTTTTGTTGAATAGGACCAATGATACTCTAGATTCAAATATTAAAACTATTCAGCCTTAAAAAACTCATTATGAATCTTTGGATTGTTGATTATATATCACTCTGCTATCATCCTATGAGAACAAAACCTTTCAGGAACATGTTAAAAGACAGACAGACTTACCTGTGTGGAGGTATCAGCGGTCACAGACGGAGACAGACAAACGGACAGAGACAGACAGAGTTTTATACAGAGGTGGAGGGGTTTTATGTATGTGCTCTCTGAATGACTATGTGTGTATGCATGCTGTGAGAATGATGGAGTGTCCAAGTGAACAATACAAGAATAACTGAGTATGTGTGCGCAAATGTGCGGATTTGAGTGCATGTGTGTGTGGTCAGGGCTGGGGGCCACAGGTGGATTAAGCAGAGGCAGAAAGATAAGCACCTCGTAGGATTAGGGAGAACAGAGGGATGACCTCACTGGACAAATGGAGGGGTGCATCAGAGCAGGAGAAGAGGGGGATGACAAAATAAAGAGGGAGGGGGTATGACTGATGGAGGGAGAGACAGCTGGCTGGGAAGATCTGGCAGAGGAGATAAGGGACAGAGGAGAAACTACTAGTTAAAAGACAATGATAGCTATAGTTTGTTTCTTTAAAATCGCTCAACAACGTGGTGTGAATAGAATGAGAAACAAGTCTGTTGCGGCGGCAGGCCCTGCAACAGACTTGTAACAATGGTCACGTGGGTCTTTTTTTTTTTTTTTGTGGGTTATTTTCGAGGCATGATGGATTTCCGTCTGCCTCATAACCATCCAAACACTCCTCACAGGAGCTATGTTGTGTAGAATGTTGTGTGTAATCTTTTTTTTTTTAAACACCAGTTTGTTTTAAAGAACCCTTTGACTTCAGACTCATTTTTTAGTTTATATAAAATAACTAATAAAGCTTTAATACATTAATCTAAAATGGTAAGGTTTATATAAAATGCATGACTTCCTGTTAATCAGTTTGAGAATCATCGGCTTTTATCTAGACTTGTAATCCGGAGGCTTTTTCCATTTGCTTAATTCTTACATTTTAAACCGCCAGAAAAGTCTGAAAAGAACATCCACTGTGTATCAGTATTACCGCTCACATTGTGTGTGAGAAAATATACTATTTTTACCATTGTCTGTTAGAAAATTTCACACCATGATTTTATTCTGGAACCACCAATGAGAGTGCACCCAGCAGAACAGATGTGGAGGCTCAGCAACAATAAGAGGAGAGACAGACAAAAAGAGGAGTGAGGGAGGGGACAAACAGACGTAGGGAGGATCAGAGCAGATCCAGAAATAGAAGGATGACTGCTTCACCTGTTTTTTTTTGTTTTTTTTTCCATGAAAGGGGAGGTTTCCTGTTCACAGGAAGTGCTCCACATAGAAGAGCCCGCAGGAAAAGTAACCACACTTTTATCTCTAACTGATCCTAGTTCTGGCTGCGGAGTATCCGGATCAGATTATGAAGGTCACAGAGCTGGCTACAGAGCTTGCTTATTGTGTTAAAAAAGGAAGACCAGAATGAAAATAGTCCCTTAAGTTATGATAGCAATATTGATAAAAGGTATTTACTGAAAATGTAAGATTATGTTTATTTCAAGTTTATTCAACCACAAAAACCTCATTAACTTTAAGAATCTTTTAGGAGGATTTAAACTGCCTCTTCACCACCTGTATGACACACCAGACAAAGACTCCTCCCAAACCAAAAGATCAAAAATGTTGCCAGAGTTTTTTTGGTTGTGATGTTGAGTCCAATAGTCTGAGAGCAGATTGGCACCACTTCACAGACTCTGGTATCTGGTGCTGTTTTTGTGTCATACGTCAAATAAGAGAGCAAATGGAATGTATACAAAAAATAATTTTATTGATGAAGCATCACGTTTGAACAACACTTAAACAACTGGACATTACTGCTGTAGTTTCATGAAGACACCACAGGCATGGTGACTGTGAGGATCTGCGAAAGATAAAAAACACAGGAACAACTAAGTGTTTGTTAAAATACACAACAGGATGAAACAGGATTCATAAAGAACAGGTTCTCACACTCCATTGTTCGACGCCTTCTGAATGTGATTCAGTATGCACACTCCAGGCGAGAGAGAATCGTATGTGTAGCTTTGGATGCGGCTAAAGCATTTGACAGGGTGGAATCCGAATATCTTTCCGAAGTTCTTCAGAGGTTTGGACTTAGATCTTTATTTATTCAATGGGTGAGACTGCTTTACAGCGCCCCGATGGCTGGAGTGTTGGTTAACGGCTGTGCCTCACAGGCCTTTCACTTGGGGCGAGGCACAAGACAGGGCTGCCCATTGTCCCCTCTGTTATTCTCATTAGCTATCGAGCCTTTAGCAGACGCAATCAGGTGTGCAGATGATGTCTCGGCTGTGAATCTTGGCGGAACTGTACATGAACTGGCTCTCTACGCAAATGCTGTCATTCTCTTCCTGACTCAACCGGAGACATCTATTCTCTTGTCTCGATTATTGATGCCTTTGACAGTTTCTCTGGTTACAGAATTAACTTCGACAAGTCTGAAGCTTTGCCACTGGGTGACTTTGGAGATAAGAGTGCTCTGGTTGACTTTCCATATAAATGGTCTGACTTGGGTTTTATTTATTTAGGTGTTAAAATCTCTGCCAATTTAAACAATTTATTTAAGCTTAATTTTGCACCCGTTATATCTGTTATTAAAAATGATTTGCTCAGGTGGTTTGACCTCCCTCTCTCGTGGATCCTATACCCCATGCAAATGCTCCCACTGAGGATTAATAAGTCTGTGTTTCCCGATATTGATAAATCTATTTCAAGATTTATTTGGCATGGGAAAAAGCCAAGCCTCAATTTTAAAACACTGCAGCTGCCAAAAGAGAGTGGTGGTCTGTCAATGCCAAACTTTATGGTCTACAATTGGGCATGCCACATGCGCATAGTGTCAGAGTAGCTAAGACATTGTCTAGATTTGCGTCAGGAGACACATATTGATTCCTGGCAGTGCCCTTCTCGATCTCTACTCAGCCTTGTCACAAATGAATCTTTCTTGCTTCCACCCGAGGTCCAAAACAGCCCGATTTTGATGAACACAATTAGAACCTGGGAAAGGATTGTAAAGCTCGGCCAGAGGAAGGTTCCCTCTTCAGCCCTGCACCCCATTATTCAAAACAGAGCCTTCCCTCCTGGACTTGGTACTAATATATTTTAAGCTGGTATGATCTTGGTATTAGAATTGTTGGTGATTTGTTTGAGGCCGAGAACTTTTTATCATTTGAAAAAAATGTATATCTCACTTTTATGGGAAATTACAGTCCCTCAATACATTTAAGATTGACAAATTTAAAAGAACTTGGGAGAGGGACCTTGTGACTGATTTTGGTGAGGAGGCATGGTCCGATGCTGTGGAGTCATTCGGGAAAACCTTTCTGTGCAACAGCCTAACTGAGAGCCAGTAAAGGATCCTTCATAGGTTGCAACGTACACCACAATCCCACATTTTCTATTCTAACATTTCTCCTATTTGCATCAAGTGCAGGAAAGAGGTTGGATCTTATTTGGTTGCTTAGTTGGTACATCAGGCGCCCCGTGTACAGAGACTACAGACCGCGTCCCATAGGCAGCAGGTACGACTCCCAGTCCTGACACTGTTGGGTGCAGACGTGATTGTTGCACTTCCCCAGTATTTTGTTTAGTTTTGTTTAAGTATAAAAAAAATTATAAATACTTTTTTTAAGTCCGTGTATTGTCAATGCAAGGTTTTACCTATGTTAATGCTTAACTCCTAACTATAGGAGGAGGTTGTCAGAAAATGTGTGTGTCTGTGGGGCTGCCGTGAAGCTTGCTGTACTCAAGTATCCTGTTAAGACTAATACATGATGTTACACAGGCCCTTGGAACAAGTACAGAAGAAGACCCTGTGGCTGTCCACAAACACAGGCATCTGTATTTATGCAAGGCTTTACATTTTTCTTTCTTTAAATGAAGACTATTTCTATTTAGTTTGCAAATTCCTTTATTTCTAAAATGTATTTATATCTTTGAACTCAATTATGATATCCCGGGGATTTCCCATGAGAGGACCATGAGAGGACCCTGAGAGTACGTGTAACAAAGACACCCTTTAAATGTTGCACTTTCTTTAACCGGTGGTCAAAGAGTAAATGACTCAATGATAAGCGAGGTGAGGATGTCACTACTGTTTGCATGGGAATTCAAACAGTTCTACAGAACAGTAGATAAGTGCACAGTAAAGGCCTTGTGAGTTGTGTGTCATACCTGGGTGCTTTTGTTGTACTGTGCCACACTCTTCTCCTGGTGGACGAGAAACGGATGGAAGATGTCGAGATGAAAGAGCGACGGTCGAGCCGTCAACACCAGTCGATCCTCGCCGACGTCCAGAACCAGACAGCGAGAAGATGGCTGCACAGGAGATCAAATCAGACAGCTCAATCAGGGATACACTTCATAACGATGTGGTGTATAAATTGTAATGTGATGATATGTAACTTGCAAAATGATATTGTTTGATGAAGCAGTTTGTGTAACTATAATTTACATAAATCATGTGTGCGTTTGTCTAAAGCAGTGTTATCTGGATAACAGAGGATAGATTTGTTCTGCTTTCATGAAATTAGACAGGCTACTTCTGAAGTAGATCACTGTGGTCTCTCACTGAGTGTGGGGAGATAATCATCTCTCTGTGCAGCGCCAGGTGTGTGTGTGACTGATTGGCCCTGATTTGGACCAGGTGTGTTAAACTTATATATTCCCTTGAGTTGGAGCACTTGTGCTGACTCATTTTCTCACCTTCAGAGATAGTGATTGGTTGTCGCTGTCTTTTCTTGTGTCTGTAGAAGTGTGTGATTCTTCATAAGAACCACTTGGCTTGCTAAATATTTCCAGTAGCTCTATCAGTGTAGGTTGTTGGGGCTGGGAATTTTTGACCCAGCCTTTTTGGTTCCTTTATAAACATGGCCTGGTGGCCTTAGTTATTTCCTCTAATCTAGTTTCATCAGCTGCTTGGCAGCGGTGGTTTAGTTTCACCTTATCTCAGGGCTAATTAGTAAAGGTAGCCTATTTATTTTGATTTGAACTGTTTTGATTATTTTTTGAACCTGTAATTTAGGTAGTTTTAGGTATCAGGAAATCTCTGATGTAGGAAACAAGACTGAACAGTAACCAGATGAAGGTCACACGCTCTGTTTATATTGAGTAGGTTTGGGTGCAATAGACATCCATACTTTCCTGTACTTTTACTGAAAGTATGCCTTCACTTATTAACCCTCTGTTAACATGCTTGTCTAGCTCTCTCAGTTGAAGTTTGACGAACAGGTGAAAAGGTTACGCAAAACTGTCAAAACAAATTTAAACTGTTTTTGTCTAATAAGACAACATATACCACTAAAACAGCACAATAATAAATGGATGCCATGATTTTTTCTCACTTATACTGTATAACTGTTTGTGACCTGGCAAACCAAACAACAATTACACTTTTCAGGTCATTATATAAACAGCCACTGAAAATAACGGATTGAAAATCAGTCAGATGGCATCATTGCTTCATTTTAAAGAAACACAATGTACTGAGTTGTCACAGTTTTGTAAACTTTTCTTTTTTAAATGTGTAAACAACCTCGCTCCAGAAACAATCTGTCAGCTGATAAACAAACCGAACAGCGTAATCAGAACAATGGCTACATCAAGTGAAAGCTGTAGACCACCAAAACGCAGAACTACATTTGGTCAGTCATTTTTTCAGTAAGAGGAACACAGCTCTGGAACACATTACCATCTGAAATTAAAAAACTGACAGAGTTCAAGGTTTTTAAGATACAAATAAAACAGTGGCTGAAACTGAAGCAAGTTTGTGAGCATTGAACCTCTTAGAATAATTGTTTTACTGTTTAATCTCATTTAGTCTCTTATTTGTATTGAGTTCATAATGTCTGTGTTTGTATAGCATCAATATTTCTGTATTTCTTTTAGTCTAATAATTCAGTTTTAATCCTAAAAGCTTAGCCAGGGACAGGGGTTGCAAATTAGCATAGGCATCTACTTTATATTTTAACATATGAAGCAATGTTTACTATATGTGTCCCTGTTAAATAAACAAATAATAATAATACTGTAGATATTTAATAGAATAGAATAGAATATAGAAAAACAGAGATGATCAAAGGTAGATTTTAAGTGTAGGCTAATGCTAAAGCTCAGGCTCTCTTAAGAGGGTTGGAACCTCTGTGTACAGCTCACTTTTTTTGTCCAGACATATGTTTCACTTTTACAAGACTAAATAATTTGAGAGTAAAGGATAGGAGATCCGTTTTGGAAATGTAACACTCTCTAATGTAAGTTTTACAGGAGATGCTGGAGTGTGAGCTTCCCCAAACTAAATAGGGAGCAGGACTCCCAAAGAGTGAACGTGTGTTTCTTCCTGTTACTCCAAAAACTTTGAGGAGAAAGTTTACCAAAGAAGGCATTCAACATTTAACACTTATTCTATTTCCTTTGTCATTAGATTTATGTCAGTATTTCATACTGAACCTTCAATACAAGTAGAGAAAATAACTTAGAAAAATGTAGAAATCTACACGTAGGGAGGAGATAGTTGGGGATGACATGCAGCAAAGGGGTCGGGGGGGTCGAACCCACAGCCGACTATAGCCTCTGTACAGGCACATAACAAAACCACAAGGCTATCCGGCGCCCCGTTTAGCATAATTATTGATGGAGAGTCACATGATGCCATCACCCTGAGCAGTCAACCACTAATGAGCACCCACTCCTCCTGACTTTAATCTGTCTATTAACATATTTTCTTTAAATGTTAGAACTGCCCAAAGTTAGTTTAACAACATTGCCTAAATAATGCCATAGGCCTCTTGAAGAGAAGAACAAGAAAGTTTCCACAATTTCCCAGTTTGGGATCAATAAAGTAATTCTATTCTATTCTATATTCTAAAGAACATCATAGCCAGCAAGGATATTGGATATCGATGATGGATATTAAATCAAACAGCATCACAACATGGCTTGACTCTAACACAATACACATTACGGGAGCTGAGAGATGTATATCAGCAGTGGAGAACAACGTGTTGTTTAAGTTCAGGCTAACCGGATTGGAGCCCAATGTGCATATCCTGACCAAGAAGAGTGTTGATATGGAGCCACGGAGCAGCAGAGCATGTTATTGATTATTTAGCAGACTGCATTGGTGGCTAATGGCTTACATAGATATTTAGTTTATGGTCTGTACCTGTAGTTGACCAACGGTATACACTTGAGCAACTTTACAGTTAAAGACTGCCAGTAAAGATAACAGCAACCACAGCATGCATTGCTGTTCTGTGTCATATTCCCCCGACAGGCCATTCAGGTTTAAATGTATCTGATTTATATTTTTTTGTCTCACCACCCCAGGTAGCTTTATTTCTGCAATGAGGTACTCAGGGTCACCAGCAGGGGGCTCCACGAGCAAAGTGAACTCAGGCCTGGGGAGAAAGATAATCAGAGCAGGGGGCGAATTATGAGGCAAGAGAGAGAAAAATAAGAGGTTATAGAACAAAAACATGGAAGAGACGTAACTAATTAGATACAGAATGACAAAACAGGACCTCAGAGGGTCAGAAAAAGAGAAACATGGTCAGCATACGTGGCAAAAGTTTTCTTTTTACTCAAAGCTTCAAACAGGCACATAAGAAGAGCTTTACCTTCTGGCTGTAGGAGTGAAGCCGTCCCTGAAGGAAAAAAAGAGAGTGATAGAGATAAGCATGTGACGTAAGTATGAGCTCAAACACCATGAACTCACAAGAAAGCGCCTAGTCGCCATGTCTATGTACACATCTCATCTCATCTCAGGCTGTGGGGAAAACATCTGATGAAATTCTTGAACCATGATCAAAGATTCTTCATGTTATTGTTGACATTCTGCAATGATGGGTGTCATACTGATCAATAATCAAACAGAGAGACAGTGAGAGGGACGTACTGAGGCTCTAGCTCCTGAATCACCGGCCTGCTCTTCATCCGGATGTTCTGCTCACTGACAGAACCCAAAAACTTTCTGTTCTTCAGCACCTTCCAGTCTGTGGAGAAACACACACACACGCACACACACCTCAACAGCTGCTACAAGTGTGGGAAAAGTTACACAAAAAAAAACACACACATAAGCTCCTACCTCTACTTAGTTCCAGATTGTATTTGTTCTCTAAACCCTCTACAGACACAAGAATGACAAACTGCTGGAAGAGGGGATCCTCCTGCAACACACAAACACACTTTTCAGGTTAAAGACGTGTTTTTGATTTGATAAAGTATTTGTCTCCAAAGGGAAACTTAAAACAAAAACAACAGCATATAAACAGAACACAGATAAAATAAATAAATACAAAAGAATGATGGTTAAGGTTTAACAGTAAAAGTAAAAAGAAAACTGATTTCATCTGTTCATTTTCTGATTTTTCAATCCTATGTACCATTTAAGGTACTGCTTAGGAAACAAGTCCGGAGTCCTTTAATAAACGATGGATTATCACTATTCAACAAAGACTGTTTGAGTGACTGTTGTAAAGCCTGTCAAGTTTGCCTGACTCTCACATATGTAATTAAATATCACCAGGTTGATTTGTCTTTCTTAAACCATTGCTGATCGATTCTCACAATTACAGTCTTGTAATTATTATAAAAAGAAAATGCATTTAAAGTGGCAAAACCTAATAATAAAATCCTTTAAACACTTATCAACTTTGACCATTTGGAAATATTTGGTGTCAAATAAGACGGCTCATTTCCCAGATTGTCAGATAAACACAAATGTTTTAGTTGAGACAGTTGATGTGCATTGAAATAATTGTTTCTATATCAACGGTATCTGAAAGAATTCAAACATGCAATGAAAGCTGCACCTTAAGTAAGTCTGTCATCTCTACTGATCATCTTCTCTTTATGCATCGTTACTACATTCGATTGTTGTGTACATGAAAACACACACCTGGCACTTCTGGAAGAACTCCTGGTTGATGACCACATCATACGCTGTGCAACCCTGAGAGTCTAAAACAGAGAGAAAAAAAATGTTGATGGTATTTTAAAAACTGCATGTTATACAAGTGCAGCTAGAAAAGGACAGCAGGCTCTTGAGACAGAAGGACTATGGAGGGAAAAGAGTTATGTTGGTCAAAGATAACATGCATCTGTTAAGGCCATGGGAAAATAAATATGAGAGTCTAACATGACAATAAATCCAGAACAGTTACTGAGTATCTTCAAACTTGACACAGCCCAGCTCTCGACTGTGACAAAGATGGGAGACACATGGGTATACTGATTAATGAAGTAATGTAGTCTATTCAATTAACATTTAATCAGAATTATAATATTGTAGTCAAAACTGGTGTAATGGTGTTGAACCTAAAATGTATTTTCATTAAGATACAATCTAGCAGGAGAAAAGCAAACTTAAAACAGCTCAAAATGAAATATAACAAACTAAGCTCATGGTGGGAGGCCTACCTTATTTAAATCAAATTATTCAAAGTAAGCTTCATTCAGTGTCTATTTGAATGTGCATTAGCTTTATCCCCAACTGAATGATGGTTTCACAAACTGTATCCTGTTTAGTTTATTAATTAGCCCTAATGAAATTAACATCTCCTGATGTAAATGTAGGCTCTTATTCCCTGCGGAGTAATGCAGCCCTTTCATCTCGATGCTCCTAAAAGACATTGCATGTTCTACAAAACAGTTCATTTTATGGCTTATAGTAGGCTATCCTTTACATATAATATTTAAACAACCTAGATTTTTATTTAGGCAAATGATGAATCTCTCACTGACACGCACCTGATACAGACAGAACGAAAAAATTAGGAAATTAAGCAGCGTTTCTGGCTCTCAAAGAGGTAGGAGACAGAGAGAAACTGGGGGTTCATTGAAGCAAACCTGCTCCCGACAAGGTTAGGTTCACAGACTCAGCTACCATAGTAACTGACTCAGAGCTGAAGCTACCTCCCTCTCTGGAACAGGCTTGAGTTACCTTTTTCTCAGGTTTAAGTGTGAGTTTCCCTCAATTCAGGGTTAACTGACTCAGTGTTTGCACTAAGCCTGCTTACTGAAACGGACCTCAGGTCTGCAGCCCTTGGTACTGAAAGCGAGCATCAGTAAACTCATCAATACAGGCGGGCCATCACTCACAGGATGTGAACATTTCCTGTTCACAAAGGGGCTTCAGAGAATGCATGTTTGTTTGCAGCTTTGCAGCTGTCAACTGCTCCCTCTATCTATTAGTGCTTTCACGCTTGCACAAAACTTCTGAAAAAACTCATCATATATCTCAAGGTGGGATGCATGAGTGAATGCAAACAGTCATATTTTTCACTAGTAGGGCTTTTCACATGTGCAGAAAACTTTCTCCTGCCAGAATAATAGTATTTTTTCCACAGCAAGTCAGAGTAGGCTGATGTGAGAAACACTGCAAAATATTCACCGGAGAATTCAGCTAGAGCCAATGGGGGGGGGGGGGTCATATGTGAACGACCAGGTCAGGCGAATATCAGAATCAGAATCCGCTTTATTGGCCAGGTATGCTTACACACACAAGGACTGTAACTTTGGTGAACTGCTCGCTTATGTACAGGTATAACTTTAAATATCAACAATAAACACAATAAGCAAAGACTAATATGTACAAGACGAAATAAGAAACAGTGCAGTGGTGAGAAGTAGTGCAAAAGATGCTGAAGTCACATGATGATAAAAAAAAAGCAGTTATGTGACAGATGGGTTCATTTACATGAGGTAGAGTATTCTGTATTTAAATTAAAAGTGTGCGTAGATTGATCATTTAAAGTAAATAATATATATATACCGGTACATATATGTACATTCACAGTGACAGTTTGGTTTAGAGTTATTTCACAGCGACAGGTCTGACACTCTGTGACTGTTTAGCATTCATCAGAGTGACAGCTTGGGGGAAGAAACTGTTCTTATAACGGGTTGTTTTGGCATACAGTGATTTGTAACGCCTACCAGAGGGGAGGAGTTTGAACAGTTTGTGTCCAGGGTGTGAGGAGTCTGCAGTGATGCTACCTGCCCATTTCCTGGCCCTGGACTGGTGTAAGTCCTGGATGGGGGGCAGGTCCACACCAATGATTTTTTCTGCAGTCCTCCTGAAATTATTTATTTTCAGGACTGTATATGTGAAACAGCTTAGGACTTTCTCCTGCCAGCCCCCTAGTATTTCTTTGAGGCATTCCTCTAGAAATTCTCTAGTGCATATATAAAAACAGCCCCAAGTTGACGGTCTTTTGACAGTCACTTTACATAGAAACCTCTGCTATCAGTGTGTGGGTATGGGTAGGTATGAGCTGCGGTAGTCAGGAGACTAGAAAGACACAAGCTAAAGTCCATTTCAAAATACAGAGGACATCTTGGGCTTACTTACTTCACATCCCAAAAATTCGAACAAATCTCGGTTAAGCAGCAATTTGAGATCATGCAGCACAGACCCGGAATAATCTCCCAGAAGATGTAAGACTAGCCCGCATTCTGACACCCTTTACAACAAAGCTAAAAACATTCCTTTGGACACAGACTACTCTTGCTCTTACATTTTTTTCAAACTATTTCTCTTATAAATCATTTAAAACTATATTATAAATCAGCTATACACCTCTTGTCTGAACTTGTCTGTCAGAAAAAAGACATGATTTTTTTCCTCTTGCTCTTTGTAATTGTATTGCTGATTTTTGTTTTGTTGTATTACCCCATTCAACACTTTGAATTGCCTCAGTTTATGAAATGTAATTTGGATGATTTGGATGAATTTGATGAGTTCCAGCTTCAGTCTTGGGAAATGTCACAGGATGTCCACTTAAAGTATTTAATTAGAAATTTCAGTCTGCTTACTGGATACAAACGCTCCGGCCAAAAAAACAACATTCTCAAATATGATAGGGCAATAAAAAAGATGAAGTCAGTCCTGCCTGAGGGTTTACACAAGTGCAGGCAGGTGGTTATTAGAGATTAGTTTATAGTGACGACTGAGGAATATGTCTGTACAAGACTAAATTCAGATTCAGAAGCTTTATTAGCACGAGTGTGACACTTTTACAAGTGGAAGATTATCTATACAGCAGCTATCTGAACTACAGCCAGAAGTTAAATGCCATGACGAAGTAATTGAACACAGGCATGAACAAAAAAGCTTTACAGCAGAGCTTTGATGTATGCTCCAGTACAATTTTAACAAAACCATCCTGTGCCATCAGACGCAAAACATATGTTTAATTTGTTGTTTGTAGTGTTACTTCATTACATTTTATACCTTTGCAATTCACATATCGACAAATAATTCTTATTAAAAAAATATTGTTTAATTCAGTGAGTTTTCAAAGTAGTCAGTCACCAGGATCAACTCGCTACATTGAAATAAAATGGTTACCCAATAAAAGGTTTGTTTCTAGAGAAACATAAGCTCTATATGTGTGTATAATGTTATGTTGGTTTGGTATAGAATGGTTAGAATGAATGGGTTGAAATGAAAAATCAAGAAAAGACACGCACATCCCTAAGTATGGGGCTGGATCCAAAAACACAAGTAGGTAAAAAGAAGCAAACAAGATCTGCACATCAGTCAGACCTGTCTGAGGAAGAGCATGTTGGCTTGAAACATCACTTGTCTATAAATCCTTTTAACAGGAACTCCTTGGTGTGCAGATGTTGTTTGCTTCTTTTTACATAATCAATGGGTTACACACACACGCACGCATCGACAGCAACCAGCTGCACAAAGCAATTTAATCAGCAGTATTTAAAGTTTCATATTTAACATGGGAAGTTGCACCTAATCACTGCATCTAAGGAGAGATGTAACAAAGGACGCCTCTCTCTCCAGTTACCTTCAGAGCCTGCATCAGATACTACTTGCACTACTTATAATGGATGAATAGCTAGTGGAGATATACTTTTACCCACATACGATTGTAGATGACATTTGAATATGGATTTTTTTTTTAAAGGAAAATTGCAAGAAGGGTCAGCAATCAACTTGAATGCCGTAAATATATTAAGTCAATTGTCACAAACATCTTGTGCAAGCCAGAGTTCAAGGCAGGATATTAGATCCCTGTTAAGCCTCGCCTGCAATGTTTAAAGCATGCAGTTGGAATGGTAAGGCAAAGTTGATTTGTCTTTGATCTACACATCAGAAGTAGTAACAGAGTCATTATGGGGGGATGTACTGGTTATATGGAACATCTGAGCCAGCAGGAAAGAAGAGCACCGTATGTATGTGTGTGTGTGTGTGTGTGTGTGTGTGTGTGGTTGTGCATGCCTGAAAGTGTGTGTGTGTATGTGAAGCTCCTGCTGTGTGTTTACACGCTGTGCCTCTTGAGGCTCTTGTGCTTCTGCAACATCAGAACGCGGTGTAAAACAACACACTGGGACAGAAATACTAAGCTGTTGTGGATTCAATGTGTAAACAAAAAGTGTAAAGATGGCACCACTGTTTTACAGCACTGTGGAGGAATAACAATCTCTAAAGGGCTTATGTTATCACACAATGAATCATTTAATATATGTCACTAGCCTAAAAAATATAGTAATCTTAAGCTTCAGTCACTTACTGTTGTCTATTTCTGTGTGTGGCTCGCCGAGGCTCATGGGAACTCTGAAGCCACTGGGATCTTCTGATTGAAGCAGCTCAACAAGCTCCTCTCTGGACAGTTCTGGAGGCTGTGGGACTGATTGTGACTGACAGATGTTGACAAAGATCTTTTTTTTGTCTGACTCTGACAGAGTCTTCACACATATGCCTAGGAGAGAAAGGGGGGGGGGGGGAGACAAACATAAATAAAATACAACAAAAATCCTGACCATAAAGGAATTGTGCCCCAAACAAGAAGGTTTGCAACAGCTTGAGTTATAGAGACACTTACCAGGGAGTGGCCGAATAACTTTGGAGTCTGGATTTTCAGTCTGCATTTTTCCCATTGTCTGGATAAACAACAAGACCATTAGGCTTAGTCATAGTTTCTATACACACTGTGAGTTGTTCAACGTGGCCACAAATAAGAGCTGCTGCCAACAGTGGTTTGCTTGTCCTTGCATAAAACCTAAATAGAGCCAAGCGAGCTGATGAAGGTAAACAGTCTGTGCAAAGCTTGGCTAAGTGGATGCTGGCTCAAGCTATGTTACAAATAAACAGATAAGAGATGAATGGACCTTGTCATCAAACGCTAAACAAAGCAAATAAGCAGATTTGACAACATATCAAACTAATTCTTGAGAGAAAAGTCAAGGACCTTTAAATGAAGATAGACACACTGTCTCTCTTTTTGTCACACTGTAACAACATGAGTCTTACTCAATGTGATAACAACGTTTGCTGCTGCAGTCTAACCAAACCGAGATGTTCACACTCATGAACTCGTGGACTATGAGGTGTCTTCCCTGTAAGTGTGGGAGGGCTGTCCCACTGTCAAATCATCAAATCCAAAAGGGGTTTGATGGAGCTTTTACAACACCAAAGGAGTAAATTAGAATTACCTGTAACAGAAGCTGTTGGTACAGCTCCTCTTCCTGCTGTAACTCCAGCTCGGAGTTGAGTAAGGAGGAGTTTGTCATCATGGCTGAAGAAAGAAATCCGTCAATGAATCCAACTTCAACATACAAAGTGAATTCAATAACTTTTTATTTTCAAAAGTAAGAAATCAAATACCTCCAATTTACAATGGAAAGGGTTGTGCTTAGTTTCAGATATGCACACATTATAATTTATAATATTCACACATATTCAACCAAATTCCTGTTTAGGTGCCCCTTTAAAATTCTACAATTCTACAATTCACTTAGCACTCTTTAACATCAAAGAGTAAGTACAACACAAGCAAGGATCTAGAAAAAAGGGAACAATGTCAGTAAGAGCAAACGACCAGCTTTGAGTCACACAGTCGCTGACAGGCATTGCACAGAGGCAAAGCACAACACTGACGGCAGTTCTTGAGAGCTCTAATCAGTATAGAAACCATCTTATAAGTCATCGTTATCAAACAAAAACCATCATCATCATCAATAATATTGAGACCATCATCATGAAGTTAGTAGGTATTCATGAAAGAGCTCATATTGTTCATTGTTTACAACTTTTTTTTTTAACAAATACCCAAAACTTATGAAATTGTTCTACTACATTTAAAATGTGCTCTAAGCCTTGGATGTAAGTTTCTTGGCGTGCATCATACTGAGGAACAACAACACTTCTAAGGAACAGTGTGATTATAAATGTCTTTTAACTGCTCTTGGTTAAGTGTCTTGAGATAACATTTGTTATGAATTGGCGCTATACAAATAGATTGATTGATTATCAAATCAAGTAAACTTCTCTTCACACGCATGCGCAAACCTTATATAGTTACGTGCTACTACAGTCTATGGCTACTGCACGGAAGACGTCTCCAAAAGTTACAATAGACAGATGGACTCAGATTCTGCATTTAAGTAGCTACAGAGCTAAAGATTGTGTAATGTATGGAAACACTTGCATTTGTATCCATACGACCAATCAAACCTCATTAATAACAGCATGATTAACTGGCTGAAATAAAACAGCGGGGAGTTTAGGACACGTCGTTGCCTTGGTAACAGGTCTGCATTAGGTGTGTTGTTAGCACAGCTTTAGCTTATACCATTTAGCAAAGCGCTGGCGGACAGGCTGGGAGGCTTTGCCCTTTTATGTCGACATAAAACAACTTTACTTTTTGCGGTGTACATATTTTTTTTTTTTTACGGTTTCTCTCTTCTGAATAGGTAGGAATGAGTTTACCTTTCCACTGCACCGGTGTTTGTATTGAGTTGAAATGCCCGGTGAAACAGCAAACCGTACTTCCTTATTCTCCTTCTTCTTCGTTGGTTTTTGATTGCGCTTGGAATCCACAATGTTACATTACCGACAACTGCTGGGCTGAAAATGAAACTTAATTCTCATCGTGTCCTAAAATTAAACTCCCCTTCTTTTTTCAAGTGGTATTCTGTTCAAAATATAGTCTATTTCGGAGCCTCTTTCAGCAGCTCCTGCTCTTCCGGTCCAACCATATAAACTAATTATTTAAAGCATAAACAATAGGCCTATTATTTCAGACTACCTCTTTGCATCAGCAGCTCATTTAAATTATCACAGTCTAAGACTCTCTTAGAAATTATCATGTTTACTTTCAGACCTTTTTTGCTGTATTTTCCTCACGTTTCCCAGTCCTTTAAAAAAAAAACAACTTTACCTCATGTTTTCCACCCCTTATTCATCTCTGCTCTTCATGCATTATAATTAACACCATAATGATAACACTTTGCCCCCCCCCTCCTGTGGACAGGAATTTTTGAAAGGCATCTTCTTTTTGTGCAGGTACAGGACAATTCAAGTTGAAACAAAGCTTCTTTTATTCATATTTTTTGTCTTAACAATTGAGCTAATGGGAGTTTGAGAGAGGGTGCCATTAGTGAATAATGCAGACAGATTTTACTGTCAACTCTGTGGTGTTTTAACATCTTGTACTGATGTGGTTGTACAGCACACAACAGAACTGTGCATCAACATCCTGAGCATTTAGCTGCTAATGACACTGATATAACACAACTTTGTTAGCTTGAGAGTTTGCTAGCAGAGCTGAGTTGGCTGAAGCAACATAATGTTTCACACAGAGTGCTTCATAGAAAACTGTCAACAGAAAATGATTCCTCACAAAGTCATTTTTAACAAGCGTTAAATGTTTTTTTATTACAAAATATGTTCTTTACAATAACAAAAAGAAACATTGACCAGTAGTTATGAGCTATCAAAACATAAAAATGAAAATTTACAGAGTGAATTGCTGCAGAATTCTTCAACCTAACTTTGCCCTGACTTTTCCTGCAAGCCTCATTACTAGTGTCAGACTCTGTTCTTCACTCAACACCTTGGATTTCAGTAGCATCTTTTTTTTGCATCATATCTTGCCTCCATCTCCCCCATCTATAAATAAAGTTATTATTATTATTATCTCACTTAAAATCTCAAACCACTGAGCTGTATCTCAACCAAGTGCCTCTAGGGCAGCTATTTTCATCCTTCAGTCTATACGGTATAATTCATATTAAGCAGTATGACATACACATAAATCCTTACTGTGTGTATAAAACCAGCGACTGTGACAATTCCTTTTCGGTCTGTGACAAACACAAATCAAATGGACTATTTAAACACCATGAAGGCTTAGAATCACACTTTATGCATGCAAAAAGCTTAGCTTAATATGCGTACCAATTTTGTTGAGTGTACGTGAAAAAAACCTTTATGGGGAGGCCATTTTGAAAATTTCAAGGGGGCGCCACTGAGCCATTTTGCGAACTCCGTTTACGAAGCCACCAAAATACCAAATTTTTCACCAGACCTGATGGCCGTGGAAAGTTTGGTGAGTTTTCGGGCACATTCAGGCCTTCAAAAGTGGCCGCAAAGTGGCGGAAGAAAAATAAGGAGGATAAAAATAATAATCACTAGGGTTTCAAGAGGGTCCTAAAAATGAAGTTACTCTATGATTATTCACTAGCACATCAAATGCTGTGTTGCAGCTCTAAGGCAGGTACATATATTATTTTATATTATTAGACTAGAATATAAATGGACATATAAGCAGTTATTTACTGTATTAAATATGGTGTAGGTCTTCTGTAAATGAAGCGTTCATGGGTTAGAGAATTCCAAAGGTACGTTTTCACAGCTTATCTGAGGGAGAGAGAGAGAGAGAGAGAGAGAGAGAGAGAGAGAGAGAGAGAGAGAGAGAGAGAGAGAGAGAGAGAGAGAGACAGAGAGAGAGATCAGTCAAATTCAGGTTCATTGACAACTACAGTAGGTTTACACATACAAGTATTTTGTTTGGTGTTTTGGTGCAAAATAATGAACTAGAGAATCTTGTTAACAGCAAAAAAAAACAAAAAAAAACAGTGAATCATTATTAATAAGTGAAATGAAAAAGAGCTGCACAGTTTACAGTTTGTATCCACTGCCTTTCCTGCAGATATGTGAGGTGTGTTTTGTGCATGTTGCTTAGCATCCTCATTGTGAATACATCTTTATGAGCATCATAAAGTTTTTTGGCCAAAAAAGTCCCCCTGAAATGCTTTCTAACAGGAAGCTTTTCTGCCTGCATTGCATTTAACATCCTGTTGAGACTGTACTGTTTGCAGGTGCAAATAAGTGCACTAACCTTTTAACAAACAAGTCCCCGTCGGTAGGGCAAAACCTCCAAAACACCCTCCAAATGAGATATAGCCTATTTTGCAATACTCCGGGTAAACATTGCATTCAACATGAAACCCCGAACACAACAGTGCACACAGGCCCTGCTAAAAGGAGCCTTTTGTTTGTAAGTCTCTAATCACTTTTACCCAAATGATTCACCTAGATTTATTTTTACCTGCATTAAATGTGACATCTCTACATCTTGTTCATTTGTAGAAGGCATCTGCGCGCTTGACTGCAAGATATAAAAATGTGGGACATATACATTAAAGAAAGGACAGTTTATTTTTATGGCATCTTTCATACAGAAGAATTCAAAGAGCCACACATGTATATATACACACACATAAAAATGTCCCTTTTTGTATGGATTTGTTTGAATATTTGTATGTACGTCAAGTGACGTCCATTTATATTAAAAGTGATCCATTACAGAGGATATTTTAGAAATCAAGCTTGTTTTTGATAAAATTATGAGATGTTCAAATTTCACTGTGCCATAATATACTTTTCAATCAACATGGGAAAATAGACCTCTTTTTTTTGTTAATAATCAATTGCCGTTAATCTGAATTATTGAAATGACATGGCTGAAGGACAGCACCCAGATATTTTCAGCTTCACCCCCCACCTTCTAAATCCAAATGTCAAAGTTTCAGTTATTTTAAATCCTCAGCAGATACAAAGCAGAAAGAAAGGCGAGCTGGAGTATATCAACATCAATGGAGACAAAAACAAGGACGTCCAGACTTCCAAATAATAGTGTGATACACAAAATCATTTCACAAGAACTGAAAAATACTAGCAAAATTACCATCATATCAGTCATTGGATGAACTCCTACTAGAGTCAGATTTGCTTCATTTGTTAGAGTCTGAAAAAAGGGAGAAAAACATTACCTGTGTTGATTTTAGTCCGGGTTATGTGTTTATCTTCTTATTTTTTTAATATCATAGTTTTCACTAAGTTTGTAATATGATGTTCTGCTGACGGCAGACTTGTCCATGACCGTGATAGCCTGGGTATGTTGAACTCGGTAGAATAAGCCCCTGCTCCAGCTTGTCTTCTCAGCGCATAGCTGTGACGAGTGACGTCAGAGTGGCATGCATTCTAACCTGGCTGTTCAGACTGAGGTCACATTGCAAAAGATCCAAACTGTATCCAATTTAGATCCACAAATGAAAGTAGCCCAAATCTGATTTGAAAAGATCAGATTCCATGTGATTTGGACTGTTCACACTGCCATAAAAAGATTCAGGTGACATTTACCTGCAGTGTGAACACAGCCTAACACTCGTTTGTTCCAGACACACATAATAATAATAAACCTGACTGAATATCCTCAGCTTTCATGTTACTTGTCCTCACTGTGTTCCTGCCTACACACTTAAAGACAGGCTGCTTAACTGGTTATCAATTTGGTACAACCAACACACTTACCACTGGTCGCCTTTGTTGCCGCATGTACAGGTAAACAGCCACTGGCACGACCACATTGAGGATCATTGACACCACTAAAAATATCTTCAGTGATAAGGTTTCTGCCATAGAAAAGATGACAGATAACCAACATGAATACAATTTTAGGTAACACTTTATTTGAAGGGGTAAGCATAAGACTGACATGACACCTGTCATTAACATGAAGGAAGCCTTTATATGTATGAATGTATATGAATGTTGTCATTCAGTCAATTAAATCATCTTCAATGCAAAGTCGACATTGTTTAGGATATCTTTGTCATGACGACTTGACATATCTTCTATAAACTCTTCAGGAATAAAAATAAATTCAAACTAAATTGTATGGTTAATGTTGTTCTTTTAGGACATCAGTAAACAAATTAATATAAATAATTAGTGTCAATTTATCACAAATGTTATATCAATACACTTTATAGGTACTGTTTGTACTCTTGGTTTCATTATTTACAGACACAAAGTATTAGTTGTATCTTTTCTTGAAGTTTTGTACATTTTGATCAGATATGATTGTGACTGAACTCGTGAAAACAAGAGGAGCCCCGCTGAAAAGTCATCGGCAAATTTAACTATTTTGATCTAGTATCCAAGAACTAAAAGCAAACTTTTTTTAATCCCATAAAAGTGCGGATATAAATATGTACACACACAATTTCTGCATTTTTGGACTGTTGTTAAAAAAGATATATTTTAAAAATACAAAAACAATGCTTCATGCAGTTCAAGATGTCACCAGTATTAAGTAAACACGTACCTGTTTCACCGATGTGTTTTTCACTCTGTGAGTTTGTGCCTTCAAAGATAAAAAGAATTACATACATCACTTTATTGAAATGGTAAATGGACTTGAGCTTCTTTTCTGGTCTTCTGACTACTCGAAGCACTTTTTACACCACAGGTCACACCTACCCATTCCCACCCATTCCCACCCTGATGTCAGACGCTGCTATGTAAAGTGTCCATCAGTAAAGGTAAGCCCATTCATACACATTCACATGCCGCAGATGTAGCAGCGGGAGCAGTTTGTGGTAACGTGTCTTGCCCAAGGACACATCGAACATGTGGCCGCAGGTGCTGGGGATCGAACCCCAAAACATCCGGTTGAGAAGCGACCACCTCTACCACTGTTACTATTAATCCTATCAGCCCATATTTATGCATATATATGTACCTATGTATTTTAGATTGTTTGATATTCTTTACTAATCCACAAGTGGAAATTCGGGGTTTACTCTCTGTTATTTTCTAGACTTGCTTCTCACACACTCAGGCCTGAATCACACACATGCATTAGTGGAGAGATGTCAGAGTGGGGCTGCTACACAGTGCTACGCAGGGAACGCACCAGAGCGGTTGGAGGTTGGGGGCACCTCTGCAGTGCTTGAGAAGTGATCTGGCACCTCTCCAGCTACCAGACCAACTTCCATATATCGGGACTTGAACTCCTGTTACCAACACAAGTCCCAACGACTGAGCTACTGCCGCCCTATGTATGTATGTATGTATGTATCTATCTGCAATGTAGCATTGTGTGTATATATATATATATATATATATATATATACACACATACATGCCGTTTAGGATATTATGATATATAAATGACAACCTGAAACCTTGAATGTAAGGAACGATAAACTGAATATGTTGAATGAAACTCTACATATATTGAGTTCAAGTCAGAAAATATTCAACGAAACTCTGAATACATTCAAGTCTAATGAAGTACAATTGCAGCTAGTAGATTTTGTGCGGTCCCTCTTATAGTGGCACTTCTTGCAGCTACGTTTGTGTAGAATAATAATACACCTCAAAAAACACAAGACGTCAGTTATCATTACATATCTATTCAGACTTTCTTTTGAAATATTCAGAGTTTAATTCAATATAGACTTTAATTGAATATTTATTTGAATTGTTATCCTACCATGAATGCCCTGTGGGACTGCTGTTGTTGTTGTTTTTGTTGTTGTTGTTGTTGTTGTTGTTGTTGTTGGAGGTCTCATAACTGTTGTTCTTTCTAGCAGTGTATTGGTTGGTGGTGTTGTTGTAGTTTCTGTAGTTTTTGGTGGTATTATTGTAGGTTCTGTTGTTGTTGGTGATGGTGGTGGAAATGTTGTCTGACCTGAAACAGCAATCATGTAGTCATTCAATCAGCCTACACTGTGGGTATGTTCATTTCAAAAGCAAAAGAAAATTGGTATGCTATGAAATAGGAATGGAAAAACAGATGTGATTAATAACATATTGGTCAAATCCATTAAGGGTTAATTACTTTGTTGTGAGCAATACATACACAAAACACAGATTAAGCAGGCAACAATAATAACAATCATGGTTCTCCAAGTGTATCTCTCAGTACATTTGGAGCATGAAAGTGGGTGGGAAGATGAGGAACATGATTGCAATTTCAGCAGACACTGTGAAGTTGAAGATGTGACTTACCGGCAAACTTTATTTGTTTATAGATAGGGCAGACGACATCTAAAAAAATTACATGAAAATGATGTCAACAAAGGTCATGCAATGTAAATTAAATTTCTAAATAACTCATACAAAAAGTGAGAACAGTATGTATACACGCACACTGTTAGTACGTATTTTCATGGATTCATTCATCTTAATAATTTTGTGGTCATACCTTTAAATTGTGTCAACCATCTCACAGTAATTCTACTTTTGGGTCTGTGAAGCTGTAACCTTATATGGTGAAACATGTAAATTGTAGCAGATCTATGTTTGGATAGGAGCCAACCATATGTTGTCAACAACTGTTTGCTAGACAAAGAGTCTACATCGGTTACGTATACAAATCAGTGTCATGTCATCTTTATTGTTTTAAAGTGATGTATCCAAAGAGAAAGGAATTTGTGGGCTGTACCTTCTAGCAGAATATAAGCCACACTGTGTGATGAAGACTTGGCCACTTTGCCAATGATTGTCAATGATTGTGAGATCTTGGTCAGCATGGGTCAGCGATGGTCTGCACTTTTTCAGCCATGTGTGTTGTGTTTCTGTGTTGTCTGACCATGGCTGAATAAATCTAAGATGATCCACAGTCTGTTTCACGATTTCATCATTGTTCATCTACTACAGAAATAACCCCCACCTAACACACACACACACACACACACACCACCACCAACAATGACACTCACCGTATTCGCAGCCTGTGATGGAAAAAGGAAAGAGAAGCAAGTTTTACTAATTTACAGTTTGACATTAACTTTGTCATGCAGCTTTAGTGATTATTTTACTGTTTGTGATTCATCAATTTCATTCCAATAAAGCAACAATTTAATAATTAAATATCATGAAAAGAAAGTCAACTATGTTGAATCTTAAGTAAATTTAACTTTGAAATACTTTTTTTGTTTTTTGTGTACAATAGTAGCTTTCAAAGTAGACTAACCATGACTTAAATGTCTCGACAAAGACTCAGGTTGTATTTTACATGCATCAGTCAGTACGCCTACATGACCTCTATTAATAATTATAATAATTTATTAATCCTGCTAGGGACACTGATAGATGAAAGTAAAAATGACTTTCACTATATGACATACAGCCAGTTGGCAGCTTGTTCACTTTATTGGTAAGTATGTGACATAGGTCAACAGGAAAAAGTTCCAATAGTTAATGGCTGAAACGGGGCATATCGCCATCTACCATAGAAGAGTCAGACATACTTCCATCGATAAATCAATTCTCCCCGCCGCATACTGGGAAAATGACAACAGTACAACTAAAAGGACTAATCAAGCTCTAACTTTAAGTTGACTGAACAGAGCATGTAAATGTACTGACTGTAACCCACAGAATGGCAGTGTAAATACAGCTGGGATAAAGTCAGGAGATATATTTGGAAAGATTTTCACGGAACTTAGGGTTTTGAAAATGGTACAGACCAACTAACATCTGTCTCTTAACGGTCTCTGATTTCCACTTTTTAAGGAGGAAAAAGTAATTACTTAATTCTATTCTTGTGCATTTCGTTGCGGTTGTGTCAAAATACATGCATTACAATGAGTAAGGGGGACATTTTTTTGTTGTCAAGCCAATTGGATCAAATAGTTGTTGACCAGTACAGTAAACCCACCAAAACGTGTCAGAGCATTACCTATGTGACTCAAGTTTACTGCATGAAGATTGGCAGCCTTGGCCGTCAAGCACAGGAAGTGATGGTAAGTGACATTATGGGAAAAATCCCCTTTGCACTTTTCAGTGATGCTGGGTTCATCCGGCACTTTATCCCGAAAGCACAAAAATAGGGGATTTAATGGGCATTCCGTTTTTTCCATGCACGCTCTTTCTATAGTACACTCCATTATATCCTGTATTGGGAAAAGCACACGTGTAAACAAGTTAGCCCAGTTACTTCTCCTCAAAATGAACACAGAATTTACAAAGAATCTCAACAGATGTTTCAAAAGGTTACCTTGGGATCCTTTGTTTTCACAAGTGGGATGTCTGGCCTTTCTACGCTCTAAAAGTGAAACAGAGAGAAATACAAAATGAAGATATAAAAACTGTGATCTACGTCTAAGGGTTGATTAAAAAAACCCAATAATTGATTAAAGGATTAAAAAGTTCTCATAAATAAATAAAAAATCTGAATAGAAGCATTTAGAAAACTTGTATTCTCTTTATTCTCATCTATGTTATTTGATATTGTCATATTTGTAAGTTTTTAGAGCAGAGGCTTCACTAATACCTAATATTAAAATGTGATGGTTATTTTATGAGCTACTTTTAGAGATCACATTTGTTGATGGTGACAAAATAAAATAAAAACAGAAGAACTTTAAACTTTTGCTGCAAATAGTAAAAATTATCAAACAAACAAAAGATTAATAAGAAACATTATGACATGTATACATACATACATATATATATATATATATATATATATATATTTACCAAATTGTTCTTGCTGAAATATATTACGTTGCAGCCAAACGACTGAACAATCCTCAGGGACACCTAGCAGACAAAAGAGAAAAAGAAGAATTACAGGTCTTAAGAAGCATTGCAAACACATGATAAAGACTTGTATTTTATTTAATATGAATCGACTGAGGCAAATATTTGTTTGGACACGACGACGCAATGAGTGCAGCCGTCGTCATCCCTCTGACCCGCTCTTTTTTATTTAATTTAATTTATTTTTTTCCATTCATTTATTTTTTATTTATTTGAAAAATATAACAACAAAAAAACAAGCAACCCACATAAAAAAATAATAAAATAAAAAATAAAAACCCACACACACAAACACAAACCAAAACAAAAAAGTGACACACACATCACCAATGACATAACCATGATTTACTTTCAGTTTTTGCAACCAAAATAATGTTTACATACATCCCCTTTTCATTATATATTTTATTAAATTAAGATATCCCCACAGTTTCCCTTGCCAACCTGTATCTAAACATCCTCCATCACGTGTTGCCATGGAAACCATCTGTCAAGGAATTTTGCATTTTGCAGTTTTATTTTGAAAGTTATCTTTTCCATTATGTAAATTCCTTTGACAAGTAATTTCCAAGACTCGTGGGTTGGGGGGTCTCTCTTAAGCCAGTTCAATGTTATTGCCTTCTTGACTGCTACAAGAAGTATGTGTAATAAATAAATCTTATTTCTACTTTTCATGGTTTCTGGGACAGCCCTGAGGATGGCCAGTAGAGGGACCCTTGGTAGGTGGAGGTTAAATATTCCCTCAAGAGAATCAAAAATCTGTCTCCAAAAGTTTTCTAGGAGAGGACAGTCAAGTCAAGTCAAGTCAAGTCAACTTTATTTATATAGCACATTTATAACAGCCGAGGCGGACCAAAGTGCTGTACAGTAAATCAGGCAAAATACAATGCATCCAAAACATAATAAAAACATGTAAAAGCAAAAATTAAGAGTGAATTAAAACACAAAACAATATTAAAAGTTCTAATAGACACTGCTGCTGGGATAAAACATTCAACTAGAGGTAAAAGCCAAGGAAAAGAAATGGGTTTTTAAAAGTGACTTAAACTGCTCAGTTGTGGCAGCAGATCTTATTTTAAATGGTAATCTGTTCCAAAGTGTCAGAGCTGCAACAGAAAAGGCTCGATCGCCCCTAGTTTTGAGCCTTGTTTTGGGCACGTCCAAGAGCAGCTGGTTGGAGGACCTTAGTGCTCTGGATAGAGCATGAACATGTAGTAGTTCACTTAGGTAGTGAGGTGTTGAGCCATTTAATGATTTAAAAGCCAGAAGTAAAATTTTAAAATCAATCCTGCAGCGAACAGGAACCCAGTGGAGAGAACGGAGCACAGGGGTTATGTGGTCCCTGTTTTTTGTGCCTGTTAGGAGGCGAGCAGCCGCATTTTGGACAAGCTGCAGGCGTTGGATGGATGACTGGTCCAAGCCCACATATAGTAAGTTGCAGTAGTCCAGGCGAGATGTTATGAATGCATTAATTACTATTTCTAGATCATTGGCAGGGAGGTATGATTTTATTTTGGCTATAAGTCTGAGCTGGTAAAAATTAGATCTCACAACAGTGGATATCTGTTTGCCAAATTTAAAAACATGATCAAAGTGCACACCAAGACTCTTTACAGATTTTTTCATATTAACAGCAAGAGGACCAAACGTTTCTACAGCACCAGGTTCTCCAAATACAATGACCTCTGTCTTATTGGGATTGAGTTTGAGGAAGTTTAGGGTCATCCAGGTTTCAATGTCTTTAAGGCAGTCGAGTAAGGGTTGTGGTGAACTCTTGCATTTCAAAGGCATGTAGACCTGTACATCGTCAGCAAAAAAGTGGAAAGATATATTGTATTTTGCAAAAATTGATCCCAGTGGTAGCATATATAATGAGAACAGGATTGGGCCTAACACAGACCCTTGTGGGACACCACACGTAAGTGGGGCTGTCTCTGATGAATAGTCCCCTAGGTGGACAGAGAAGGTCCTATCAGACAGGTATGACTGAAACCACTTGAGTGCTGTGTTTTTTATTCCTACGCAGTTTTCTAAACGTGATAAAAGAATTGTGTGGTCTATGGTGTCAAAAGCAGCTGATGAGTCTAAAAGTACTAAAATGGCAGAATCCCCAGAGTCGACAGTTAAAATCAGATCCTTAAAAATTCTTAAAAGAGCAGTTTCAGTGCTATGGCAGGGTTTAAAACCAGACTGGAACCTTTCATGCAAGTCATGTGTAGCTAGATAGGTTTGGAGCTGTGTCAGAATGGCCTTTTCTAGGATTTTTGACAGGAAAGGGAGTTTTGAAATGGGCCTAAAGTTAGAGAGAACAGAGGGATTGAGATTTGGATTTTTTTTAGCAGAGGTTGCACGGCAGCTTGTTTGAAGGCAGCTGGAACACAACCAGATACAAGACAGGTGTTTATCAATGTATGAATTGAGGTGCCAACTGTATCAAATATTTTCTTAAGGAGACGAGAGGGGATGCTATCTAAGGGGCAGTTAGTGGGCCGAAGATGGTGAACAATCTCAGATAGACAGGACATTGAAATGGGCTCTAGCTGGTCCAAAACAGCTAGGCACATAGGAGGAACAGACGGGTCAGGTTTAGTGGGTGTGATTAGGGAGGATCTAAGGACTGATATTTTTTCTACAAAAAAATTAAGAAAAGCGTTACAGAGAGTAGAGGAGGGTGCAGCAGAATTATTGTCACATGGATTTATAAGAGAATGAATTACGCTAAACAATATCTGTGGTTTATGGCAGTTATTTGAAACCATATTTGAAATGAACACCGTTTTTGCAGTTTTAACAGCTTGTTGATAGCTCAAAAGGCAAGTTTGTAATATTTCGAATGACACACGAAGCTTGTCCTTTTTCCTCCATCTCTCAGCCTGCCGACAGGCACGTCGGAGAGCGCGGGTAGTGTCATTTAACCACGGTTCAGTGGCTGCTCTGTTGCGTTTTGTCTTCAACGGAGGCACATAACCCAAAATGTTTGAGCAGGTTGAGTTAAAGAGAGTTATATGCTCCTCAGCACTTAAAACTCGAGCAGGAGCATCCATGTTGTAGAGTGCAGATTCTTTAAACACAGCAGAGAACTGTTCCGGAGTGTTACACATTATTGCGCGGCGGCGGCGCACGGGGGGGGGACAAGGTTTCTCTGTTGAGCACGGGGCCGTTACAGTGAACAAAACAGGCAAATGGTCCGATAAACAAGCATGACAGATTTCGTTTATGACAACACAAACACCATAGGACAGCACAAGGTCTAATGTGTGCCCCTTTTCGTGTGTGGGACCCGTCACCGACTGTGCGAAGTTAAAGGAGTTGAGTAAATTCATGATGTCTTTACCCGTAGAGTTATTTTCACAGCACACATGTATATTAAAGTCCCCACAAATTAAAATAGAGTCATAATCCAGCACGATACCCGCTAGAAAGTCAGCAAACTCATGTATGAAATGTTTGTTGTATTTCGGTGCACGGTACACTACCGCGCAGAGCACGGGAGAGGAGAGGTTTAATTCAAAGAGCTGCAACTCAAAGCTTGAGTATGAGACCGGTCTATTCAAGCGACACTGAAAAGCGGATTTCATTACAGTAGCTAGCCCTCCACCTCGACCAGAAGTACGAGGAGAGCTGAAAATTGTACAATCAGGAGGGAGAAACTCTGAGAAGGATGTGGACTCACCAACTTGTAGCCAGGTCTCCATCAGGAACATAAAATCCAGCTCATGGGATGTGGAAAAATTAATCAGCACAATCCCACAGTCCCAAAATATTTGAGCAAAGTTAACAGATTCTTTTCCACAATTCCTCCAACAGAAACTTGATTGAGTTGGGTCTATTTTTGAAAGGATGTAGGGTGTGCAAAGAGTTGTTTTTGACCATCTCCCCAGAAATTCTTCCATCGTTTTACTTTCAGTGAGCCAATGGTATTTGAATACACTTCTCAATCTTAAACCACCTTGTATCAACACTGTGCCTGACGTGAGGAAGTTCCCACCCTCCTTGTTGTTTGGACAGCTGTAAAACTTGCCAGATATAACTTTACCTGCCAAACAAACCTTGAAATGAGGCGATCTACAATTGTAAACATATTTTTTGGTGGTATAAGAGGCAGGGTTGAAAATAGAAATAACAGCCGAGGTAAAACATTCATCTTAATAGTCTCTATTCTACCTGAGAGAGTAATTTGATTTAATTTAATTTAATTTTTTTGTCTTCTACTCCACCGAGCTCTGAGTGTGTTATAGAAGGGCTTCAGCCCCAGCCGGGGCAAAACACCACACACAATAACAACAGTAAAATGCTCTACATGATTGATTAGTTGTTTTATTTATCTGCTTTTAATCATGCTTGTGCAGTTTTTGCCCTGCAACACAGCAATACACCAGTAAGTTTCGGCCAATGAGTGAGACTCATATTATTAGGGCTTTTGTTTGAGATAAATACTTGATAGTCCGTGTGTTGTCATAATTTACAGTCAGAAAATATTGAGTTGGAGTTGAGAAATGATGTCAGTGACAAGTTGGACTACCAAATGGAACTATTGTGCTTCTGTTCTGAAACCCATAATCTTGTAACCTGCCAAAAATCCCTCATTTATTAGCTGTTAATGGAGACTGGGTCCTATGTGAAAAATAAAATGAAGGTCAATTCCCTCAAGACAACAATAAGGAAGGTTTATCATTTTATACTTCCATACTTTTTTATAAATAAAAATAAAAAAGTGAGTGTAATGTGTTTGTACAAGAGGGGAAAACATTAAGGGGCAGTAAAAGGCAGTGAGGTACATGTAAGACAACACGGTGGGATAATTTTTTACACACATCCATGATCAATGTAGCTCCCACCCTATTTTTTGCATTACACATAATACACACAGACCTGACAATTTCTATGATAATAATAATAATAATAATAACTTTATTTGTATAGCACCTTTTAAAAACACAGGTTTACAAAGTGCTTTGACAAACAAGAACAAAGCAAACTAAACCAAACACAGAAGAACATTAACAACAGCAAGAACATAACAAATGCAAAATACTAAAAATAATTAAATACAATTCAACAGAAAAGAACCCATAGTGCACGATACACAACAGACATACAGCTGCAAGAAAAAGTATGTGAACCCTTTGGAATTTCTTTGTTTTCTGCACAAGTTGGCCATAAAATGTGTTCTGATCTTCATCTAAGTCTCAACAATAGACAAACACAGTCTGCTTAAACTAATACCACACAAATAATTATATGTTTTCATGTTTTTGTTGAACACAACATGTAAACAGTCACAGTGCAGGGTGGAAAAAGTATGTGAGCCCCTAGGCTAATGACTTCTCACAGAGCTAATTGGAGTCAGGAGTCAGCCAACCTGCAGTCCAATCAATGAGACGAGATTGGAGGTGTTGGTTAAAGCTGCCCTGCCCTATAAAAAACACACTCCAGTTTTGAGTTTGCTACTCTCAAGAAGCATTGCCTGATGTGAACCATGCCTCGCACAAAAGAGCTCTCAGAAGACCTACGATTAAGAATTGTTGACTTGCATAAAGCTGGAAAGGGTTACTAAAGAATCTCTAGAAGCCTCGATGTTCATCAGTCCACGGTAAGACAAATTGTCTATAATTGGAGAAAGTTCAGCACTGTTGCTACTCTCCCTAGAAGTCCGTCCTGTAAAGAGGACTGCAAGAGCATGAGGTGAAGAAGAATCCTAGAGTGTTAGCTAAAGACTTACACAAATCTCTGGCACATGCTAACATCTCTGTTGACGAATCTACGATATGTAGAACACTAAACAAGGATGGAGTTCCTGGGGAGGACACCACAGAGAAAGCCACTGCTGTCTAAAAAAACATTGCTGCATGTTTGAAGTTTGCAAAAGAGCACCAGGATGTTCCACAGCACTACTGGCAAAACATCCTGTGGACAGATGAAACCAAAGTTGAGTTCTTTGGAAGGAACACACAACATTATGTGTGGAGGAAAAAAAGGCACAGCACACCAACTTTCAAAACCTCATCCCAACTGTGAAGTATGGTGGCGGGAGCATCATGGTTTGGGGCTGCTTTGCTGCATCAGGGCCTGGACAGATTGCGATCATCGACGGAAAAGTGAATTCTCAAGTTTATCAAGACATTTTGCAGGAAAACCTAAGGCCATCTGTCCACCAATTGAAGCTCAACAGAAGATGGGTGATGCAACAGGACAACGACCCAAAGCACAGAAGTAAATCAACAACAGAATGGCTTCAACAGAAGAAAATACGGCTTCTGGAGTGGCCCAGTCAGAGTCCTGACCTCAACCCGATAGAGATCAACCAGTTATTAAATCCAAGGGTTCACATACTTTTTCCACCCTGCACTGTGACTGTTTACATGTTGTGTTCAATAAAAACATGAAAACATATAATTGTTTGTGTGGTATTCGTTTAAGCAGACTGTGTTTGTCAATTGTTGAGACTTGGATGAAGATCAGAACACATTTTATGGCCAATTTATGCAGAAAACTATGAAATTCCAAAGGGTTCACATACTTTTTCTTGCAACTGTATATAACCCGACCGTCACAAGAACCATGATACATGTGTCTACACGACTGCATATCCACAAAACACCAGTCTTTACAGACACTCATGCGCATACACCCATGTTCACTCTCACCTTGGATACTCTGTGCACAGCCACACCCACACACACACCCACACCCACACACACACACAGCCACACGTATATGGAAGTTGTGTATTTGTAAATGGATCCCTTTGTGCAAAATACTTACAGTGACAAATATGTATGTCACGAATCTCTGTGATGTCATGCTGCCTCAGTCACCATGCAGACTCACACTAGGAGAGAAGAAGCACAGGACAACACAAAGGCATATTATTGGTCAATCAATGGGTGTGTTGTAAGGGCTGTCATCTGCCACACACACCGACGATCTGATTCAATATGCTAACTATTAAAGACAATATGATGGTTTGTCAGTGGGACAAAACAACAGACATTTTTCAACAAGAGTCTAAATGTGTGTAAAATACAGGCATCGTCATAAAATATGTTTTGTAACAACACAAATTAACCAGAACATTTATTTTAAAGCATTAGATGCCAGCTGAATGATCAACAAGCATTGACAGTGTACATTTGATGCGTGCAAAATAAGTCAGGATTTGTTTTGTGTTTGGGCTGTGCGGGTCTGAGGAAGCCACAGAGGAAACGCGTTGTTCACTCACATACAAGTTACAGCAAAGTACATTTCAGTGTGCCACAGATTATTGATCTATTTTTAAATTGTATGTTCCTGCAACCGAGCACACCTGAGAACGTACACTAGGTAGGCTGTGCACGGGGTACCCCGCCGGTCATTTATGTCATGATTTGTCGTTTTAATGTTATGCACCATCTCAGTACAACAATGGAGTTAGCAGCAGCTACGACAGTAATAAAAAGACTACATAGCTAGCTTAATTTTTCCCACGTTGGTTTGACGTGTAGCAAAAGCAATTCATCAGTTTGAGACACAGTAGAACATAGAGTAGAGATGTAAGTCCAGTCTATAGCCTCCTCAGTGCTGTTTCATTGTTGTTTTCCATTTCATTTCATGACAATAATATATATATATTTTTTTTTTTATGTAACTACCTCTCTTATCTTATTTTCACAATAATGGATAAAACATTAAAATTGTATTTGTTTCTTAGAAAGCATCTTGAGACCCTCTCCGGTGTGTTTGTGTTTGTGTGTGTGTGAGAGAGAGAGAGAGAGAGAGAGAGAGAGAGAGAGAGAGAGAGAGAGAGAGAGAGAGAGAGAGAGAGAGAGAGAGAGAGAGAGAGAGAGAGAGAGAGAGAGAGAGAGAGAGAGAGAGAGAGAGAGAGAGAGAGAGAGAGAGAGAGAGAGAGAGAGAGAGAGAGAGAGAGAGAGAGAGAGAGAGAGAGAGAGAGAGAGAGAGAGAGAGAGAGAGAGAGAGAGAGAGAGAGAGAGAGAGAATGTGGAAAATCCCTGGAGTTAAAAATGGCATTATAATTCCCCCGCATGCAACTGAAGAAAGAAACGTGAACACTTCAAAACTATTGGAGAATACAAACACTGAATCTATCCGACAGAGACCCTCCTTGTTACCCCTCAAATCTATAGCACTTCCTGTTAAAGCAAAAAAAGCCGACACTGAGTACAAAACAAGGAAGCAATGGCAAAATAAACAAAGTATTCAGAAACCAAGTGAAAGTCACCTACTTCCTAACTTTGGGAGGACAATTGATGGATCGCCAACCCTTAACCTGGCATCAGGTCAATTTTTACTGTAATGAAATCATGAAAACCAGAAATATGTCCATAATATTTTATCACTGGTATATGTTGAGTTTAATTTGAGACATAATTGACTGTAATCGTTTTTGTATCCTACAGTTTGGCCCTCTGGCAGTGAGAATGAAAGGAATGTGGTCTTTGCTGTGTTGCCCATCCCTGCTTTAGATATTTGACTCAAGAACACACTCTCTCTCTCTCTATCTCTCTCCCTGAGTTGGCATTCAAATAAGCAGTGAGTACAGTATGTTATTATTCTTTTCTCTAGTCCCTCAATCAAACAACTTTTATATGCGAGGGGATGTAAACATGCTATAGATACGGCTCAGAAAGCTCGGAAAACATCACAGACAGCGGGACTCGGGTGTCACAGTCATTGTAGACAGTCATGACTCACAGAGATATTTACAGAGGATATACTTGATTTCTATTACATTTAAATATGAAAAATCGCATATTCTTCCTTTAGGATTAGGTACAAGTGCAGCAGTATACTTCTTAGATGAAACGTCATCAAAGTTTGTACTCTGCTCTAAAAACGGAGAAATACAAGGATATCAAGTAACATAGACACAAAGAAAAGTTTTGTTCACGCTTCTTCGGTCAGTTTTTGTATTCATGACTACGTTTTAATCCTTTAATCAATAACTGTTTCTGTGATTCTTACAAATAAAATGCACAATTAACATTTATGATGTCTTCTTTTTGTCACTTTTAGAGAAAAATATGCCAGACATCCCAACAAAGGATCCCAAGGTAACCTTTCGATCTGGGTTAGGGTGTCCACTGACTAACTGCACGTCCATAATTCCTTTGAACACAATAGCCCACACTGCGCACAAAAGGAAACACTGTCAAAATAAACAAAGTTTTCATTAAGAAAGTGAAATTCACATTCTTCTTCCCACACTGGATTTAGAAATTGTACACAAGCCGAGCCCCTTCACACTCTCTAGCTCGCTGATTTCATACACTGCTATGACCTATGTAGATACCTGCCTTGATACCATTGCAGGTATCTACCAGTTGCCATCTTGTTTCAGCATGAAGGCACAAGACAAGACAGCCCTAAACTCGCCTCACCTCGGCAGGCACACACCTCCTTTCATATAATACTGAGATTTGGTTTACAGTGAGTGAGTCACCCTCTTTTTATATACGAACGACAGGACCAGACAAAACATGATAAAGTGACAACAGAGCTCAATAAAAATGAGAACAGCCCTTAGAAAAAAAACAAAACAATAGAAAATAACCCATTATGTAAGAATAAGACAAATAAAACAAAGATAAAAAATATACCATTAATTATGTGAGTAAAGATCAGACAGAAATTAGCCATCAGTAAAAACAAGATTAAATGTGTACACCAATTGGGGGTGTCACATTTAATCTTGCTACCATTCAGCTAGCAAGGCGTCAGGTTAATGAAAGTATGGCCATGTAGCTTTAAAGCTGCAAACTGCTCTGTATTTATTCTTTTAATAGCCTTAAAGGCAGGGTTGGTCATTTTCTCCAGATACACTTTTTAAGATTTTGGTTGAAATTGTCTTTAGGTCCTGACAGAAATTAATAACTCACGTGCTCTGTAAAAAAAGGGCAGAAGAAAATCTGTCATCTGTAGCAGTTGTAAGCCTGTAAAAACTTTCACCAATGTCTGCCACAAGGTGCCAATCAGATGAACCAATCTTGACTCCCTGTCTCCCTGCTCGTTCTCTACCCCTTTTGTGCACTAGCCCACACTCAGAGTGCATATAAGGAGGGGGATGGCTTTTGAGGGAGCACAGAGGGGAGGGGATGGGTGTAGACAAAGCACTGAGGGAATGCTATTTTCAAAATCATGCTAGTTTTTGAAAATGAATAACCCTGCCTTTAATTCAACCAGTGCCATGTGCATTAAAGAGTCTACTTCCTCTAATGTCAAAAGTAAAAGTTCGCAAATATTATGACAGAATTTTTTTTATTTTGCACTGTTGGTACCAAAATAAATGATGTCTTCATATCTGCCAAACATTCTTTAAAAAAAATGTTTCTAGATGGATGAGTTTAAGAGATATGAATTGTTTTTGAAACCTGTTTCTTTCTACAAAACACCTCAGTGTAAGAGTATTTATATCCCATACTGTCACAGTTTGCTGCATGCATTCACAAGTTGAATACTTCTGATTGAAAAATGCTCAATCAGATTGCTGTGATGCAATTCCCCACAAGGTATTCTGCTTGTGTTTATCTGTGATGTCGAGTGTGTGTGATAGTGAGTAAAGCCCGACAAATTAATCGGCCAGCCGATAATAATGGGCCGATTTTAGCATATCCAGTGACTATCGGTATCGGCTACTTTTATCGCAAATATGTGCCAATATTTTAAGATTTATTCCCCAGTCAAACAGCATTTCATTTGAGTATGATTGTATCACACTAGCAGTTCTCTTTCACCAGCAGAGGGCGCTATATGGATCGCAACAAGCATATCAACAAGCGCTGATGCACGTACTGTACATGCACAGTTACTTTCCAGTTGAGTACCTATCTTTTCTTCATTATATATATTTTCCACAAGTGTTTGACAACTGCATTTGAGGGATCAACACAATAAATGTGTATATCTATTAGGGGTGTAACGGTACACAAAAATGTTGGTTTGGTACGGTTCCAAGTTTTGAAACTTCGCTTCGGTACATTTTCGGTACAGCAAAGGGACCTGATGCAACACTTTTTCTTTCTTTATTAGGAACATTTAGAATTTCCCTTTTACAAATTGGGCTAAGTGCAGCATCGACAGTTCAGACTTGTACACCTGCTCAGGTTACTTTTTAATAACATTTTAAATTAAACATTGTAAAAAAAAAAAATAATAATAACAATAAACTTATGCTGCATCCTTCAACCAAAAGAGTCTCCAATAAATAAAATATGTGAATTAAACAAAATATTTTAGAATGAAATTAAGTAATTAATATAGCCTATATGTAAAAATGTTTATTTTTAATTACAATGACACCTTTTAGTTTATTAAGCCAACAGTTTTTTAAATTCCCTTTGAGCACATAATAAAACTAATCACATCTGGGACTGTATAGTTTCATTGCAGAACTATTAATATTTCCCTCTGTTGAAATAAGAACTTTAACGGCATTTGTTGTGGCTTTGGCCCGTTCAGAATTACTAGCAGAAGGTTTTCTGTTGTGGAGGGAGGGTGTTCATTCTGTTATGCTCCCACACAGAGATGTTTCCTCCTCCCCTTTCACTCAGCAGTGCAGCTGGAGCGGTGATCTCATCGCTGAAAACGAAAGCGAAACTTAAAAGAGTCAGTCCGTAAAAAGAACTCCATCCCGGTTATATGCAACTGTCCAAACCGACAGGGCTCGAGGAACTAGTAATCCGCACAGTTTATGTTTGACATTTTTAACAATTTACTTACTAAAAGTTGTGTCCCATATCCGCGGCTGCAGCCTTCCTTCACACTGAGGTGTGCTCCCGCTTTACGGTCCGTGTGGGACCACAGATTAAAGAACTTCTGTTCCGCGCGGAATTTATCTGTATCAAGATTTTTCTCTCCTAATATCGATATCGGACCCAAAAATCCCATATCAGTCGGGCCCTAATAGAGAGTGAGAGTTCTTGTCGGTGTGTATTTCAGCCATGCATACAGTATGTAACAACTAAAATACTAACCTACGTCTAATGACAATTCTGAATGCTCTGTCCCTAGTTAACTCTTACAGTGTGAGCTGTAACACAACTTCTAGACAATCATACAGACAGTGTACGTACGCCATCCCCCACAGAAAGAGGACATCTTTTTTTTAAAGGGATTAACCTGAAATAAAACTTGTGTTACTAAGCTTTATTAATATAGAAATGATACTAGTATTAATATTGATCACTGCCTTTTTTTGTTGCGGCTCAACGCAGTAAGAAGACAGTAAGTGTATTCTATACCTCTTCAAACCATGTGATGTGCTTTAAATGGCCATCATCTTTTGTAATAGAGAGTCTATAAGTCATGCTATGGACAGCTCCTAGTGCTGAAATAAGTAGGTTATAGCCTTAGGTTGAATTACTTTTTCTTTTCCCTGAATAGCAATGAGTCTGTGATTCCAAACTAACCAGCTGAAAGGGATTAACTTTAACTGGCATGGCTGCAAGTAAACCATTCAAAGATTTGAAAGACCAAAGCTTAACACTATGGTGAACTTTAATGTAGTAATCAATTTGTTTTTGCTCAGTGTAAAATGCTCATTATCAAAAGGTTTGATCAGTATTCAATAGCAGACGATGCTAAGAAATGGCCATCAGTATTAACTTATCCCAATTAAACACATTCACCCGCGGCTGGGTTAGCATTTGGAGCTATTTGGGGTTCAGTGTCTTGTCCAGTGGCTTCAGGATCTAGGGATCGAACCCACGGGTTGAAAGATGACCGACTCTATTTCTAAGTCACAGCAACTGAGACATGTTAAGGTAACTTTATTTGTACCGGTAGGTAGATCTGGTTTACAGTGAGTAAACTGCATTTAACACATTCCTAAAAGCTAAACATTCTACCAAAGGGAAAATGGTGAAGTATTTCAATTGGTGTATGATTTACTGTTTGAGAACTACACAGGTATATCAATCTAAATGTCGAAGTTGTGACAAACAACAATAAGGCTGAAACTGTATGATCATTTTTCATTATAGCCGTTTTCACATATGCACTCCGGATAATATCTAGATATTTACAGGAGGACTTCTCCGGAGATTCTCCTGACCTAGCCGTTCACATATGCTCCTCACAGCGGGGGACTTTCCCTGTCAGAGGGGAGGGGTTTCCTGACGTATTTCCTGACGTGACGTAAAAAGACACTTTAGGCAGTCACTGTTCCGGAGAATCTCTGGAGTATATTCGGTCGCGTTCAGACATCAGCCTAAATCCCCTCCAGGCAGCCAAATCTCCGGAGTTTTTCAGGAGATTTCCATATGTGTGAAAAGGGTAATAGCTCATCTTGATGATGGCACTCCAATGTGATCACATCTTCAGATGATGTGTAATGTCTGAGCAGTACTCCAACAGCAGCCAGGGGTGTTTAATAGAAGAGGAAAAGCATCAAAGGCTCCCATTTTTTTCCAATTTTCTGGTAGTACATCCGAGTATTTAAACATTGAATGTGGAGTCCCACAAGGCTCGGTTTTGGGGCCTATAAACTCTATAATTTGTACATTAATGACATATGTGAAGTTTCGAAGTTACTGCAGTTTGTTTTATTTGCTGAAAATTAAATAGTCAAATTAAAAGCATGGTTTGATGAAAATAAGTTATCCTTAAATTTGAATAAAACTAAGTTTATGATTATTGCAAACCAAGGAAAGGATGAAAACATTTTGTTGTCTATAGATGGAGTTAATATTGAAAGAGTGTCTGAATTTTGTTTTTTGGGTGTGATCATGGATGACAAGTTAACGTGGAAATCACTTATAGCTCATGTTATAAAAAAAGTGTCCAAGAATATCTTTGTTTGTAAGGTACTGAGGATTTTGTATTGTTCACTTATTTTGCTTTATTTTAGCTATTGTGTTGAAGTGTGGGGTAACACTTACATCACAAACATTAATCTGTTATTTATCTTACAGAAAAGAGCGGTAAGAATCATTCATAAAGTCCACTATAGAGAGCACACCACAACGGGCTGTTTTTAAGATCAGGTTTATTGAAACTGAAAGATTTAGTTGAGTTACAGACACTTGTAGTTATGTTTAGAGCAAGGAGTAAAGTATTACCAGATAGTTTACAAAAGATGTTTGTTTTTAGCTCAGAAGATGAAGAGCATAGGAGAAAATTTAATTTTAAGCATCAGTTTGGTCAACTTTAAAACAGAAGTGTATTTCTGTCATCGGAAATTAAATTGTGGAATTCTTTAAATAATGATTTGAAGGGCTGTGTTCAGATATTTCAGTTTAAGAAAATGTACAAGAACAAAGTTGTCAGACTGTATGAAATTGGCAATTAGTGTGTTTCGTGTGTGTTTTCCTTCTAATTTCTGAGGAAGTGAAGACTGAATTGTCAGATTTGTTTTATGTAGGCATGGTATTCAATCATTGATTGTAATTGGATAGACCATCCAGACATTTGCTTTTTGAGTAAGGGGGCAGGCAAAACAAGATTTCTTCTTCTTTTTTTTTCTATTTTGTGTTTTGACATGGATGGAACAAATAAAAAAAATCAAATGAAGTGTAACGTTTTGCCCTTTTTTTATATGTAGGCCTAATCTGTTAGAGCCCACGTGTATTTGATCAGAAGGCCTACTGTTTATTTTCAGTTTCCAATTACAACAATAGGTGCTGTGAAAATCCCAATGTTCAGTCAAAATTAGGAACAAAAAAGGTTCAAATCACATTCAAAAGAAAGCATCGGTAAAGCAGTTGAAACCCGCCCAGTTTTAATCAAACACTGATTTCATGAATGCATCCGTTCATCAGCATTCAGTTACTATGCAAGTCATCCAAACGATCTAATTACATCCAGCTGCGCCGTCTACCAACACTGTGGCAGCTGCACAAACAATCTCAGTCACATTACGTATTTCGGTGTAGCTCTCCTTTACTATGAACGACTTTTGTCCCCGTAGTAAGAAGTCAGACCCTCTGATGACCAGCCATGAGAGTAGGCTACCTGTGGGTTAATAATAATAATAATTGTGAAGCTTACCGTGATTTAGTGGTGGTGCTCTGTTCTGCTCGAGCTCTGCAACCATTCTCCCTCTGAGCTAACACTAACACTCTGTGCTTTCACTTTTGAACCTTACAACCAGCAACCAGTCTGTCCTCGCCTGACATCATTCGGAATTTCCAGAAGACGGGTTACCTCCCGACAAACTGCCATTCAAAGCCACTTTGCACTATCCTCATACCTCTGCCGAGACCAAGTGGAAAGTTTGGGACTTAAAAAAACTGATTAAAGGCAGAAGGCGGACTAAAAGACATCTCAACTGGGCGGATCTTATGTGTCTTATCTTATCACTGAGCTGTGTAGGTTCAAAGGCTTATGTCTTCCATGTCTACTACTCAATCTATATTATGACATCAAACGCTGATTAACAGTAGGCTAACTTAAATCTACTTTAAGAATTTAAGAAAGAAAATGAATTGCAGTTATACAGCAAGGCTTATTGAGCTCTATATTTGTAAGAAAAAGTAGATTTCAAAATCGTCTTACAACTATGGAAGCTCCAAGTAGACCATCCATAGCCTACATTTTATTTCACCTTATTTCACCTATCCTTTTCTCGTGATAACTGGTTAATCTCAAGAGATGGAGAAACTACTCATTAGCACAGCGAAAACAAGCGCCGTTATCCAGAGATAACAAATAAGCCTCTTAAGAAACAAACAATATGCTACTCATCATCACGGGACATTGAGTAAAAATAAAATAAATGGATATGCTTCCGTACAAAAATCATGCAGCTTGACTTCTGTCAAAACTATGCTATAGCCTATTTGATAAATAACTGATCGATTTTCACCAGATGGAAAATTGATAGACTTTTCTGGTATGCCTAAGCTGGACCATGCTGAGTCCATAAATAGCCTAACCCTCAAAGACTTGACAAGGCCTTCAGGCAACAAACCTCTTGTTTTTGGCATTTCACGGACCATTTAACTTTTCTGTGTATTTAAAAAATATATAATATTGCAAAATATGTCTCTAGCCATTAACATAAGGGGCTACAGTGGGTTTCATATTTTATCTGAGAGTGAAGCATAAACTTTTCGAGACAGTTTGCACTCAGCACCAAAAATAATTTTCATGATTAAAGGAGCAATATGGAACTCTGACTCCTAGCATTCAAAGTGAGAGAGCTGTCTCGCTGCAACGCCGCCCCCGCCTTCCTAGAGTCGACTGCATGTAGGTCACCATGTCGCAGACACTGAAGTTTTTTTCCGCTTCTTGTGGACCAGCTCTGCATCGGTCTTGAAACCTTTCTGCGCTAACCTCTCTCCATTTTTCAAAAGCATCATCGATATTTATCCTAGCTTTATCACGTTTCTACATTGTCGAGCTTTTTAGAAAAATGCACAGGCTTTTTAGGTCGGGCAGAATCTGTTAGCCTATAGCCTATCTGAACCAGTTCGCTTGCCCGCTTCAATCGCTGCAACACCTGTTGGTTTGCCATTTGCCCGGCAAACTAAGAGGCGTCCACAACGTTCACGGGGGTATGCCTTAAACCGCCTACATTCTCTGGTCAAAACAAAAACAAACCGCTCTGCACTGGAATCGAAACTTAGGAGGACATGCTGGCTGCTGTGTTGTTGACAGCCAGCACTTTTAGGACATTTCCTTAATGTCTGCTGATATAGTAATGTCCTTTTACCATGCAGGAGATATCTTATAAAGGACCTTTAAACTGAAATAACTTCATAAATTAAAAAAAACATGTATAGGCCTACATGAAAATGTTGTTGATTAAACACACATTTTGATTTTATTTGATGACTTAAAACGTGTTTGTCCGTTGCCTCAGGGCAACATTATGTAGTTAGGTCACTTTTGTTGGGGCAATCATGCTAAAGCATGTGATTTTCTACTCCTGGTCCTGTGGGGAAACCTTGCTCTGCATGTTCAGATGCCTTCCTGCCTCTATCTGTGTCAAATGATCAGCCTGTTGTCCAGCAGCTCTTGGGTGTCTTGCATCAATTGGAGATGGAGGAGGAAGAGTGTGAGCTTTAAGACAAGCGATTTCTCACTACTGTGTGTACATGTAGCTCTAAAGCCTCTGGATGCTGTCTGTCACTGCCATTAGATTTATAACTGGTGATAGATTCAACACTCATCATTGTGACCTGTATGAGAAGGTCCGTTGGCCTTCTCTTGAAGAACAAGCATTGGTTTTTATTTTCAAAGTCCATATTGGACAACTTCCACCTTACATCACAGACCTTTTGGAGTTGAATTTGGGCACTTATATCACATGTTCTACTGATTGTCTCGTTCTTAAAGTCCCTCGAGCTTTCACTGAACTCGGCAAATCTGCATTTTCTTTTGATGCCCCAAATTCATGGAACGCCCTTAAGCAAAAGTTCTCCCCTCTCTTGCAGAGTTGAGGAATTTGATTTCTAGCCACTTTGTTTGCAATTGTAAGTGTTTTATTTGATCTCAGTTGTTTTTGTAATTGATTAAAAGTTTTTGTTGTTGTTGTTTTTTTTGGCTTGTTTTAATGTGCTTGTAAACTCGACGGCAATGAAAATTGCTGTTGTCAGAATGATTGCAGCTGCTGGCGAAAATTGAATTTCCTCTTGTGGGATTAAAGTCATCACAAGTGGGCATTGCTGTTTCTTATGGCCCACCATTTGGGCTATTGTAAAACCAAACACTTTGACCATGTGTCATTCTTCACACCTTCAGGTGCTTTGCATACTGAAGCCTGTTTCAGCCACAAAAAGAAATAATTAGTCATGTTAAAACTTTTTAAACTTTCAAAAGGCCAGTGTGGGAGTAAATGTGGACAGTCATCCTCATGTCAAATGGGGTAGCAAAATTCAAAAGTCCATAAATTAATAGAATAGTTCAAAATATGAAAAATTCAATCCCCCCTGATTACTACATCATGCAGTGTTAATAATACTAGTTTTATATAGCGCTTTTCTAAGAACTCAAAGAGACTGTTGTTGGGTGCTGGTGGAGCAGTGGTTAGTGTGCGCGCCCCGTGTCTGGAGGCTGCAGTCCTCCATGCGGGTGGCCCGAATTCCAATTTCACCTGTGGGTCCTCTCCTACATGTCATTCCCCACTCTCTCTCCCTGATTTCCAACTCTATCCACTGTCCTATCTCTTCATTAAAGGCACAAATAGCCCCAAAATAAATATTAATTGTTGTTTTATTCTATATAGCCTGTAATTCAGCTCACTGTGAAAGTAAAACACCAAACATGGAGGCCAAGTAGGATCAGTTAGTTTTTATTTCACACAGCATTACAAAAAGGCCTTCTTCTCAAAACCAGCAGACATTAAAAAAAAAAAGTATTTGAATGAAAGACGAAAAAACAGCAATAATAATAATAAGCATCTTTTGGAGTGTAAAAACAAGTAAACATTGGATATCATTTAAAAATACAATACCCACAAACTCATCATAAATGTTTAAATGTCACTATTAACCAAGAGTTATGACAGACGTTGTAGAACTGACCTACAAGATAAAGATTACAAAAAAAAAGAACCTGGAGTCCACTAAGCAAAAAAAAAGAGTCCTTACGTTAACCGTTAGTGTAACCACAAAGAGAACAATCAACCTCTCACTGATCTTGCTGTTTGTTTTTGAAAGAGGCTCAATATCCAAATAGTTGAACGCCGTAGGGCCGTTCAACTAGAACGGCTAGATATTGTGATAACATAGTGAATGTAAGAGTGAAAACCTCAGAAGAGCTGTATCACACTTAATGACCGCAGCAGTGAAATCTTAAATGCACCGACATTATAAGAAGTCCTTTCTAAACAGACAAAGTGAATACGTTTGATTTGTGTAATTTGCTGAAGAGGACATTGATTTTCTTTTGTTTGACCGATTTAAAAAAAATAAAAGATTTGGTGCATGGCCAAAGATTCAACGCTATTCAATGACGTCCAGATTCTGAATGAATCTCTCTTCAACTAACAGAAAACCTGACTTCATTATGTCAGAGTAACAAAGTAGTAACACTGTGGAAAATAGAAAAATAACAGGCGGCATATTCTGCCTCCACTCACAGAATGTTTTAGAAGTCGAGAAACTCTGCATCATGATCGAGGAGGTCGGTGGTCTGGAAAAGATCGAAGCCCTGCAGTCCCATGAAAACGAAGCAGTGTACAAATCTGCTCTCAACATCATAGACTGCTCTGGCAGTCAACAGTTTGGGAAATGAGCCGCTAAATGTTGAACCTGAGAAGCCACATGTGGTCTGATGTTAACAAAATATTAAGCCAACAAGCCGAGTACAGATCAATACTGGAGCAAAGAGTTGGAAACATGAACAAAGATGTAGTTTAAGATTATATCCGCCATAGTAAAACAAGCCACTATGAAGTGTTTCTAAGTCTCTAAATATTCAGGGGTTAATAGTTGACTTGATCTTTTTTATTTAACCACTACTTCCTTGCCCATGGCAGCACATCTTGCCAGTAACAATATAAACTGAGTAACTTTAGTACATTCTCATCTACACACACAGAGGATTAGAGATTGCATTTTTATTGTTTTATTGAATGAATAAACTCAGGCACACGTGTGTAATGCCAAACCTTACAAACAAAGTATTTTCATCATCATCAGAAAGTTTAAAAATGTCTTCTAAAGAATCAGAGGTGCTCTGTTTCATGTTGGAGCAGTTTGTGGCACAGTGCTCTAGGAACTACACTGTGCCAGACCCCCCCGGCCTGTTCGATGGCCACGTCTGGCCCATGTATTTGAAACACAAGAACAAGAACATTAACACATACTGCTGTGTGTCTGTGTTAAAGTGGAATAGTGAGCAGAAGCCTTTTCTCCCTTTCACTTTCCACCTGGTAAAATATAATTACTTACCAGGATCAGTGCCAGAAAGAACAACGCCACACCTTGGGTGGGTTTCTTTCAACAGCAGTAAATCACAACTGTGTCTGAGGAGCAGGGGAACTCACTAAAAAAATCAACACATTTATAAATAAACCTCTGAGAGTTGCGTTATTAGGTATGGACCCCCTAAAAAAACGAGATGGTTCAACTCAAGGGGCTATCCATCAATAAACTGAAGTTCACAGTTAGGTTATCACCTGATCAAGATCAAAAACTGGCTGGAAAGAAAAATATTGAATTTTTAAGGGTTGTCCAATTTTGAAATCAATTTGTGTCATGAGAGGAAGTTCTTGAATTGTTGACCGTTTCTTCATTAACTCAAAGTAAACTTCTAAAAGTCATGAGGTTTTTGATGAATCTAAATGTAACATACTGACAGAAACTCTCAACATTCTTCATGTATCAACTGTTCCCAGGGCTCTTGTTTGAACACTGCACTACTACAACACAAAGCTTAGTAAGAAAAGAAAAAAAGACAACTGTTGGCAGGCTGCCAGCTTGCACAAGGTCGCTACACTTAAAGCCCAAAGTCATCGTCGGAAACAACAAGTCAGGGACTCTCCCTTTTAGACACTTTCAGTTTAAAACCACTGCAATGCAGAGTCTCAAAGAAACTGATAAACAAACATTGGCGTCTTAATGACTCACTTGATAAGGACAACCAGAGTGTGAACTGAAGCAAATACAAACATGTACTGGACTGAGGCACACATTTTAGGTGATGGTATGCTAATAATATGAGTGCTTTAGCTTCTTCTCTCTCTTTTTTTTTTTTACCTTTTCTTTACTTTATTTCAGAGGAAAATAAATTATTTTTTGATGCAGGACTTTTACTTTGTCTAGAGTATTTAGATATGGTAGCATTTTTTACTTTTAGCTAAAACTAAAATACCTAAAAATTCATCAAAAAAAGTTGAAACCTCATTATATACCAAGAGTTAAAACAGCAGCTGTATAACTGACCTAGAAAATAAGAGCCATTAACAGTTAGTGTAACCACAAAGAGAGCTGTCCACCTCTTACTGATCATAGCTTTGCTTGATTTGATTGCAAGAGGTTCAAAATCCAAATAGTTGAAAGCCTGAGAGCGCTGCTCCATCACTTATTGGACTAGATATTATGTGACAACATAGTGAATGAGTCACAGTGGAGTAGTGTAAGGCAACGAGTCGATTATAGACTGGTGTCAGGTTTTACAGGCAGGCTGAGGCACGAGGTGAAGCACCGAGTAAGAGGAATAACCTCAGAAGATCTGTATCGCACTGGGGAGATACATTGGGGAGAGGAAAAAAATCAGATACCGATATACCGACCGACATCCTTCTTCGATCTATGTTCAATCTGTAGAGATTGATAAATACAGATATAGTTTAACGTAGACAAGACGGTCACTCATCCTGAATGTAACTGCGCATGTACGTACGTGTGTAATTCATATAGCACACTCTGCTGATGACAACCAGAAAAAGAACTGCTAGTGTAATACAACGATACCCAAATGAAATGCTTTTTGACTGGTGATCAGATCAAGCTATATCAGCGCATATGTGTGATGAAATTAGCCGACACCGATAGTTACTGGATAAGCTAATATCGGCCAATATTAACCGCTGGCTGATTAATCGGTCAGGCTCTAAAAAATTACTGGAGCTTTTTCCTTTCATAGAGATTCCTTTAAAATGTTAGTCTTGTTAACCTCTTATATTTGACCTTTTCCCAAAGCTTTTAGCAAGGGCCTATGACATGCACTCTGTGGTCTCCATTAATAACATATTGCAAGGTTATCCCTTTTTATTAAAACTTTGACTACAAGCAGCCTAATGCTTTTCCCACTGTTGCAGGAGAAAATTGTCCCCATTCCTCTGCTTATGTTTTCCTCCGAAAGACCTCCTTATTAAGTGATGACCTCCGCTTCCTCTTTCTTAAAAATGGCGCATCATTGGTTTCACATACTCTGAGAAAGTAGGGATCGGAAGCATTTTGCATTAACATGTTGCCAAGCTTAATCTCTGACAGATAAGAAACGACTCACAAAACTCAAGAACAAACAAACAATGATATAAGTATTCGCATTAATGCCAAAGAGCTGTCATATAGTTCCATTAGTTCCTGCTGACAGTTCTTTTTTTTTTCAGGGAAGAATGGAAATCATAACTCTCAGGTGATGTGTTCCAGCGCTCTATTGCGCATACTGTCTATATGTTTCTATTTTTTTACCGAGTTGAAATAAAGTTCAAATTCTGCTGCAGGTATTTTATCTCACATCAACAAGAGCTCACTGCGTTTTCACTCAATGTTTATCTCTTTCTAAACGCAGTCTGAAAACAGTTTTTATTGTGTCTAAATATGGTGAGAGATGTAGACTGTGATTTCCCTTTCATTTTACTCATTATATCCAATTTGTCACTTCAATAAACACTTTACATAACAGATTAGAAGTTCAAGACAACATGCTCTTCTACACTGAGCTTAGACGTCCAGAGGGGCTTCTTTGTTCCCATTGGTCAGACACTTTCACAGGAGCTTCTTGGCCTGAGGCTGGGCTGGGACTTTGGGGGTTTTGGTGTCAGCAGAGAAGACAGTCATGATGTCTTGGAGAGCCTTACTTATCTGAGCTCCAAACCTGTGTGAGTCCTGAAATGGAGAAAATCAAGTTTTAGGGTAGTGGGTTTTAAAAGGGGAAGAGGAATGAAAAGGGATTGTGGGTAGAGAATCAAAACCACGAGGAAAGAGAGGAAGGTGGAGAAAGATGAGAAGTGGATCACTTCAAGTTTTGTGGGCCTGCAGATACTGACGTTTTAGGTCTAATATATGCATTAATTTCAAGTTTGAACAATGTCATAGATATCTGCTGTTATTTATTTTTCATAAATACACAGCATGAAAAATGGTTTCCTATTATTCACAATTGGCAATTTATTGTTACTTCTCGACAGATAAACACTGAAACTGATGTATCTGCAATGAGCTATACTTGGATATGACTCATGTTCATCCATCTCTCTGTAAGACGGCTGTTCTGTTCATCCTGAAAAGGGAACTGAAAACAGACAGGACAGGAGACACTGTGCCGTGCTTTACTGTCATGTGCTTTGTGGTTTAAGAATGAATGAAGGGTGACGAAACTCAGCCTTTGAAGGATAGTTTGGATTTTTTTTTGATTATCCGAGTTAAGAAGTTTGATCACTGCAGATGAGGAGTTCACTCTGTGTAGGCTGTTGAGTGCTAATTATCAGTACAGCTAGCAGCAGCTGCCCAAGCTCAATATAAGTCCAAAGAACAGGTTGAAAACACAAGCATGCACCAACTGTGAAGTCGAAAGAAAAGTAGCTGTTACGGCTACTGTGACAACTATGTGAAGTGAAAGTGAAGAAGGGAAAACATTCAAGAATACAGTTTGAAATCACAGTGATAAAACTTTACTGTTACTAAAGTAGTAGTATTGTTGTACTCTGGTTCGCTACAGCCCTGTCTTCAGAGGTACATAACTTAGCTTCTGTGCTGATTCTTTTCTAAACATAGATTGTGCTGACCCTTATATACCGCTTACTGATAATCACCCCGGCATTAATGTTTTATTCATTATTAATGTGGATGTTATTTGAAAAATTATAATCGGAATGTGAATTTGGTTTCCGTTAATGTTATTTTCATGACTTGAATTCACTTTCACCAGCTCAAGTCGGCTGACCTCATTTGCTCCAGACTCTCTAAAGAGACAAGACAGCGCACCCTGATGTTATCCCTTTTATCAGCCGACACGTCTGTATCATGTGTGACGCTGTCTACAGAGGGGAGACAATGAAAGTCCAGGTGCCAGTCAAAAGTTCAGAGTGTATGGCTGTTTTCGAAACCGCATACTATACTACTACTACATACTGATTTGGCCAAAATGCAGTGTGCAGTATGTGAACAACTGCGAGATCTGCAGTATGCCAAAAATACCAGGATGTCATACTGATTCGGGAAAATTGTACAGTATGCATCGGACCAGTCTACCTCGCGTACTGTTTCCCACAATGCAAAGTGCCAGGTCAGAGATGAAAATGCCGGAGCGCAGCTGTTTGAACTCGTCGGTGGCGGTGACTGAATATCTTGCCACATTATGAACCAGTAACAAATATGACATGTTCATATATTTATATATATATATAAGTCTTACCACTTCGGATTTTCCTGCTTTGTAGACTGTACAGTGCATGTGCCACAGCTGGACAAGCAGCTGCAATTACAGGGTCCTTGGCTTGCTCTATTATAAATTATTCACAGCTGAGTAAAACCAGTTTAACCGGGACCAAGCATACTGCAAAATAACTGACGACTGGCAGTCATACTACATACTACTGTTGAACTCAGTATGCAGTATACAGTATATACTGCATACTGATTTAGATAGTAGTATGTAGTATGCGGTTTCGAAAACAGCCTATGACTTAGTGAAGAGAATTGTGAACAGTGGTGGAAATGTTGAAGCAACGCATGGATCTTTAGGGATGTAATGTGTTTGGATTATATCTATTACTAGATTTGGAGCGTGGGGGACGTTGTTTATGCAGCAGGACTATTGTTGCATACTACTGAGCAGCCTAAACTAGACTTTCAGATTTTTTACAACGGACAGGTTTCAATCTGAGTCTTTTAATCATCATGGCCTCTAAAGAACTCCAATCTATTGACATTTAATAAAGTTCATGTTGTTTTTCATGTTGTTGTTTTTTGATAATAGCCGACCAGTTAAAAGTTAATTTCAACTTCAGTCACAGATTAACTCACATTCCCAATCATTAATGTACCTGAACAGGGCTGCACATGGACTGTGAGCACTTTAACATTTTTCATGGACAATCTCCTAACATTATCTATATATTTATGTCACTCCTAGGCTGTGGGCTTAAATGTAATTTATGCTGTTTTTATGTTCGATATTTTGAGTGTGATGTGATTTGATTGTGATTCGAGGATTTTTGACCTTGTAATGCAAGACAAATGTCTGTGCAAACGGACAATAAAGTGTTATCTTATCGTAACGTATTTGTTAATTTATTAACAGTTGCATTTTTTTTGATTGACTGTGCCCACTTGGATTAGACGTACAACCTCACCTGAGAAAATCTACTTTTTCTTTAGACTTTGAAGGCCACATAGGACCTGTGTGTCGGCCTTTGTCCCAACCAGCTTGCTTGTTGTTGTGTAATAAAACCACTGAATAATCCAGCTGCAGAAATCACCCTGCACAGCCCCACAGGCATGAATCATGTATGCATCAATTAAAAGTGGCAATGTCTTTGTTCATGTTTATACTTGTACTCGCTATGCTCATGACTAGAACTCAACATGAGGGGTTCGTTGACTTGCAAACAAATAAAGCTTTTTGTGTTTTTCAACTGAGAGCATCTAGACATTGAAGCATGAGAATTTTCTCCATGAGTTCTGTTTCAATCTAGCAGATAGTATCTTATCATGCAACGAGTGAAGTGAACAAAAGTCTTTACTTACGGTATCAGTGCAGGAGTATTTGGAGGACACATGGAAGTTGATCATATCCTCACCCACAATGATGTATGACACACCATAACCGTCATCAGCAACCTGTCATAAACACACAGATCTTAATAATGGATGGAGTATTTTCCACTTTAACTTTGCCCGCAGGATGTTCATGCCATTCACATTTACAGTTACAAATAGAGAAATGTGTGTGTCACTCACAGGCCCGAACCCTCCTCCAAGAGATATGTAGTCTGGGTGGTTCTTCAGGTCAAACAGTTCCATCTGCTGAACAGGGGTCTGACTGGTGGAGAGACGCCAAGGCTCAGACAAAACCTAGAATGTGTGTGTGTGTGTGTGTGTGTGTGTGTGTGTGTGTGTGTGTGTGTGTGTGTGTGTGTGTGTGTGTGTGTGTGTGTGGAGGGGGACAAGATCAAAGAGGCGAGGTAATTAATGATCCTGTTTTAACTGTTAATCTGTCACCTTCACTAATAATAGATGCATGACACCTACACATGCTCTTTGGTGTTAACTCTTTGATACATCTGTCCCAACTTGTTTTTTTTACAATACACCTGCTGTGTAACAACTTCCTAAACAGTAGTAATATCACAGTCATTCATCTTAGTGACATTGCTTTACATGTCCCAGGTAGAGCAGAATACTTTCAACTGAAGGAAGTAGTGCAGATGTTGATGGGTGAGGGTGGAGGCAGTTTATAGCCACTCCCAAACCTGTAAATTGTGTTTTAAATTTGATAGACAATCTAGTAAAAGCTGTTCCTGCCATTCTGCTTTTAAACAGAAAAGAAGATTTTTTTTTTTTTTTTTGCTTGTTAAATCTATTAAGTTTGTACCGAATACCAATGCAACCGTTAATCCCAAAAAGACAATTCCAAGGAAAAATTAATGCACTTCAAAAAGGTGAGACAGACATGTATAATTGGTATTATCTTCATTTATGATTTTAGAATGCTAACATTTCAACTATGATGGTGACAAGCACCCCTGTTATCAGCAGTGTTGTAGTCAAGGCCACACTAACCGAGACCGAGACATACACGCGAGCAGAGTGCTCCGAGACCGAGACAAGGCCGGGACATGTAGGGATCGGGACCGAGTCAAGACCAAGTCCAAGGCAGGACAAGACCGAGTCAAGACCATAAACATCATCATAAAATCCTCATCTTGTGTTTAGGGGGCGTGTCCAAACAGCCAAACAACAAATGAATTGAAGTTATTCGTTGTTTTAGAAAGGGGCGTTTCTCCTTCTAATCACAGTAATGAAATTGATTTAAAATCGGGAGTCCGCCCAGTCCAAGACCAAGACAAGACCGAGTAAAATGCTTGCGATTCCGAAACGAGACCGAGAGCCCTAAAAAGTGGAGTAGAGACCGGTCTTGAGACAAAGACTGATCTCGAGTACTACAACACTAGTTATCAGTTATGAGTCTATAGCTGAATTTATTTGACAGGGCTAAATAATCAAAGACAAAAACTATATTCAGTGTCTTATGGCCGTTTCTACACTTAATGCTGCTCGATTAAGGTCTACATTTGGAATATTCTGTGTGTGTCACAGAAGAAAGTATAAAGCAACAGTGAAACACTGAACAATCTTACCTTTTTAAGGAAGGGTGACTCAACCCCCAAGTATTTGGAGACCACATAGAGGCAGAAGAGGTGTCTGTCGATCCCAGCACCAGTCATAGCCATGCGGTAAAGGTTCTGGTGTCGCTCTGAAGCCTGTCTGAAGAGTTGCCTACAGTGCTCCGCTGCCTGCAAAAAACAAATCACAATTTAGCAGACATCTTTGAAATAAAACCAGCTATAAATCTGTTTTTTATTCGATAAAAAAAAAAAAAACCCAGCACAGAATGTTAGATGATTATGAAGTATGAAGAAATATTGGTTTACATTTTTTACAGTTTGGATAGACATGAGGGTCAGCAGGAGATTCAAATGATGTGTTACTTTTTAAGTACAGAAAGGAGGGCAGAATAAAGGAATTTGTTAAGCACCTCTCCATCCTCGAGAGCTTTCACGAAGGCACAGCTCTCATTGGAGCAGGATCGCACAGTCTCCGTCCGGCCCTCCCTGAACAGACGGGTCATTGATGCCTCGTAGGTCAGACAGAATCCACCACGATCCTGAAGGACAAAAAGAGAGGACGTTTGAGGATTTTCAGATATGTGGTCACTCTTAAACACACTGTTAAACACATTGAGAGAAATGAATAACCAAAAAAACGATAAAAGCTGAGTTTGCCACCTAAGCTGCCATTACTGTTTAAAATCATTTTAAAGGCTGTCTTAAAGGGGACACTGAAGAAGAACAAGTCAGACAAAATCACAGGTTACACAAAGTTTAATCCAAACAGAAACCAGACGTAGACAAAAACGGAAGAGGCAAGACCAAAAAGACCACTCTGCCTATCATTTCAATCCAAGTAGAAAGTATGAGGTGAAACTTATTTTGAAGGGAGAAGAACAAATATTGCCAGTGACTACACTTGCAGAGGGGTTTGCATATATTGTTTTAACCATGTTGATAAAATTAAAGCCAAAACCCATATGATTTAGTACACACCATATAAAGGGCCATTCAAGGCGGTCAAAAGCTTTTTCTGCATCGACTGACAGTATGGCTGAAGATAAAAGATGATCAGAATGCTCTAGAATATGTAATAGACGCTGTATGTTGTCAGCCGATAAACGCTTTTTGACGAATCCACTTTGGTCAGAATGCATCAATTTCAGCAAGTATTTCTCAAAACGAGTTGAGAGCACCTTAGAAAATATTTTCACATCTGAATTTAATAAAGACAGAGGACAGTAGCTGGCACAGTTAATGGGATCCTTGTATTTTTTTTAAAAGTAGTGTTACTAGGGCTGTATTTACATCTGGCAAGTAAAGGGGATACTGCTCCAGAATTTTAAGTATACCTCAGGATGAATGCCCTCAATTCATGGTGATCTAGCCTTATTCATTTTGGCTAAAGATTGTTTAAGTTCATCCAGAGACAACAAAGAATCTAACATGCAGGATTCCTCTGAAGAAAGAGAAGTCAGCTTAAGTGTCTTGAGATAATTATCTCTAGCCAATGGTGAAGAGTTGTTATCTGATGTATACAGCTGCCTGTAGTAGTCACAAAATCTTTGATTAATCAACTTAGGGTCATTTGATTTGATCCCATTATCTAATGTTATTGCTGCTATATTTGTACATTTCTTTATGTTTTTAGTTTATTAGCCAACAGGCGATTAGGACGATTGCCATAAAAAAGGTGATTAACTCGAGTTCTATGTATGATAAATTCAGCTCTTTGTGTTAATAAAGAATTTAACTCGAGCTTTACCTCTGTTAAAGTTTTTGCAGTTTCTGCAGAGTAATTAACTTGCTGATTATGCTCTTGAATGGAGAGTGATGTTTCTAAATCATGTATCTTCTTTAACTGCTCCTTATTCAATTTTGAAGCAAATTCAAATTGTTCACAGAAATCTTGATTTTGTAACAAAGTTAAATTAAATTGCCACCTAGTGGCTCTTTGGGTAACGAAGAGATTAATAAATTACATTTATATGCATGATGGTCTGTCAGACTCATGTGCTTTATCTCTACATTTTGAACCCAAGATAAAAGGGATGCTGATATGAATACGAAGTCTATCCTTGAAAAGGTTTCATGCCTATTTGAGTAAAAAGTCAATTCTTTAGACGTGGGATTGTGTACCTTCCACACATCAATAAGATTAAAATCTGAAAGTAAATGTTTTAACATCTTAGTAACAGGAAGATTGAAATGTGTTTTACTTGATTTTATCCAGTTTTGGGTCCACTATAGTGTTCATATCAGATCCAATTATCTGTTCAAATTCAGATAAACCAGCCAGAACTTGATTTAACCGCTCAAAAAAAGGTTGTCATAATTATTTGGTGCATATATGTTAACAAAGGCCACTTTCCCCCCTTTACATATACATTTAACAAAGGCAACTCTACCCTCTTCATCTCCTCCTTTGCCAATAATGGAGAGCGGGAGTGTGTTACGTGTTAACATTATTACCCCTTTTGTTTTATTTAAAGCAGAGGAGAAAGCAGACACCCTGTAGCGATCATTCTCTAACTTATTTACATCCTCCCTTCAGAGATGAGTTTCCTGAAGCATAGCTATATCCACTTGATTTCTTGCTAACAAATCTAAGAAGGCTGCTCTTTTATTGGGACTGTTAAGACCCTGTACATTACAAGAAAAAATATTCAAACTAGCCATAAGATTTCTTTCCACTTTCCACTTATGTAATTAAAAATAATTTTACTCAAGATAACAGAAAATAAAAATAGAAAGAAGGACCTAAACAGACATATTTCATCCAAACTTACTGTTGCACAACACACAATACAACTGATCAGACCCAATATCCATGCCCACCCCTCCACCCCTCTTAATACTAACCCACTTTCTCTCAACCCCACCTTCCCTCCCTCCCATGTCCCACCCTCCTCCAGTCCTCCACACCCTACTCTAACACAGCAGGGTTGTAGCATGGTGGGTAATCCCTCCTGACATATCTACATCCTCCATAAATATTAGACTTATTCAAACATGTATTAGGAAATACATTTTAAGGGTAATATAGGGTCACTATACTGTGACCTAGTGGATGGAAAGAATCTGTATGTATCTCAGAACAATAGACCAAAATGGTAAATAATAAAAACTTTTTTGTCATGGCTTACTCAGTTGCTTCATCCATCTCTGTTTAGTCCAATGAGGACTTGTCCATTTCTGACGTTATATTCCAGTGTGTGGAATACACAATTTAAAGGAACATCGCAGTTATTTACTTCACGGATCGTTTTGTGAATGAGCATCAGATTCACCATCCAAGCTGGTTTTTAGGTGCTCCTCATAGAATTCCTGGGCCTTTTGTGCAGACGAAAAAATGTGTGTTTTATCTTGATGCGTCAGGATCAACTTGGCAGGATAGATGAAGCCACTTCTTATATCCAATTTACGCAGATTCATTCTCAGCTCCTTGAACTCGTCTCTCAGTTTCATGGTGTCAGCGCTCAAGTCTGGATAGATGCTGATTCTTTTACCCCTGTACATCAGCGGCGCACGGGTTGCTGCTAAAAGGGTGATTGTCTTTTTAATCTCAGAGCTGTACAGATGCACAATCATGCAGACTGATGTCTTGTGCGGTGGGCCGGTGCATTGGGCAATAACTGCAGGTGGAAAAGGGCCAACACTCTCCTTCCCAAGGAGGTCACAGAAAAAGTTGGATTACCCGCTTTGATGCCGTTCTCCAGTCCCAGCACCTGAACATTACATTTACGAGAGTGATTCTCGAGCTGATCCAGCTTCAGACGCAAGACTGCGTACTCTTTCTGAAGCACCTTGTGGTCATTTTCCAGTGTAGAGAGTCTTTTGTCAGATTCGTTTGCATATGATTCAAGAGATCCTACGGTCACTTCATATTTATCCACTCTTGCCTTTAAAGTTGTAAGCAGCTCATTCACAGGTTGCAACATTGTTTCAAACGCGCACAATATCCCTGAGAGTAACTGCCAACTCAGCGTTGCATGCTGTTTGTTTAGTGCCTTTTGCAGGCATAATTGTGATGCTTTTCGAGGGCACTTAAATTGTATTTTCGCACAAAACAAACAGCTTTTCAATTCTAATGAGCAAGATAACGAATAAGTCTTTCTTCAGTAAATTATTTCAAAATGTTTGTAGAGAGTCAGGACACAGACTCAGTCATTCCATGCCACCGGAACCGGAACCGGAACCGGAACCGTACAAAACAAAAAAGAAAAACCTGACTTTTGCCCACTGATTTTTTGTTTTTGCAGGGTATTCTGAGATTCCACTTAAACCCTGGGCATTTTCTAAGGCATTCTACCGGCTCATTCATTGCTTCAAGGAGGGGATTTTGGGATGACATGATCGTAGTCCTTATTTGACAAAAGAAGTCACTGCAGTGAGCACTTAAGAATAACACTTTGTTTAGAGTTACTTTTATTTTCTTAAACCAGTCTTTTTTTTTAATTAGATTTTCTTTCTCCTGATCGTTTGCATTGAACAGTGTAAACATCAGTACAGCAGTCAGAGCATCATACTCCTTTACCCCTAAAAATGACATTCCTGCAACTTTACTGAATGCACCTCTCCAGCTCCAGTCAACAAAGACTTTGTGTTAAATGTGTGTGTTTATGTCAAAGTGTTACCCTGTAGTATGCCAGCTGTAAGCCAATCTGGATGAATGCATCAGGGCTGATGCGGAGCTTCTTTATCCGTCCTTTTCCAAAATCTCTGAAGGGAAACACATGGCAGTCGACATCATCGGCAAGCGCCTGGGCAACGGCCAGAGAGCTGTTGACCTGAGCCTGAACCTGACCAACAAACAGAGGGAAAAGGATTAAAACTGGAACAAAGGGGATCATTTGGACCTTCACTGAAATGTGAAGGTTGTTATTTTTGGGCCCACAGTCAAGTGACAGATGTATTTCTTCTTGCTCATCATACAGAGTTGTTAAGGTTTACTCGTTTCCTCATCAAAGACTGATAAACATTCAGGAGAAAATTGACCCCACTCGTTTCCAGTATAAACAGAAGTTATTAAAATAATTGCAGAATAGTTGAAACAGGAGATAATGAAGATGTAGATGATTGTTATGCTTGCCGTGTCAAGTTAAGAACAATTTGTCCCCTGTTCATTCTGCTTTTGCCAAGTACCAAGGTTCACAGAAAAATATAACAGCTACTTAATCTGTAATTTTGTAGTTCTTCCACAGTGTGTGAGTGGTGCCAGGACGTCGCTGCCCTCACAGGCTGTGGCTTCTTATATACTATTAACATGGGCAACAAACTGGAGTTGGTTTCTTGCCAAACTAACACTGCTGTTATCCAGCCAGTATAAAACATGAACCAAAATTTTAGTTAAGACTTTTTTTGTAATGTAAAAGAGACACTCACTCACACACACTCTCATTTCTGTGCACAGACACAGAAACCCCAAAAACATTACTTTCTTTGTCCAACAAAGTTTTGCTTTTTGCTCTTTTTTGGTATGTTTGAACAAGAAGATTGGCAGAAGTGATGCCATGATGAAAAGTATTTAGTAGAGCCGATACCCAAGTGGTTAGTCTGGAGGTCCATGCATCGAGGATGTGGTTCTCGAAGTGGAAATGAATCTACCTAGTGGCTTCTTGCCCGCCCATCATTCTCCACTCTCATTCGCCCCAAATTCTAAATCTATCCAATGTCCTATTCATCCAATAAAGGCCAAAAAATCCCCTCAAAAATCTCTTGAAATAAAGTATTTTGTGGAGCAAGGAAATAGTTTAACAGTAAAATGCAGGTTTAGAGAGCTCTCACTCATCCTCATGTTCTTGTTACAAGAACATGAGTGAGAGCTCATTTACAGCACACACCCTGACATGAAACTGGCCAATTTAAATATTGCATTTGGAACAACCAAAACTATTTTTGACACAAAGTTCATGTCGCCTGGAATTTGTTTAAATAAGTGGTCAGGGTTATGCTAACGCAAACAATGCAGAGGAAGAGAGTCTACTGCCTAATAGCTTGTTCAGTGTTTGCCTTATTTGGATTCATTTGAACCCAGTGCATGGGAGTCAAGCTTGTTCTTGTCCTCCCAGGAGGGCAAATGTAAACTGTCTTTGAGCCACATGCTTTTGACATTTCTCTGTAAAAGTGCTATTTTAAGTAGAAGTGGCAGTGGGAGCTGCTTTTTGTTGCCACACAAACTCACTGTCAGTGTAACAAACTTGATGATTACCAACTGAAGCAGTTAATATTTAGTTATTTAACAGAAAGCCATGCAAGAATAAATAGGAAAGAGCAGAGAGCAAACTGTACTCCTTTCTAGTCAGTTAGTCTTTCTAATTATTTTGGTAAGAACACGAGAGAGGGTCAAACAACAAGAACTCAATAAGAGTCTTAACTTTGTCATTCATGTAGAATACCATTTAAAGGCATTTTTGACAGCGAGTTAATGTGGACATAATGAGTGTTACACATGTTAGATGCTGTTAATGCAATGGCTTTGGCGTTCATAAATACAGTGATCATGCAGAAAAAGTTGGGTGTTCGTGTGGTGTGTGTGTGTCAAGCACACTTTTCATTTGTTATACAGAACTAGAGAAGAGTCCCCACAAAGAAATAGCTTTAAAATCGACGATGCTGACATTTCTCACTGGAAAGCAGTACCTGGAGCGGATAACCAGCTCAATCTTAAAAGATGAGTCCCATCCTCTGCATTGGATCAAGTCATATAATAGCTGTGTATAATGCTTTGTTTTTGTTTTTCTCTTCACCTTTTTCCTCTTTGCTGCTTGATGTGGTTTTTGGAATTTCACGAAGGTCTTGCCTGAAGGGACAGATGTAGCAGGCTGGGAAGCTGATGTCATGCTTATTAATGGTTATTTATTCATTTAGTATCTATTTTACTCTCAGCTCTGTAAGTTTTACAGATCAACTAGTTTTATCTTTGTACGATTGGAACCTGCAAAGTTTATGCACCTCTGCACTTTTACCCACGTACCGTGCATTTTTACTCTGTATGTTTTATGTATTGTCTGTGTTTATTAAGTACTTGTGACTCCCTGACAAACATATTTATCAAGGGGTACAAAGAAAGTAACCTGAACCTTTTAAACGTGTGCACATTCAACACACACAGACACTTTCAGAGCACTGACTCATTCTAAAAGGGTGCAATGCTAAATTTAGGGTTAGGGCACATGCTGCAGATGAACAAGCCCGGGACTTTTGCAATGGAAAACCACCTCACAGTTCACTACTAGTCAGCATGTTGTGTGGTTGATTTATTCCACACACAGACACTCTCACTAACCCAGCAGACATGCATGCATGGAAAAATAATCTCAATCATCCAACGTTTCCTTTTCAAATAAAAACTAATAATAATCTGTTAGTCATATCAGTTACGAAATGGCTTAAATATTGCATAACTTTATTGCGCAATCCAAAATCGCTTCTTGTGATGCTGATGAAAGAAAGCGTAAACTTGTTCAACTGTGATAAACACAGATGAGGTTGTTAACTTTTGTCACTGACTTCTTTGAACTAGGGCTGGGAATCTCTGCTGGGTGTCTCACAATTCGATTCGATCTTCGATTCCAATGATTCTGGATTCAAAGTCCATTTATGAATTAGTACATACTTCAGGATCTACTCCAGTCATCTGTGAGACTGGATGCATTTCTTCTTGCTCTATTGTGCATTCTACTGAGTTAAAGAGCTCATTTTTTGGAATTTATGAATTGATTTTTCACCCTCCTCTATTGTGATCCATTCATTTATTAGCACAAAGTCTCCCACTCCTCTCTCTCCTCTTTCTCTATCACAAAAATCTCTTTGACAGAAAAATGTCTGAACATGCCAGAGAACGGGCAGGAATCTAACCCAAGTAACAGTTGGCTGACCTGCTCTTCTAACCTCCTGCTCTCTTGATGTTCAAATGGAGTACATGTATTATAGTTTTTGTACAACAGTGGGAATGATTTGACAATGATATGTGTGTAATGGGTACTTTAAACATCTTGTTTGACGAGAAAGTTCAATTTTATCTGTTGCGAAACTGGTTCAAGCTACAGGTTTTCCTGTAAAAGTTGAGTGTTGAGTTTCATGGCCATGTAAGAATTTGTTAATTCAGCTGCAGTGTGATATGTTTTTTTCATATAATTCATTGACATAAAGATGAGTTACAAACAACTTTGTTTTGCTTTAACTCTCATAATTGGGAGCTACTAGAGTATATTGTATTTAAGTGAAATCTGGATATGTTAGAAACTGGCAGGTCTGTAAAACCTTTACTATAGAGTCATATAAGCAAGTACAGTAACCAAAAAATCTACCAGACAATTTCTTAAGAATGTGTGATAACTTTTACTGTTTGAGCGTCACCATAGAAAACTGTCCTCCAGAGTTTTATTTTAATTTAACCCCTTATGTTCTTTTAACTTGACCCTCCACTGGTACACATGACAAATTCTAAGCAACTTTTTAAAAGTCCTATCTGAACACTTGGACATGACCTCAGAACAGAGGAGGACCACAGTCCTAAAGTAGCCTCAAGATGGTAATATCCTTTAAAGAGGAAACCAGGGAGACCAAAAGCACCCTGGCTGAGAACTGGGATCTGTGATGAAGGATGGCTCTCTGGCACTACCCTTTGTGTAAAAATTGGGAAACAGTCAAACAGCCCAAAGAGGCCCCAATTATTGTGCAACACTGGGCCACAATGCAGGGACTTCATACGACAGAGTCTGTGGTCGTAACTAGTCCACTGCACAGAGCGAAAGGTCCCCAAGCATAACAGACCCTTCATGAGGAATGTAGTTTCAATTCAGACACATGCGTCACTTTAAAGGTTCAAATAAAAGAACTGTAGCTGCCTTTTAAGATTGTATTCAAAGATTTATCATCTTTTGTAAAATATTCCATTGTTTTCATTGAAATGCTGGACTTAAAGTTTAGTCAAATTTGATACTATTTCACCAAATCATTTCTAATGAAAAAGCAACTTCACTGCATGTCATTCATTTTACAAAGACAGAGATTAGACCGCGAAAAATGGTTAATATTGTAAAAAAAAAAAAAAAAAAAAAAAAAAAAAAGCACTTTACTTACTGCATATTCTATCGGCTTCTTTTAAAGACAATTCTCTAAAACATTTACGATACAGATACAGTTTAATTCACCCGCTGACTTTTCATATTTGAATTGCCACATGCACGTAAAGTTTAAAGAGCTGAGATAGTGTGGATGGTGCTGACCAATATAGACATTTTTTATGGCTACAAAGAGGGTTTATGGTCTTCTTCTTCCAAAGGACTGAGCTACTGCCGCCCCAATTTTATTACTTTCCCTCTAGTGTTAATGTCTTTATTTCAGTGTCTGTTCTTCTCTGGCCGTTTCTTTTGTGAAGAACTTTGGGCTCAGCGTTTTTTATCTGAAAAAGGTGTTGTAGAAATAAAGCCGAGTTGAGTTGAGCTGAGAATCTTACTCAACCCTGTTGTGATGCGTCATAAGTGTAGGGGTTAATCCTTGCCAAATGAAGTGCTCCTTTGTTACAGCTGACCCTGAATATCGTTAATACATTAAAGTGACCCTGGTGCTAGTAAGTTACTAAGTTAAATAAAAGGAAGAAAACAAATTATGAATATAGGATATACAGTATCAAAAACGATTAAATAAAATATGGAATACACTCAATGATCTTATGGGCAAAAACATCAAACCCACTCTTCCTCACCAAACCAGCAGATATCTCTAACCACTTTAAAATCATTTTATAGGTAGAATGGATAAATGAAGGACAACATGCCTTGATTTTACAGCAGCATTTGACATTATTGATCATAAATTCATAATTTAAAAAACTAGAATGTTTTCTCCATGTGCATTATCTTGAAAGGAGAGCTATTTAATTAACAGAAAATAAACAGTTTTTTAATGGGAGCTATGTTAAAAAGGTAAAGTGGGGAGTGCCACAAGGAAGCTGTCGTGGGTCATTGCTTTACACCATTTTCACAGATGACTTACCACTTATTGGCCAGATCCCACAGTTAAGATTGCATAACAAGGAAACTATTAATGCATACAGTGTTGTGGTCTTCAGAATATTACAGTTTCTCTTAAATAAAATAAAATGCTTTTATTGCTATGTATACATCACCAGGTTGATACACAGCTCTCTGTTAGATACTGTTGCCGTTAGGCCATGCTGTCAGACAAACACCAATGTGGCAGGCGTTCACTTAAAAGAGTCGGCTTTTTAGTGATTGAAATTCACATTATCAGCAGCTCCTTGGTCCTCTGCTGGTTAACTCTGTGGCTCCACAAGCTGACAGTAGATAAGATGGGGCCTAACAGAATTTACAAAACGGTTGGCTTTTGTTTTAAAAATGACTGTCTTGGTGTGGTTCATGTACACAGATGAAACACCCCCTTGAACATTGTTCAAGAAGAATTGGTAGATAAGTAACTAACACATACACACATACTCCTTATACAACTATCTCTCCACCTCCACCCTCTCTACTCCTCTTTGCGGGAGTCGAGAGCAAAGAGCTGAACCATGAATGTTAGGGTTGAGAGGTGCTGCTTTTCCAGAGGAAGATAGAAGGGATGTGCATGACCCTTAAATGTCACTCTAAAAAAACAATTCATCCACTCAAACATCAACATCTGATGTAATCACGAGTCCCTGAGGTCAGAGCATTTCCCAAACACACACATTACACGAAAACATGCAGGGTGTGCGTACCTCTGAGGAGATGTCCCAAGTGAGCCTCTGTGGGAGGGGCAGTGAGCGGTCCACATCGCCTTTACAGTGGCCGTCCTCGGTGTAGCCCAGCTGGAAGGCATCTGTGGCCAGGGTGTACTGGAGGACACAAAAGACATGCTCATGTAACATCAAAATATGTTACACACAGTCCAAACACACTCTTGTACTAAACACACACGCAACTCTTGCTCTTCATTTTGAAACATCTCATTTATTGTTTGACCTTTTCTACTCTCTTTTTGCTGCTGCAAAGCCTGAATTTCCCCTCTGAGGATCAATAAAGTATTATCCTTATTATATGTTTGGTCTTTTACACAGAGACCCTGACAGGATGTTATGTTTATGACATTTTTGCATCTGGTCTTATAAATTAAGCTGTGGCAAAAGACCCAAACATGGTTTATTTCACACATCGAGTCCCATCTTGTTTCTTAGAATTGACAAATAATGGTAAATAAATTGTACAAAGTATGACACTCAAAAAGTTAAAATGCATGCTTTGACATAATAGCCCTGTGATACACTGTACCTTCATGAAGGCTATCTGACGCCCCTCACCCCTCATTACAACTTGTTCTTTACATTTATAAATTATTTATATCCCATTTAAGATAACAGGATAAAAACCCTTATTGAAAATGCTCTTTTCCGATAAATCAATCAATTTGTATAGCGCCAATTCATTACAAATCTTATCTCAAGACCCTTTACAAAAGAGCAGGTAAAATACCTTAATCATTGTTATATTATCTACATCTCTGATCTTATCATGATACAACTTAAAAGCTACATACTTTTGCCATTTAAGGACACAAAGGATTGTAGATGTGATAATCGAATGGATTTCTTAACCCTTCACTTATCATTTGATTTATGCCCCTGGAAAAGGTTGACAACCGGTCAATTTGGAAAGTTCCATTCCTACATAGCACCTCACCACAGTGGGTGTTTCACTTTCCCATTCGCGCTTAAGCAGGCCCACACAGGAAATAAACAACATATATCTCAGGCGCCCACACCATCAGTAGTGGACGTGATGCTCTTGTACACATCCTCTTCTATAGCAAGCCCACCACAGTTTCTTTCCACTGCTCAGTAGTCTACCACCTCTGCTCTTTACATCACTACCAGAGAACATCACGTATTAAAAGAAGCCATTCAGAAACATTACAATGCTTACAATGTGACTTTCAGAGCAATAACAGGAAAGGAATTTAGCAGACTTCCCTTGAACCTCACATCCAGTTTCACTTTAAACTATCACTTTCTTTTTGGGGGGTTGGGTTATATAACACCTTTTCACACAGACTCTGAGGGCACGGTCACACTGGCCATCCGTACCGTGCCCAAGCACGCTTCAACCCTAAAGTCCAGTTCGTTTGGCCAGTGTGACCGCTCCGTATCGTGCTCAGGCACGGTACACTTCCTTGGCTTTGGCACACTTCAAGAGGTGTGCTTCGGCACGGTACACTTCATGCACGAGCACAAGCAGGCGGGTACACAAAGCTGACAGCCTTCATTATGGAGAAATCCAGAGTTTCATGGCTGTATCTGACTAAAATGACACAATATAAACCACAAAGTAGAGGTGGGTAATATGGGAAGAAAATCGCGATCACGATTTTATCATGATTTTTTTCATACTGATCTTTAGACAAATTTGTAAGTTACTGACCAGTTCAACCAAACTTATTTCCCTGTATAATGTTTTTAAATGCACACAAACTGTGCTGACAAGTTTAATCTATTTGAAAAACATCTTTGTAGGAGGTCTGGAGATCTCACCCAGAACATCATTAGCGACAGAAATGTCTTTCCCTCGATTTGATCAATATTTATGAACCATTTGAAGGTTTTCCTCACCACTTTGAAATTATGATTTAGTTATGTGTCCTCTTTTTATGTTCATCAGGAACATTTTCACGCAGTGATGCATTCATTTAAAAACATGTAGACTTTGAGTTCTTGTGTTTCTGTTCTATTATAGCCCTGCAGAGTTCCTACAGCTGAAGCTTCATATACCTGCAGCCTTTGTTGTTTTTTATGACATCATTGGACTAACTTTAGTTTTGTTTATAATCAAACATAATACAGAATGTGTTCATTCTGTCACACATGATCAAAGTAAGTTTTACTAACAGAAGAGTATTATTCATACAGGGGGCAGGACATCATTGATTGACAGACAGACAGTCACCATGGTTACTCACTCTCACCTGCCTGCTGCTTTGTAACGTCATTTAGTGTAATCCCTAAAGTTCGGTTATCACAACAGGTGAGCTTCGGGTGGAGAAGCTTGATAGTAACTTTTAAAAGCTGAGAGAGAGCAGAAAACACCGACAGCAACATTTTAAACACCGGGGTTATATCTCCACTGACTGTCTGAGCTCCACCCTGTCTGTCTCTCTGCAGACTGTGAACGTCTCTCCGACTTGTTAAACAGTTTCTTGTGTCGCTAGCCGAGATGTAAAGTTAACTGTGCAAACTATGCAGATAAGTTAACTGTTGCTCACATCGTGTCAGTTTGGAAAAATATCAGAACAGTTAAATATAACCGGGATGGAGTTGTTTTTGCGGACTTCGCTTTTAAGTTTCGTTTTCACTGCAGCGGAAAAGAGGGGGAGACGCGTCTGTGTCGGAGCATAAACTGCAGCATGATAGAGTAAACACATAAGCCCGGTTCTATAAACTCCCTGCTTTGATCTAAGATCGTTATATCGCCCACCACTACCACAAAGTAGTTGTCATACTCTCTGTGTTGTTCTCCAATGTGCGGGATCCGTGCCCTTAACCACAGTTGTGTTCTCTAACAGAAGAATTCCATTGGCCCAATCCCTGTAATTGATCTTGGCAAAACAGACACATGCAGCTGGCTCATTCAGGATGCTACACTGCCGAAGCTGAGGGGATTGCACAGTATCATGGTGTTTTTGCATTTTGTGCTGCCTTTCTTCATTTTACCCATTTCTTGAAACACAGGTCAAGCAGCGACAGATCAGCAGAGAAATTCCGGACAAACAAAACCTTAAATACAAACACACACACCTCCCAAAGGTGAGCCACTGTGGGTGCATCAGCCCAGGAGTGCTCTGCATTCAGTCCGCTCTTCCCGTTCTTGTAGATCACAATGGAGAAGGATTTATCAAACCATCTGGAGGAGAAAAGAGAAAAAATCAAAGATAGTGAGAAAACAGCTGAGTTTGTGAGAAAGTGTTGGATTTCGAAAAGGAAATGTTTTATATCTTAAAAAATAGATTTACTTTGACAGGAGAAATGAAGTAAAACCATCTTTATACAAACATGACTAATACTAGCAACTTGGCTATGCTGTACTAATGCAGAACAGTGCTTAAAGGAAGAATGTGCAACTTTTTAATCCAGTAGATGTCACCCTTAAGCACCAGCATGAAACCAAAACAAACTGGTGATTGGCACTACCTCATCCCATTATCCTGACCACCACTCTCCAAAATCCTAAAATATCACTTCTGAGATGAACCAGCATGTGCTGGTACAGACACTAAGCACAATATTCCACATTTCACAGAGCAGAGAACAAATGCAATAGCTAGCTACGAGAAGGGCTAGGAGTCACTTGATAGGATATTAAATATGTGACAGTCGACAACGAAAATAAAGAGTGAGGTCTAGACCGGCTCTTTTTGTAAAGTGCCTTGAGATAAAATTTTGTATGAATTGGCGCATTAAAACAAAGATTGATCTACTGATAATATCACGATACAGCAATTCAACAGAAATGTATATCCTGTCATCATGTCATCTGATTAACAAAAGAAGAAAAAAGGTCCCTAAATGTGCAAGTTTAATGTTTTTATTGACTGCAGTTTCGTTCAGTCTTAACTTGTATCATGCCTTTTCTTTTAACTTCTATGTTTTCTTTGCAGACATCATCCTGTTGTCTTATTCTTCTTCCTTTATCCTGTTGTCAGCATCGTCTTTGGTCAATTCCCTCATTCATCTCAAATGTGCCACCAGGAGGAGTCGTAAATTAGCAACGCAGCAAGTCCTAATGCTAGGGATCTATATAGAGTGCTGTATTTTTTTTAAATGATATCAATATTTGGCAGCGACATTAGAACTGTATCACCTGAGTCAGGTGATGAAATATTGCCCTATCAATACTTTGTCCAATCCCTAGCCACAGAATTAGATTTAATCTACACGGAATATTTAGCACTCTATGGGCCAGATTGACTAAGCTCCCAATTAAAGAGTACTAAATTGCGTGTTCACTCCAAAAGTTTGCACGTTTGGTTGGTGGGCGTTTTGCGGCTGATCTACTAAGAAAATTTAAGTGAATGACACCAGGTGCAAACCTTGTGGAGCCGGTACTATTTAAGTTAGGCTTTTGCGTATTTTACTGGTTTACATCACAGAGAGTTTGGACAGAAAACAGGATGACTGCAAGCGCAAAATAGGTATTAGTGGGAGAGGCAAATAAACGCACAGTATTTTTGAGTTATAGGAGAGAAATCTGAATATTACAAAGAAAATTTTGGTCATAAGAAAACATCGGCATTAAACAGGGCCTCTCTTTTCTTCCCTTAATCTTAAGAATGAAGTGTCATACATTGCGCAATACACTCGCCGTTGTTGCACACCAGATAGCTGGCCAGCGCTGTGTCTGATCGGACATAAATGCCCTGGAAAAAGGTATCGAAGACAGGGGTACAACCCGAGAAAAAGGAAATCCCCAGTTTAAAATATAATGCTGGCGAAAAGAGGGAAAGAGTAAGAAATAAATGTCAATGTTGAAATTCTATAGAATGCAGAGGCTGTGAATGTTCAGTTTTCTTTGGCTGTAGGCTTTGGCAACAATAGCCATGTAGTTTAATCATGGTGTTTCTCTTCCTTAACGATTAGAATATTGAATCAAATTAAAAAATAAATGCATGCCATTTATTTTTCTGTCATTTGAAACATGTAAACACGTGGGGAAAAACGCGATCTTTATGCCTTCTTTTGTTGTGCCTATGTCTCCTCCTAACTACAATAACAGCAGGCTGTTGTGCGTAACGCTGGTCTCCTGGGTTAGCACGTTCTTTTCAAAGGTGTTAAATACAGACACCGTCAGAATCACCGCAATTTTTGCCAGGTTTGGTAAATCGCAATGCGTGTACTAACTTAACTTGTTTGCATTTTCTCCTCCCAGTATTTTGCACTTTAGGGCAGAAACGCCCCATATTGCATATTCATTAAGGCAAACATACTAAATGGTCAATGCGTGTTGTTTTGCTCATATGAAAGACGCAATCCCCACTGCGCGCTGTTAGTAGATCAGATATCACTTTTTTTGCTGGTGGTATCAAGTTTGCACACGTTTTAAGACATGCAAACCTTTAGTAAATCTGGCCCTATGACTACTAGAAAAAGTAAGCTGACTAATTAAATGTTGTCATCCTGTTTCATTGTCCCTTCTCATAATCTTGTAATACAAGATAATCAATCAGTGTGTGGCTCGTAAAGATAATGTTAAATATTCATGAAAATAATCAGAGATCATGATTGAAGCTTACAATGATCAGACACAAGCAGAGATCAGTTGAGCTGTAAATTGTCTGGCTAAATAGTGCGTCAGTCCTAATCCTCAACCTTTTTTCCTATCATGTCTTTTTTTCCTGCTTGCACTTTTCACAAACTAAGTTTTTATGCTTTGTTGATTTTGACTCTTTAACCTGTTGGTAGAGCATCTCATCTTTTATGAGACATAAGTGCTGAAGAGGGAAATTCTTTTAACCCAAAGATGAGAGTGAATTAATTTTTAACTCTGGTGCAGTCTTATATTTAGTAACTTGTCTCTTTATTTTGCACCTTGTGTTCGAACTGTTTGTTTGACAGCAGACACACTTCTTAACCTACATGCAAATGTTTCAATTCAAAGAAAGATTTATTTCACTTAATCTAACTTGTTGCAGGCAAATGTGGAATTAAAATTTGGTTTCCCAATTTTGAAGACTCAGATTTGTGTGGTGTGTCACAACTTCAGCTGATATAGCTTGGGATTCAAAAATAGCCAAAAAGCAGAGTGTAGAGATCTTTGGTTAAAGATCACCCATCTAATTACTCTCCTCTATTTCCTCACCTATCATAACATTTCCCGTGGAGCAAAGACTTAGCGTAGCGGTCCAAGTTTCCCGCGGGGTCCTCTCCTCTCATGCCTTGTTCCTCATCGTCCAAAGTCACGAAGAAAGCAGCTCTCTCGATGGCATCCAGTGATCGCTTGTTGATACCCGAGCTGAAGTACTCTTTCCTCGTATGAGACCAGGGGACCCTGGAAAGGACAGGGGGGGGGGGGGGCAAAATCAGAAAAAAGAGCCCTGATCTACATACTCATGATGATTAGGCTTTAACATACACATACACACATAAGTACAGTTGATCATACATGGGGGAATTAATTCATAGCAACAGAGGAAGCCATCATTCAACAGCACGGACAGTTAAAGAAGAGCTCAGTGTGGTGTTCCTTTACGACTATGATGACAAATAAACTCAATTCTCAGTAGTACTAGAAGTAGTGGTAGATTATTTTGTGTTTAAAGGAAGAATATGCAACTTTTTGATCCAGTAGATGTCGCCCTTGAGCACCAGCATTTAACCAAAACAAACTGCTGCACCTCCACTATTCTGAAGCCTCCGCTCTCCTCCAGCAGCACACCTCCAACCCCCCTCCACTCGAGATGAACGAAGGAGTTATGAATAAGACCGCACCATTAAGTGTAAGCGGCGGAAAAATTTGTTCATTGCTCGAGCTGCAATTGCCTGTGGCCTGCATTGTTGTATTAGCAGGTTAATGTTAACACATTTTGGTTAACTCGTAGCTTCACATTGCACATAAATAGACAAGGGATGACTGTGATCTAAAGACACTAACCAAATCCAAAAGTCCAAATAAGCAGCGAGTAGACTATGGTATTCCTATTTTCTCTAGCCCCTGACTAAAACAACTTTAGATGCAAGGCCGTCCCGTCCATGTAAACATGATAAAAACATGGCCCAACAACAGCACAGCTGGCAGGACTCATGCTGGTCACTCAGTGTAAAGAGTCATGACTCAGAGAGACATACTGGATATACTGGATTTCTGCTACATTTATGTGCAAATGTTTTACATTCTTCCATTTAAAGCATATTACTATTCAAGGTATTCTCTCTCTCTCTCTCTCTCTCTCTCTCTCTCTCTCTCTCTCTCTCTCTCTCTCTCTCTCTCTCTCTCTCTCTCTCTCTCTCTCTCTCTCTCTCTCTCTCTCTCTCTCTCTCTCTCTCTCTCTCTCTCTATATATATATAAATAAGTGACTTAAATGTGGCTCAGCACCTCAAAAAGATTTGAAATCCTTCTGTGCTCCGCATGAAATATTTGTTAAGATATGCAAATACATTTTTCAAAGTGAGCATTTATTTATATTAAGAACACACAAAAAATATTTTTCTCTTCAATTCACACATCTTCCTTTTCCATGTGTGTGGGTGCTCTGTGTCACACTATCATCGCATCATGTTGTGCTCCACATTCATATCTCTACATTAAAACGCTGTTAAAATAGATTTTTTTACAAGTTGCTTTCCACTCTTTAGTTGATTATTTCCTCTTAGTTTCAACGACATCACTAACATCTGCAGCAGCTTCAGCCTGGTTCTTGACTTAAAAACTCACTTCAGGTCACAGAACAGATCATCTAACACCCCAACAAAGACATGCAGATCTTTGAAGCTGTAGGACGCCACATGCAGGGGTCTTATCTTTCCTGTCCATCAGAACACACACTCAGGATGTAATTATAGCTGCGCACTCAGTCCCATTTCCTTCCTTCAATCAATTTCTCAATATATAGAAAAATGTGATTCAGTCCTTTCCTGATTTCCTGATCCAAGTTCACATTTTCTTTTTCTCTCTGGGTTTTCTTTAATGTAAATGATCTCTGGCCCACATGGACTTATCTCTCTGTGTTTCTGCCACACAATGGACATTAAAAGTACAAAGATTAACTTAGTACTGGGCGGCTGTGGCTCAGTTGGTAGAGTCGTTGCCTCTCAACCGAAAGGTTGAGGGTTCAATTACCAGCTGAGCAACATGTCTGATGTGTCCTTGGGCAAGACACTCAATCCCACTGCTTCGGTGGCGGTGTATGAATGGATTAGTGTTGTATTTACTCTCTGATGTACGTTGCTTTGGATAAAAGCGTCTGCTAAGTGAATTGTAACATTGTAGTACTGAACTGAACTTCCAGACTTGGTCCATGCCAGGACTTGAACCAGTGACCCTCCGATTTCCAACCCAAGTCCCTACAGACTGAGCTACTGCCGCCCCCAGATACTTAATATATAATGCCATATACTTAAAATAAGTAAAATAAGTACGACCATTTCCTTTTGTTATCTTTAATCTTACTTAATCTTAAAGTGTATTTTGATCAAGGATCCCTTTTCAGATTGACAAAGAAAACAAAAAACATTTGTAATATAACTTTCACTCCTCAGATACACACGATTCAAACTGTGGATTCCAACATATAGCTAGATAAACCGTGATCTGAGAAACAACAGATTGAAATAATAAAACAGCATCCTTTAATACACTATTGTAACCCCCTCATCCCTGTAAAACACAAGATAGACATTTTTTGGTAAAACACAAGTTTGCTGTAATCAACAAAACTCTTTCTAGTTATCTTTTTTTATTGTATGAGCTTTAACATTGTTGAACACTTAACACACACACACACCTTTCATTCAATGGATGCGTTTACATCTGTGTACTTGAGTCAGACAAACAACAAACTATATCTTCAGTTTTTGGAGCGAACATATCTCTGTAACAGCCTTAGTGTAAGTTTACAGCAACAGACTACGACAGGCTGTAAAACTACCAACGTGAAGCTACGGACTGTTGTTAAACGCAGCTACCAGCTGCTACAGGCATGAAAGCAGACGGGTTGAGAGTGAACAGAGAAAACACAAAGCGGTGTTTGAAAAAAAGTCACAACACACAATGAGATAGCAACGCCTTTGACATGTTTGTGTGAAAGATCCCCAAAAATATATGAAAATATATTTAAAGACACTGTAATGTCTTCTTATTTGTACAGCGGGTCTACATGACACAAAAACACTCCCTTCCTTTCCCTGCGGCGCTCCACAGAGATTTAGCAGTAGTATTAATTAAAGGCTACACCATGCTTGTAAATATTCCATCCAACCAGACAGTGATACAACTCATCTGCTACACACAGTGTAACCTTTCACTATTTTTGTGACTTCTTCTTGTCATTCAGTTTCAGTTTGACACTCATTTCGGGAAATTCCTTTTTGTTTGCCTCCCCGGCCTTCAAAACTGATCAAATGCATCTGTTTCTGTGATTAAGAGGTATGATGTAAACAAAGTTAAAACAGCAAAAGTAAAAAAAACTTTCCATTTACTTCTCAGATCGAGCTCGTCTAGTTTTGGTTTTTCCACTTAAAAACACTGAGCCATGCACTCAGCCTTTACAACTAAAGAAACACTACAGACAGGTTTGAGAGTTAAGAAACACAACACAACTACATCCAAAGAAAATGAATACATTCCAGTATGAACTACCAGGTATGATTCCTTCCCCTTGGAGTTCTTACCTTTCTCCAGCAGTGAGAGCCCCCAGCTTCTCCTCTCCGGGCTGAGGGGGTGAAGGGTCATCCAGGATCCTCTGGATCTGGTATTCGATCTCCCTGGGTGACAGCAGCCGGCCTGCCCGGTACACCCACAGGCGGAAAAAGCGTCCCTTGTTGTACACTGCCACAAACTCGCTGTCCTGCCAGTGCTGAAGCACATCTGTGGAGGAAAGGAGGGTTACAATATCTGCTAAACTGTTTTCATCTGTGCTAATAACAATGTGTTTTACAGAGCTTTATTGAGCTGATGTGTTTGTGTTTATTTATATACTTTTCTTTTTTTATCTATAACTAAAGATACAGATTCCTATTCTAGTGAATGTTTCGTTTCTGTGGTTTTTATTTCACAGAGGATATTTATTTTCATGTCATCTGTTGTTGAGTTCATTGTTCAAAAAGCCGCTGTGTCCCTGGAAACGTGCAGTTGTGTCAAAGTGTCATGACCCTTTGACTTTCTGTTTAACACCATCAATCTGTCAGTCAGGTTCTGCTTTTCAGGAAATCCTGCACACAACATAATCGACTCTTCAATATGTGAACACACCTTCTTTACATGCACAATGCATCTCTTTGCGTGTGTGTGTGTGTGTGTGTGTGTGTGTGTGTGTGTGTGTGTGTGTGTGTGTGTGTGTGTGTGTGTGTGTGTATGCGTGCGTGTGTGCATTACCGGTCTCAACTCCCGGTGTGCGTGTTGTGTTGAACATCCTCTCACACTGGGCAGCACACAGGGGGATAACAGTACCTGGAACACGACTCTGAAAGACGTGTAAACAGACTCACATTCATCTATGGACTTCTTTCAGTTTACAAAGATTTTCTGGACAGATACATTTTGAGTTTTGACAATTTACAATCTTAAGTGTCTAATATTTGTCTTGTTCAACCATTTAGAAACTGCTACACTTTCAATTGGCAAACAAACAAAGATCTATATGAGCTGCTTTTTGAGTCTTTATGAATCTACATTGTATGGCTGCTAGAGACCCAGCCAACCGCCACATGTGTCTAACCATTAATGCGAACTGAAAAGAATGTTTGGCTTCGTGTAGATAATTGGTTCTGAATGCATTCATTTGAATACTTTCATACACATGGAGACTGGAGAGGTGTAGGATTTCTGCACTATTCTAGCCCTACTGGGTTTTTTGTTTTGGAAGAGGGGTCGGGACAGACACACTGATTAGAGCGATTCACTGCCTGTATGCACTGAACGGGAGAGAGAGAGAGAGATTGCCAATGTTCGGACCTCACAGATCACACAGATTTTTAGACTGTAAACACAATTTATGAAACTTTGCAGGCAGTTTGCAAATCGTTGCACACAGTTTAGAAATCCTTGCCCACTGATTGAAAATGTGTGCCCACAGATTCATAAACCTTGGGTGTGGATTGGCTGATGACTTTTTAATCTTTCTTAACTGAGACTTTGGGGGCTCTGTGTAAAACAACTAAAGCTAAACCGAGAGAGCAGAATCCAATTGGCAGAAAGCAGCTCGAAAAACAATTTTTTATTTATTTATATTTTGCATTCATCTCTCTCTTTTTCTCTCTCTCTCTGGTCGCCTGCAATCCATCAAACAATGACATGCACATAAACACGGAGAGTCTACCCCTTGTTCTATCCTCTGCATGTGTTCGATCTGGTCTTACCGGTTTGAGTTCCTCCCTGTTGACCTTGCGGCGATAGAGCAGCAGGGCAGTGATGGTGTTTCCTGCTCTTGCCGCCTGCACTGGGGTTGGGGTCACATACAGAAAGTCCTGGAAAGCATGAACACAGATCATTGGAATTCAAACAGACTTAAAAAAGTAATAGAATTCAAACACATAGATTATCAAGATGTATGCAAGGAAGAGTCTAGTACATAGGAACAGTTCAGCACAGACTGTCTCTGAGCAGTAAGCGTTAAAAGGCAGCTGTTTACCATGCCATAGTAGTTACTGTTGACCATTATGGGACCTCTGCTCCTCAGGTAGATGTATTCCTCCCACCAGTCACTCACCTGGAACCAAAACAGGACATTCAAGTTGGACTTATACTTCATTTGAAACATATGCACATTATACATTCAGCCGCACATTTTGTATCCGATTGCCACCTTATTAGAAAAACAGTTAGTTCCCTCCATTTTAGTTCAGTACTAATAATTTATACAATTTTATTTAAGGTATCCTTTCATATGTACAGGACAGGTATCTGTGTATATGTATTTATCTATACGGTATGTGTACTTATATTAAGATAAAACATCTATGTTAAATGTTTGATATGTTATAATATTGTTGATTGTTTCAATAATTTTGCTTGGGCAACAAAGGTTGTTACAGTTTTTGTTAATAAAGCATCTTGAACTTGAAACAAATAGGAGAAAAAAAATATAATTTCCCATTCACTTCAGGATTATAAAGAAGGAAAACACAACACACAGGAAATACTTTTATAAGCTCAAAATGTGGTCTAATCTAGGAGTTTAAACTTGAAGATTAAATTACATTTTAGCGAGATCCAAACCTTTTTTTTAACTGAGCTGAAGAGAGCATGAGAGCCAGGATGGATTCCCTATTGTGTATCATTAAACTGTAGATCGAATGAGCTGCCCAGTGAGGACTTGGAAAAGCATGAGTAGGTGAGTACAGCAATACTTTAGTACAGTAATGGTGATTTTGGGGGCTGCAGCCAACAACCAAGTGTATGAAAGTATTCAAATGAATGAAAAAAAGGATTTATTTTACATATTTAAAATACATTTAAAATCATCGTTGTTAGACTAGCAATTTAACGCTGCTCGCTGCCTTCAATGCGTCATATTGCAAACTATAAAACCCAAAAAGCAGCTTGAACCAATTTCCTACACAAAGCCAAACATTCTTTTCAGTTCACATGAATAAACACGTGTCGGTTGGCTGGGTCTCTACCAACCATAAAATGTCAACAATCATGGGGGGAAAAAAATGGACACACCCATTAGTGTTAAGCAATACAATTCCCCTACATACAGTATATCTCTAGAAAGGAATCAGCACCTCTCTCAAAAGGTAAACTGGGTCATTAATTCCTTTGTTCTTGTTTATTAACTGTCATTAAAAGAGTTTGGGATTTATGGACTTTCGGTAAAGAAAAGGTTTCATTTGATGATAATCAACTTATTGCAAACTCAACAATCATTTCAGTTCCTGTGTGTGTGTGTGTGTGTGTGTGTGTGTGTGTGTGTGTGTGTGTGTGTGTGTGTGTGTCACTCTTACATAGTTGGTGGCCCACAGAGCTTTCAGCTTCAGGTAGCGCTGCAGGCGGTTTCCAAGGTTAGACTCAAAGTGATTGGCCAGTTCAGTCATTTGTTTATAGTCCGGGTCAGCCATCAGTGGGCGCACGGACAAAAGGTACTGAGACAAAATACATAAAAAAGGATTGATCAAAATTTGGTTTTGTGATTATAATGTTTTCATCACTGTCTGTTCTATCATTGTATGCACAGCATACAGCTGCTGAATGTGAACGTCAGACAAATAAAGATGTGGAAATGCAGACAGACAGAAGTGTGATCCAGCATGTGCAGAAAAAAAAGAGTTCAAAACCCAGACCTTTTGTTTTCATTTACAAACTGTTAAAAGAAACTAAAATGTATCCATGATGTTTTTGATATTCATGAAATGTAATTTTTGTTAAAGTTGTTCGATAGTAATGAAAAGAAACAAAGCTTGGTAAAAAGAAGTAAAAAGTCTGTTGGAGGTGAAATCGAGATGAATAAAACCTAACCATAAGGCGCTGTATGTAATGTCTGTGCACGGTAGCTGCTCCACCGGTCTACTCACCCTGCTCAGAGTGTCTTTGATCGCAGGAACAGGCAGGTGAGGCAGAGACGTCTGATAGCTGTACAGCAGCGGCTTCCTGCTTGATAATAATCTCAACAGAGTCTGAGGGAGACAGAGAAAAACATGGTGAAAATTCAAACCTATTGTATATGGATTATGAGTTAAAACAAAGTAACATTACCAGGGACTCCAAACCAAAGGTTTAAACAGTGAGCAAATAGAGGCACAACAATAATTGACACATTAATTAAAAAAGGAGAAATCAAAAGTTTACTAATACTAAGGAGAGAATATGACTTAGAAAACAAAGATTTCTACATGTACCTACAAATCAGAGATTATTTCAATAAGGAGATAAAGCCGGATTCCCCATGTGAATTAAACGGATTGACTGTAACAATGTGTAATGCATACAGAGGTACAGTGAAGAGAGTAATTTCAGTGTTGTATCAAAATATGGTGAGAAATAGAACAACTTCAACTCTGTACATTAGAGATAAATGGGAAAAGGAACTAAAGAGAAAAATAACCAAGAAAGAGTGGCATAACATGTGCAGGACACAGAGTAGAAAGTCAAGCTCTAGAATGTGGAGGGAATATGGTTGGAGAAATATTGTGAGATTTTTCTTCACACCAAAACTTAAAGGAAGATTCTCACTTGTCCCACAGCCTTGCTGGAGACAGTGTGGGGAGCATGATGTTGATCATGCTCATGTTTTTTGGCAATGTGTGAAAAGGAGTACTGGGATGAAGTGTGGAAAGTAATGAAAGCAATTTTCGGTTATGAACTTCCTAAGACTTGTGAAGTGCTGTATCTGGGAAATGTAACACAGGAAAATATACAAAGCAAAGACAGATGCCTGGCTGGAATACTACTGGTGGCACCAAAGAAAGCTATAGCAAGAAAGTGGTGTAAGGAGGACCCTCCCCACTCGGAGAAACTGGTTGGACATTGTGGAAAAACTAAACGATGTGGAGAACTTTACACACAATTTAAGACTACAACAATCTGCATGCCAAGGAAAATGGAAAAAGTGGACTGACTTTAAAACCCATCACAAAGTCTGAAGAGAATGGACTCTTTAAAAGGAGGCTAAACTGACTATTGTTAACTGACACCAAAGTGTGTATACTGTGTTTATTTTGATGTAAACTCATCAAGAAAATTAAAAAATATATAGGTAATAAAAATAAAACCAAAGTAACATTTTAAAAGCATCTTTCCCATGGTGTTACATTTAAAACCATGCTGTAACAACCAGTCAAATCAAACTTAAAGGTCAGTGATTTTCATACCACCCAGACTTTGGTGATGTTGGAAATCCGGCCGTGCTGCTCGAACATCCACTGATGGTAAGAGAGCAGCAGCTTGAGGCAGAACCTGAGCGCGAGGATGAGGGAGAGCCACAGTAGAGTACTGAAGACGAGGGCCGACAACATCGTCTGACCCTGGGCACTGAGGGACACGTGGAGGCTGCACAGAGACAGAGAGAGAGGGGGACAAAAAGATCACTGGATGTAATAACTGAATACCGTATGTTATAATAGAATTGTGTTACAATAGATATAAGTTGGAGATTTCACTTTGTTACAATAATCCTTAAATATATCCATGGCTCTTTGAATACCCAATACAAAATGAATACAACATGGAGATCTTCCACATAGAGGGATGAGAGACAGACAAGTTTTACATTGATGAACAGTGATACCAGAACACTAGAAATAAATACAGATTATACATCCTAAAAGGTTGCTGTAAAAAGCTGAACAAATAAATGTATTTTTATATCAAGTCCTTGTGTTGAATGTTAGCTATGAGGAAACACAAGTGAGTAGCGAGACAGTACATACAGCGACATCTGCAGTACAACAGCAACATCTGCTGGATAAAGAAGGAAGACAATCTGAGAAACTTTTTCAGAATCTGCCAAAGCTGAAAAAAGGGAATGATGCTCCAGCGCAGAAAATTGTGTCTAATATGTTATTAACAGCAGAACATATTGAACACAAGTAGTGAAAAGAACTAATTATTTACAGAAGCCAAAGAAAATTAAATAATCCAAAAATACTGATATAGGAGGAAACCAAGACTCTCCATCATAAGGAACAGGGATAAAATTACAATAAAATGGGTCTCACCATTTTCACAGCAAATACTTGGTCCTTATTAAGTGGGAGGTAGTTGTTAGAATTGTAATTGGTGAGGATTTGACAGACAATTCTTATAGTGTGGCAATAGTTTTAGCTCTATCAAATACTAGGAGTAGCCAACACATTGGTAAAAAAAAAAAGGAGACGGCCATGTCAGTTTAAACACTCCTAATATATCTCTGAATATAGAAAATCACATGTTTAGTTGTCAGATTTCTGATGATCTTTCTGAAACTGTCAACTGGCAAATGTTCTCTAGCAGAAAAGGGAGTCATAAATAACAAGGTGGAATGTGGCAAGGGTGTGATTGAGTGAGAGTGAGTGTGTGTGTGTGTCTGTGTGTGTGAGTGAATGAGTGAGTTGTCAGGAGGCAGGCTTGTTCAGGGATGTTGTTAAGCCAGTGAACAGACTTGAAGGGAAGCAGGTGAGAGTTCAAGTGCAGCACCACTCCTTCTCAGCTCCACAGTGACTCACCGACTGTCTATGTTTGGAAGTCATGTTTGTTTGGATCAAACAAAGATAAACCCTTTTGTTCTTCCTGGCTGGTACTTCACCTGCAGTGTTTCCCCTACTATTATATTAGGGGGGGCGGCCCGGAAGTTGCTCTGCCTTACCTTCTGCTGTACCCTAAAACTGCATAGTGTACTTTATCACTATCTTTCCACCCATCCATCCCTCTATCCAACCATCCATAAGTAAAAAAAAATAAATAAAAAGAATGAATGAAAGACTTTATTCCGGATCAAATTTTTTAAAATAAAATAATAAAAAACATACGAAACAAAAGTAACAGTGTTCGAAAAGGAGTAGGTAGATGTAAAACATATCTATTCATACCCCTGTCTCACTTTCTTCTAACTAAAAGAGCAAATATGTTCTCTGTCTGAAATGAGGCTGACGCCCTGTGTGTGTGTTCTTGTATAATTGTGTGTGTGTGTGTGTATGTACCTCAGTGGCAGGTGTTGCTTTATCTTGGTGATGAGCCCCATGCTGGGATCAGAGCGCATGTACATGGTGGCCAGGATCGCTATAACGACAATGAGCCAGGAGGAGGGGCTGGCCGGATACACACCCTTGATCACTCTGTTCTGTTACAACAGAAGAGAAAACAACAGTTTGTAAAATATGTGCCACCTCTCATACATAAAGGGACAAAACTACAGACGAAGAAGAGTAGTGAGTGCAATGATTACTGATCCATCACTATCCAACTCCAAATGAACAATGAACCTCAGGTTTGTTATTTGTGGAATGAAACCCTTTCAGAAGTTTGATTTTAAAATGTTTGCATATGAGCCAGAATTTAAACGTTGTAAACTTAGGATTTGATAATTGGACTTTCAGTTACCAGAGAAGTAGAAGAAAACAACAAGACCACATCAGAAAATAATTCTGTAGAGTAATTTACTTAAAGGGTGTTTGTTATCTCTACGTCGTGTAATAATATATTGTTTTGTGCTGATGGATCTGATTAAACTGGGGGAACACGAGTGTGGGAAGAACATATCCTTGGTTATCGATAACATTTTGTTTTCTAATACCACTTGTTGGAAATATTTGAGGAAAAAAAAGGGCTGTTTCTTCAGTTTGCTATATTTTGTACCATCTGACACGTATCCCGTGATTCATTTCAGTCAGTTTCTTAACCTGTTAAAAACTCCTCACAGGGGCTTACAGGATAATAAAAACTGGAGAAAATGAACATTGGGGTCACATTTCACACTGCTCAATAAGCAATGTGCTCATTTATTCTGGAGTCAAAGAAAAAAAAAACATCTCCTTAATAGTGCTTACATCTCTCCATTCTCATGGATTCAGGTAGAAAGCAGACGGACAAACCAAGAAATAAAATGTCAAGTAAGTCTAAATTATTAGACGTCTACATTGACTGTGTTTTCTACCTGGCTGAGAGGCTTCATTGTGTCTCTCTGAGGATATCAAAAGTTAAAACACATGCAGGGCATTGCCATCTACTGCTACAGTTGCATGCATTCTCTACCAGCTTAACTCAATAATACCGACCTGTTCTACACTACTATCAGGTTTGCCCTCATCTGCTGCCTAGAGCATGTGAATGTTTTAAATGGTCTCAGACTTACTGTTCCCTGTTGTTCAGATGGTTAATACTGTGTGTGTGCAGGTTGCACAAATTCAAGCTTGGCAGGACATGGATGTATCATGTCTGTTTCTCTGAAAGGATCATGAACAGAGCTATCTATGCCTCGGTTGAGTTTGTGCAGTTAAAGGATAAGACTTAGTTTCTGCTTAGCACCCACCAAAAGCGTGTGTCATTGTGTAGTATCTGTTTGAATTCGCTCAACCTACTAGCAAGGTAGCCCTGACTGTGCTCCAGAAGTGGGCTGTGGCTAGTGGTCAAAGGAGCGGCTGTAAATACCGTCACTCCCCTCCGCTACATGTAGCTTAGTAGTAAAGCGTAGTAAAAAAAACACGTTTTGTTTTACGACAAATCATTCACAATGAAAGTCCCAAGCCTGTGGCAACTTATCACAACAGATGTCTGAAAAGACGCAGAGGAAATGAGGAGAGAAACAGCACTTATGTGGCAACGGCAATTCACACAGTTTCAGTGAGAAGCTAGAACGGAAGGAGAACTTTACACACAGTGAGTTGTAAAAAAAAAAAAAAACATTTAAAACATCTTGCTCTAGACTCATGAACTGGACACACAGTGACTCGCTTGTTTGAGGAGAAGCGGCGATTGTAGCGTGTGAATATGCTTTCATATGCCCGATCACAAAATGAAGCACACTTTTCAGCAATAACCTATAGGGCTGTGATGACTCCCTTCTTGAAAGCTCAAATCATTTTTTAAACAATACCATGAAACCTGTGTGTCTGTGGATCTTTTTTAAGTGGCGGGAGGATTTTCCTGTCGATATGACGGAGTTCAGGACCATGTGAAACTGACCTGTGTACACACCGCATCAGGTTCATGTACTACTAATCATTTCTTCTAGCCTTTGATAAGTGAGAAGAAACTTTAAAATATTGTGATTTTATCACATCATTTGATATCCCTAGTTTACGTCGGCCAGTCTCTACTACACCTGCACTGTTCTCGTCACATCACAACTGAATTTCTCTCCTTTCTATTCTCTGTTATTTCTCCTTATCCTGACCTGTTGCCGGTCTCTTTGATGTCTAATGGGTTCATAATTAAAAGCCTGTCGACTGTACCCGTAATCCGTAGTACTCCGGGATTAATTCAAATCTGGATGTCTATTTTTAACACGGAAATAAATGCAAAGGAACAAAAATGACTTCAGGAGACTCTGTCGTGTATGAATCCATCAAATTTGTTGGCAATACCTTTTCTAATGTATTGTCCTACAGTTTGATACACTGTGGTTTCCAACCTGCAAGTCGCTCATTTAACTTCAGCTAAATTAATTATATTTAATAATTTGGATCTCGATATTTTCCCTATTGACGCTGACTATGATTTGACATAAGAAGCCCTAAAAGAAGGATAAACACATTTTGAGAATGCTCTTGTATTGGTACACCCCTAACAAAAAAGATTTTAAAAAGGCTAGTGTCAAGGTGTGGATAGACGCAATGTGGTATATAAAGAGGGGACAAAATCGTTAACAGATGTTCCAAACCTTCAGGGCAGATTTTGTGTGAATGTGCATCAGACACAGAGTGAGGGTTGCTTTATTTCTCTGAATTTTATTGCTGGGGTAGTCAAGAAGTTTGAGAAACAAACAGCGGTATTTGTCGCCCCAGCAGGGGCAGAAATACATGTCTGTTCATGTTTGGAATGGCTCATCACTCGTTACCTGAACAGATGGGAATTCAAACCCTGTAATAACACTTCAGCTGCCCTGGACACACAAATTACACCCTACAGACCTTAACTACGTCAAAGCAGAAGCACTACACACAGTAACACACACGTACAGAAGGGCTTTCCCATCATACTCACCCTCATGCGGCTCACTCGCTTCTTCCACGATCGCACTCCTGACAGGTAGATCTGGTTCAGGGCCTGATAGGACAGCTGCAGGTCGATCCCTTCGGGTGTTATGGTGAACTGGAACGCCACCGCCTGGTGGGCCTCCGCCATCGCTATTGAAACAAAACATTTACAGAAATATAACTCATTCTATTTCTCCTATTTTAAAACATTTGATTCGGACAGCAAAGTAATAATCATTATTTTTATGTGCTAGTGTTCCACATTTCGCTATTTCACCCAACAGCTTGAAAATATTCTTGACCTCACTGAGATTCAGGCATAATTTATAACTGACTGTATTCATGATTAAGTTTTTACCGTTTGTTTTGGGGCATACACTTAATATCACAGATGGTTTACAGGCCGGGTGGCAGCTCAGTGTGTTTGCAGTCTGTCTCGTATAAACGCTCTGTGTGACAACACTTGAGTAATTTAATGTGTCAGAGGAATGTTGTTGTCTCACTGACTACTGGGTAAAAACTGCCCTCAGTATGGTACCATGTGAATTCATACAGCAGCATTAAAAGATACTTCTCCAACTCAATAATAATAATAAAAAAAAAGCTATCATTTGAAATCTGAATGCAAGCAAAGATCTTTGCAAAGTAACCTATAAAATGTAATTATTATACCAGCCTGTATATCCAACATAACTTGATATGGGATTGAGTGGATGGTTACAGCCCATCTCATGCCGGAAATAAAATGAGCATTTTTGAACTTACATGCCAGACTTTAAAAAAAAATCTATTCAACATATCAACATATTTCTTACAGCAAGACAAGTCACCATCACTTTTAAACACTTGGTGGTTTAGTAAAATGTATTTACCAGATATATATTTTTTGATACTACACTTCTTGCAGCTCTGGATGCAGCCATAGAGTGTTAGGTACATAGTGAAGTATTAAACAGCTTTGTTATGAGTGGTTGAATAAATGGTTAAGGATTACTTATTGTTCATTTTGAAGAGGATGAGACCTCTGGCTCCCAGTAAGGATTCCTTAAAATAAATGTTTAATTTGATGTTTCTATTGTTTCACTCAACAGGTTTGTTTTAAAAAACTATCAACAAACCAGTTGATAGGTTTCATAGGATAATGGATCCTCCTGATAACAGGCGGGAAATAAGAACTGTCACAAAAACACATCAGTAGAAGATGCCTAGGGGTTAAAAAAATGAGGATGCCTGGAATCCTTTTAGGCTGGTATACTTAGTTCTGGCTTACAGCAACATGGTAATCATTTACAGGGACCGTTGAACAGTAACAGTGATTTTCTATTTTCTGAAAAGTCCAAAGGTTTGCTATAAAAAATGAAAAGGCACCTACAGGTATATAATCTACACATTCAAATCATTTATGTTTCCATTGTTAGAGCTTTATCAGCATTGCGTCTCAGAAAACTTTGTATATTTTTTACTGTATACTTGAAATGATGTTTCTAATGATGGAACTAGTTGCTGTGACAACGTTGTTATAATCAGGACCTTAACTTACATTACAGGATCTTTCATTGCTTTTCAATGCAGATTTTTCTTTAGCAAAGGAAATGTTTATAATAATGATAATTCAGCCTAAAGCCTCTTAAATGCCAAATGAGCAAGGAAAAAGGAAACAAGAAAAGGGGGGGGGGGGCGTGATAGATAGTGTGAACCTGAAAGTTCCTGTGAACAATGTAAACAGTTTAATTTCCCTGAGCCTCTGCTCACCTTGTGAAAAGGTATGAAACTGTGCAAACATAAGGCGGATGTTCTTCCCGTCTTAAAGAAAATTTATGATTGTTGAGAGTACATCTGAAGTCAGATAAAAACTTGCTCTTCAAGCCAGATAAAAAACAACATATAAGCATGTCTAACTCTGTCAAGTAGCTATATTAAAGATTCTTTCTACAAGAGGGGTTGTCAGCTGAGCATTACAAGCATCACACCTGCAGCTCACACTGAACATTTCAGGAAATTGTCAAGGGTTTGCGAATGAGTGAAAACACCATTAGTGTTTTCAGACCCTTCACTATTGTTTTTACATTTATAATTTAACAGCATCATGCAGCCTAGAGACACTGATCGAATGTGAAACTGCTTTGTACACTATTTCAACCTCTAAAGTAACTGATCTGTTTCTTTTAAGTGAGGAGACCAATCCGGATATTACAATTCTGGACAAAACCCTTGAAAACTATGACCAGTGAAGGAATCTAAAGGCATGCTGAGAATCTATAATGGTAGAAAAAAGGAAAATTGCCTGTAACACCCCGAAGAAGTACAAAAATAAAATTTTGGAGTGCTGTCCTAACATTGTTTTTTTAAGCTGAGTAACTACAAATAAGCTTGTGTCAGCTCAGCTCGCAGCCTCTCCTGACATGCTACAATGGCGGTGAAAGTGTAAGGGGATTTGTTTCAACAGGAAACTGCTTTTTTTTCCTGTATGTTTACAGGTTTTAATGACCAGGTCACTTTGTTTTAATGAGGTGGAGCCTTGACTAAAATCTGTCGATTTCACTGCTGGCTTAGTTTATTTTGATTCCTTCTCCTTCACCTAATCGGCAATTTTTTGTCCATGCTGTTATGGTCAACTTTGCTGGCTTGAAATAGACCATGACAACTTGTATGGAAACGTATTCCTTAGTTCCAAAAGCTCAATTTCTCCAAAGAGTTTCTCATTTAAGAGACTGCAGCAACTTATGTATGGGACAGGACGGACCCCTACAGCACTAATGTTAAAAGGCAAAGTAATGCACAGCTGTTTCAGATGAAAGAGGCCTCTGGTACATACGGGATGATTGCATGACAACTATACAGTTACAGACCCACATCAAAGAAAGTAGGTCAACATATAGAGTAATCTATCTAAGGTTGCGTTTGTTCAATTCTGTCATTTCTCCTCCCTTTCTCTCTAAGCAGCTAAGTTACTAATTCTGTATATTTCTCACTTCTCACAGCTATTTCATGTAACTATTTGTGTGAAAATGATTTGTTTAAACGACACAGGGGAGAAGGAGAGCGAGGGGGGCGCGACAAAGAAAAGAGAGAGAACTTGGGAGGACAAGTGTGGACCTGTTACTGCTGATACCTCAATGGACACAGAATGTGTTTGAGGGATGGGCGTCACAACACAGTGTAGGATCATTCTAACTTATTCTGTATAATCAATATCAACATCCACATGTGATTTAATGGGGTGAGAGTTTTAGGGTAAGATTCTCATGACTGTATGTGTGGGAAAAAAAGTTCAACTCTCGGAATTAAGTTTGTAGTATTTGCATGCGCTGAAGTTGTCTATCATTCATATTTACTGCATCAATCTTTAAGATAATTAGCATCAATAGAAAATACACAGAATAAACCACTTCCACTTTAAAAAAAAAAAAAAATCATACCTGTCAATTTAAACTAGAACTCTGAATAAAGCAGTTTTGGGCCAAAGATAAGAGTTCCTGTATTCCCACTAACTTTAGCTAAGCTTGTTTCGCTCTGGCTTTTCAGGTACCTGTTGAATTAAATCCCTTGTATGTTTTAAAGTAACACAACGTGTATAAATACTAGGGCTGTTGAAATTAATCATTTAATCGATGCATTGCGATGCAGACTAGACGATTAATGCATCGATGCAGGGACAGGACGTAATCGATTATGACAAGGGTTAGAAAAAAAAGCATCTGCTAACCGCTGCATGTTGTTTTGCGCAGCGTTGAGTGAGTTTGTTTTCCTTTAAACACACACGGTGGTGTGTAATGAAAGTAACGTAGACTCTGTGTCTCTTTAGCCGACCGCAGCACGGATTAGCATCTTCATTGCAGCTAAAGGTGTGTTTAAACTGAAGTTGAAGTTGCTTTTAATATGAAACATCCATATCAGGAAATGGGGCGTTTACAGCAGTAGCAACTTCACACAACTCGTCTGAAATAAAAAGGAAAGAAACAGAACTAACCCTGAACAAAGCTCACAGCTAAAGGCTACAACGTCCTGAGAAGAGAACACACAGTGACTTAAAAACATCTTTCTCTCGTATAATAAACTAAACACACAAACACTTCCAGCCTACGTTTTACCTATACTATAGTCTACCTATATAATGTATTAATTTTAACTTACAATGTGAAGATATTCAGTGTTTCCCATACCATTATGTTAGGTGGGTGGCCCAGATTGTGATGATTTTCCCAGAACGTTTCTTAACACTTACTAGTGTTCTCAAAGTACTTCCAGCACCCTTGGGGATGAAATAATGACTTCAGAGCAGCACTAAGCAAAAATACTGACAGGAACCTCTAAGAGTTTTTTGTATATTGTTGGGTGGATTCTGTTTTAATGAACATGATGCTCAGCAAAATACTTAAGAGAGACACACTGGAGCCAATCCAAACTAGCTGTTGTTGTGGTTATTGGTCAAATATATGTAGGCTTACTTCTACTGGTAGCCACAGAGCTCAGCAGTAATTGATCTTACCTGAAAAAAAAAATCAAGATTTAAGGCTGAATTTCTACAAAAAGGTCTTACAAGTAGTTTTGCTCACAAACTATGCACTTCAAATGCTAACTTGAAGACTGGTAACTTTCTAAACACTGATGAGTTTAAGATCCATTTGGTGTTTAAAATTCAATTTATTATACTGGGAATATTTTAATCTGAGGGTCTTTATTCTGCACCAACCTATTTAAAACTAATTGAAGTAGAAAATGAAGTGCCGTCTACAAATTGGTGATTGACACTTGATTCTCAAGACAGTGTTGGTAAACAGGTTTTACCTGCTGGAGTGGACTTGCAGGTAGAGATAACAAGGTGCTGCCTTCATTCGGCAGGCATGCGAAGCGCGGGCACGAGCGAGGGAGAGAGAGCGCGAGGGCGGCGGGAGAAATGCGCGTGCACACAGCATGCATTGCACACGGTTTACAATTCAGCTCAACTTTAGTGAAATGTCAAATACATGAGCTTTAGTTTACTTGAAGACAGGCCCGCTTTAAAAAGGGTCTGACCTCGATTTTAAACTTTTTTTTTTTAAAACTCCTTAAAATGTATTTCCTTCATGTTGCCCTAGTTAGCAGAAAATAGTCAAATACCCTTTCTAACATCAAGTTCAATCAGGTTTTTCATGTTTAGGCTATCTGTCCTACTTCACCTGATAAATAGCCTTCAATGTTGAAAAATGTTACAATTGTACTGTAGGCTCTGGTTTGTAAATAAGCTACATTGTATCATTGTTTCTATGATTGTCCTTGAAGATGCTGCAAGTACCCCAGAAAATACCATTTGAATACATGTGTTGCAAATTTAGCGTTAGCTGACAGCAAAAACATTGTAGAAAAAAAATAATAATAATAGTGTTACTGTCGTCTCTTTAAGTCAGCTCAAAGCTAAGACTTGTTTAAATGTGGCAGAGCCCGAACCGGTTACGACTAAGGAAATAGTTACAGTGTGAGTGAAGCAACCAAATGTGCTCTCCATCACCAGCTAGATCGTCATGATCATATATGGTGGTCAGAAACACTCACAGCTACCAAAAAAAAATATATATTAAACAAATTTAGCACAACTTCACAGTATATCAGTATGGTGCATTGGCACACACGCACAGTTAACAGAGTGTATTTCAACACACAGTAGTCCATTCATGCTCAGCACCATCTCCCACACCATGCGATGCACAAAATACGACAGAGAACAAAAGCTCCGAATTTCAACACATTTCAACAAGCTGGGACAACTTTACTGTAAGAGTTGATACAAAAAATGTACCTGAAGTGTTTTGTCGGTGAGAAAGTTGATGCGGAAAGTCTGTTTGTACTCCTCCCTTCGTCTCAAGGCTGCGGGAGCTCTCGGTGAAAAAGCGAGTTTTTTTCGGACCAACAAGGCAATCGCTGCCAGCAAGCAAAGATAGTTAGTAAGAGAAGATGAGACACTCCAACCTGTAAAACAGGAAACCAAACCGGTTTGTGAAACGTAGGCGTTTAATTTGACGAGTTTTCAACTGTATGAGAAAATATCCCATTTATGAAATATGATTCACTTAAATCAAATAAATGAGATTAGACACAGAAAAAATATTATATATAGGCCTACATTTAATCAACTCAGCATTACATGTATCACGTGTTTTTAATCGTAATGTGACATTAATTACGCGGTATTCATATTCGTTCAGTTTGATTCATTGAGCACTTCATTATGCTCATTATACTATTATATTAACGAACACCTCTGGAAACTTTTTTGTGTCAGAGTGAGAGCTCTTCGTTTGACAATACACTCTGCAGGATGCCAAACTATGTCATAGAATACGCCCATCTCTGACGATACAATTTTCAGGGTACATACAGGGGAAATAGGTCGATCTTTGAGACAAACTGCTTTACAAAAATATATTTCACTTTTTTTTTAAATTCAGTTTTTAATGATTTTACTGATTGTAAGCCTCTGTATTTGTCATAGCAACTTGACATAAGCGTTCCCCTCTTAATCAAAGTCAATGTTTTCTTTGAAGTTGTTATGCTATGTACCAATAATAAATCCAATAAATGTTCGCCTCACCTATATGAAACTGTTAACAGTTAACATGTGTACCAGCTTGTAAATGTTCCCTCAACAAATAAAAAGAAACATTCAGAAGTACCAATAAAACAAACTACATGTACCCACCATTTTTTCCTGTTATTTATTGATCAGTATTTCTCACAGGCAATAATTATCATTGTCATAATAGTGCACTTTTCCTTTTTTTGTAATTATACTACAGACATTTCTCTTGGTCGTTGTTGTCGTCATCATTAATCGTGTAAGCAGTTTTCTCAACCCACTCCTTCCCACACACCTCCTCCTTCTTTGAGGTTTTTCTGTAGTGACCTCCAGAGTGGAAAAAAAAAGTTTTCTTCTGTGAGGATTGGAGGTTGATAATATGGGGGTGGGGGGGGGGGGGTGTCATGGGATAGGTGTTGTGAGGTGTGGCAGAGTTGGAGGAAAATATGGGCAGGAATAAGAGATTGGAGTCATACAATAACTGCAGAAGAAGAATGAGCAATAATGATGAGAGAAAGTTGTACGGTGACTACAGTGTCGATAAAAGATAGTGAACGCTACATAGATATGGATGGCATACAATGGAGACGGACAGGAATACAGCATGTATACAGCATCTGCATCTGGGTTGAGTATACAGTGTATAAAATGTATACAAGGAGAGGGGATGATTATATACGGGGCTGACATATGTGCAGTTGGGATTCTAGAGATACAAATAGGAGGAATGGGGGTTGTAGAAAATGTAAAGTCAATGGGAGGCAGGAGGGGTAATGTAGGACTGAGGGAAGGAGGGGCGAGATTTCTTTCAACAGGAGTGTCCCAAATGCAAATGTGCTGAGGGTCCCGTTGGTGTTGAAATAGAACTGCGTCTAGAGTTTACCTAAAAACCTAAGCAGCCATCCTTTCCTGTCTTTCTTTCTTTGCTGTTTCATAAACGTGTATCCTTCTTTCTTAAAGTGGAATAATGAGGTAAACTTGACCTGGACTTGACTTCCGCTCGTGCTAAAATACTTCCTCTGTACATGTAACTGTGTAACTTGAAACCTCTTTCTTGCGTGTGCTCCTCACTGCTAGATTTTTCTATGGGGCCCACTTTGAGAGTGAGGATGAGAAGAGTAAGTAAGATGTATAAGAGAAGGGACAGAGGCATTCAAATCTGATGTGAAAACAGCAAAGAATGGAAACTTTTCTTGGTTAAGTCAAACAATAGGGCTGAGCCATTGTAATCGAGACGAGCCGGCCAATAGTTTTCTTAAGGCTAAATGATAATCATCTGAAACCATGCACAACCTGTGGCTATGTTGCACTCAACACACAGCATGTTCATTTCCAAGCTTTCCAGGAATTTGTGGTTGCCTTAAGGAGTCCAGAATATGAAGGAAACAACTGCTCATGAAATTTTGTTTCCTTTAAGTCTGTTCCGACTCTTCAGTTCAGTGTTCTGAGTGTGTGAAGACAATTGAAAGTAGATAAGGAATGTGTAATAGTCTCAGTTGAGTTTGCATGAATAATCGCAGACAGTTTCAACTTGTTGGCATGCTAACATTGGCTAGTTAGCTCTAAACACAAACTCTAGTCTCATTATCAACCAAAGTTTCTCAAATGTAGTTGCATCCATTTCAGGTAGTCTGCTCTAAAGTAAAATGACAAGTAGAAAAAAAGGACATTGCCATCCTCTGACACCAGTCACTAGCTTAGCTAAAAATTCTCATGTGAAATGCCAGGGGGAATCTGTGTTTGTGTGTCCACAGTACATATAATTCACTCCCAAACATTTCAAAAGAAATGATGTAACATTCATGCAGCTTGTAACCTTGCTCTCTTTAGCCTTAGATGTCAATTAAACAACCTGAGAGACAGAACAAAAAAAAGCCTTAAGGAGAGAATGACTCAGCAAAAATCCTCCATGTGGAGCTTCTCACTGTGGTAATGGATATTATAAATAGTGTTGTACAATGTGAACATACGGTGGCAAACAGTACTGAATGAACAAAACAACACAAATAGGTAAAAACACAAGATAATGATGGGAGGAAGTTCTGCAGCATTAATGTTCAGAAAGTGACAGAAAAAGTGGAGTTATTTTCCCCCCCCTTTTTTTTTTTTTCTCAGAAAAGCTGGGTTGCTCTGCTGGGTCAGACATCTTTAAAGTGGTATTTTCCTTTTATCCAGCCTTCTCCCACTTCTCGTGAAAATAACAATCACAGCTTTAACAGATACGTGTCGAATAAATAATAAAATAAATAAATAATTACATAAATACATTTTCATAAAACATGTGGAACAAAAAAATGTGTTTATACTCTTGAAACAATTCCCAAAAAGTTTTTGACATTCACATGGTAGCGTCTCCCTCCATTTTGCCAGCACTGCAGCAAACATTAAAACATTTCTTAATAACCCAAAAAGACCAGAGCGGAGTAAAAAAGAAAAAAAGAAAAAAGAAATTAGGTATGGAAAGTGGAAAAATAACACAGGAAAAATATTCCATTCTTTATGTGTGGCTTCATTTTTCCTCTTCTCCCTCCAGACAGAATGTGCACAGGGTTTTTTATCACAACAGTCTTTTTTTCTCGTGCTTATTTGTTTTCATACTTGTGAAAGCTCATTATTTATTCATCTCCATCCGCCTCTCACTATCCTCCCTTGATGTCTTCTTTAGAGAGGCAGAAAGAGTGGAGGCTTTTGGTGGGGCCTTGGGTCACCCTGCATTGTTCAGCATCTATTGTCAAACATTAGGAACAAGGGGAGGGTTTCAGTAGCCTTACTTTTGGTCTAGGAATAATTGGTTGTCCTGTTGGATCAACTTTTTATTCAAATTTCACATTTCTATTGTCATCTGTATTCAATTACGAAAATTCAATGAACCTATAATTATCCTCTCGGTTGAAGGACACTCTGGATTTTTTATATTCAACACACAATATTCACATGCTAATATGTACGCTCAGTTGTTGGTCAGTGTTATCATTTCCTCTCTATACTGGCTGTGAAGTGATACTTTCATTAAGTGACTCCATTGAAAGAGACAGGTGTCAAAATCCACAGTGCAAAATCCACTACTACAAATTAGCTTAAGCTAATATGAGGGTAAAGCACTGATAGCAAATTGCAAATCAAATCTCTGTCCTAAGAAAACTCTGAAAGCTTGTGCCCAAAACTACTCAGACAAAATGCTAGCTTCATGGTATCGAAACCAAAAATCCTAGCAGCTATAAATTAAACTCATGGTTAGCAATAATGCTAATATATGACAAAGGGAAGTCAGCTAACATTTGGTTTTAGCTAATGGTAGAATGTTCTTTTGAAATACAAAACTAAAGGAAACTTAATGGAGTCTTCAGTGCACTATAAAGCTTTATTTATGGCTTTGTGCTAAAATTGCTCTGCCTGCCGTGCTAGTTATGAATGCTAAGTTATGACTGCACAACTGCTGGGGCTTAGAAAATGCTCATCAATCTAAGACTGCTGTAGCCTCACATAAGTTTAAACTTGATATTACAATGACTAAGAATTTTGTTCCCTGTTGTTCACAATGGAGATGCATTTGGAAAGGATTGCTTCACAGCCAGTATATGCAGAAGGAAAAAATGACTACAATAAAGCTTAAAAATGTACTAATGGCACATGATTGCTGTCGCCCTTCATTTGACATGATTTACTGAGATGGCCTACATTTTTAGATGCTATTTTTCTTTTCTTCTTCCAGTGCTACCAAATTCTTGCTGCTAGCTAACCTGTTTTTCTTGGTCTAACTATTCACCTATCACCTCGCTCTCTCGTGGGAATCTGTCCTTGTGAGACATTCTACCTGTGTTGTGACAAGTGTCCTTAAAATGGGGCTAGATCTAGCTAGCTCTCCACTGTTTCTCCTCTATTAAAGGCAATGCGGTATCATAGCTTCATCTATCTACTTCAGAAATAATTATGGGACTCTATGCTGCTCATACACACAAAGAAAAGTTGTATCTTGTCTGTCTGATTTTGATATTCACATAGCTCTAGGGCTACATCATATAGACCTTGTCACATCCATTTCCTGTCATTTCTATGCACGTTTTCCTCCGCTTTCAGACTAACTGATGGGTTAAGTGTGGTATTTGAAGTTTTGCTAATTATTAAGAGATAATATCCACTTAAAAAAACAAGCCTTATTCTGTAATTTCCCATCCTTTCTCAGACTACACCCTCCCTTCCTTTACTTGTGAATATGCTCGTGAGGAGGTTTGATGAACCCGGTGACATTCCAGAAATTGTTAAATGAGCATGACTTAATGGACGCTCTCATTTAGGTGACTGCTGGGAGGATTCCTGTAGGATTTGAACCTTTAGTTGCATG